TAAGGACTGGACGACCCACGAATATCCAGCAATAGTAGTAGCAAGGTCTCCTCTTACTATTCTATCAAAGGATCTCGTAGAGCAACTTGGCTAGTCGAAAAGCCCCCGAAGTGTGTTCGAGGTGTTAGGGCTAGCTTAGGAGCGCCACAAAGGCAGAGCTCGATGTTTGTGGTAGGTTGAACTAGGATATTGGACCCGATAAGTTATTATTTGGGGTGAAGGAATTATGTACTTGATCCATACATCTTTTCCCGATTGCTTGCCCTGGTCTAACTCCAAGGGTCCATACAAGTGGGCCAGATGAGAGACAGAAAGCGAGATGTAGATATCGAGTGGAAAAGGTGTCTAAGATGAAAAGGGAAAACATAAAAAAAAAAAGATTTTCAGAAAAAAATAATAATAAATTGCCTAGATAGGTGTACTTTTGAATCCTTCCCGTTGGGACCAACATGCATAGCTGTAGGTACCGAGCATGCCTGCGGCATGTGTCAAGAAGTGAGGCATCAATACCCCTGGCATGAGAACACCCATGGCCGGGTTTGTGCCACTTACATCGGAGTGGCTTTATCGACAAGGCCTAACGTACATGGGGAACTAAGAGGTAAGATGGATGAAAGAGAAAAAAAAAATAAGAAAAGTCTGGGGGCAAGAAGTTTTAGTTTTGGTACGTACCTTGTATTACCTGCCTCAATATCTCATCTCATATATGGCAGTGAAATAGCAAGGAAGGAGTAAGAGGGAGGTCCAGGGTAAGTATGTACCTAAACATTGGAATTGGATACGTTAGGTACATATGTACCTACCTTAGGTATGTAGCAATTAGGTACATCTTGGGCAGGTAGGTACCTAAGTTTGGGGTACAAAGTTACTTACAATCGGGCAGTGACTCCTCAAATTGTCCCCAGAAGGTGCACTCGCATTGCCTATACATGTAAAATGTAGGTACCTTAGGTACCTAGGTACATACCTCGAGGTTAAATCGCAATTGTTGCCTACAAACCTTACAAACGTACAAACGCTCCCCAATACATATTTCTTCCCGGGCATGATGCTTGCAAATGATACAAACAATGGTTTGCCACGCCTCGTAGCACGCGAGAAGGTCGATTGCAGAAGAGGCCGGGAGATAAAGGGTCAGAGCCCAAATTTTTTTTCTTTTGAAAAATAACCCGACATGTGGTACTGAACTGCCAACCACTGGCCCCCCATTCATCACCATGTCTCATGCAAAGAACATTCTCTCGCCCAGCTTTGCAGAAGAACGGTAATCATGCTCAGGAGAAATCATTCCAGAAGGCTTCTCGATGCCACCGTCACATGGCCCCCTAGACTCTATATTGGAACCCATATTGATACCTATTTCCTACCTAGTTATATAGGTGTACCTAGGTACCACTTACACTTCCATTATCACCAGCCTAAACCATGACCTTCTGAGTCGTGACGACTAGAATATCTACCTACCTCAGGTAACTATGAGACTACTAACCTAACCTCTCACATACTATGCGGCTAGGCATATTCTTATCCGCGATTCATTACTTATCTACCGGGCGCATCTATGCTAGCCGAATGGGACGGGCCGGTTGCCGTCTACCTATCTCAATCTACCGGGCTTGTTATAGAAAGAACACGGACATTCTACAAAACAAGTGTGCACTAATGCTGTCAGAATCATGGTACATGATCCAACATCGCGCTATTATAATCCCTCTCCAGATGAAGAAATAGCCCTGCATGAAGTAAGGGACAGCATCATGTTGAGCGGGAATCTACGGCACGTACGCTTTAGTCTATTCCCCTGACTAACCGCGTATCGACGACCCCTTAATCCCGAGACTTTCTGGCGGTGGCCGTTGTCACCCGATATGTGACTCGGGCGCCAGTCTCATTCTAGCTAGATGTCGTGAATCGACCGCTGTAGCTTCCTAGCTCCTTAGCGTTCCCGTACTCAAACGCTGTCGCAATGGCTTGTGTTCACCTGTTCGCCTTGACTAGCATTGGCCTTTCAATGAAAAAGGCATCTCAATCCGGCCTCGGGCAGTAGCGCAAATTGAGGTACACCTCGTCCCGCATGTGGCAATCTACATTATAACTACGAATATGAAATCTTGTGAGTCATTGATTTGAATCTTACCATGTTGATGATCCCTCCGTTTGAGAAATAGGGGTGAGAGGCGCAATTCAAAAGTCCGGCATAGGTGTTGATGGGAATTTTATTGCAACCAACATATAGTAGAACAGCCTTACGGCCCGCGGGTTATGCGGCCATCCCTCCTCAGAGAGTGCGTCCCGGCTGCCTTGCAGAGCTGCGACCAAAAAAGCGACCTCTCTTGACCGACTGCATCCACATGTCGCCTCCAACGCCATGGTTCTCTAATATTTGACTTACAGCGACCTTTAATCAAGTGACCCTTTAATCTCCAGAAGCCCCCGAATGCTAGTTAAAAAGATCTGGCCCAGTGGTCGCCGCGCTAAATTTTCTACAGTGGGAAGGGCCGTAGCCACGGCATTTGACACCGAAAGGTAGGGAGAATAATACCATATCAAGGGTTTCTGGCCTTCTGCGAGTCTTAATGATAATTTATAGGCAGAATTATTTCGAATATAGTTAGAAAGTGCTAAGTAGGATTAAACCCGATGTTAATGACTAGGCTTGGCTTCTTAGTCCGGCTGACGTCGAGATGCCTATCCGGTGTCCATATTCTCAAGGAAGTCTGGAGATATCTACGACCGGTCAGTAATGGGTGTAGCCCTTTGCGTCTGGCCTCCCAAGGCTATTACAGGCTCAGTGCGGCTGATTTCTCTAGCTCTATCATACTCTACTTTGTTAGAGCCGCCATTTATCACAGATCGATAGTATATATCGTAAAAATGAAAAGGAAACCTCGCCTAGATTCTAGCTCAAGCTGACAGTTTTGGGGGCAGTGAAATAATAGATGCCAACCAGCACATATGCGCACACGTGGGCTTATACTAAGCGCGCTTAGATCAAGTGTAACACCGAAGAGCCGCCCGAGATGTTCCATCACAGACATTATACAACATCTATATATTTCTTATTACAATTTTTATTTGTTGCAGGACCGGGAAACTCTAGGTGTTTGGCGGCTGTGCGCGGAAACTGGCCAATCGCCTTGTCGCGTTGACGAAATAAGCGCCTGCTCGTAGCGTACCAGAGTGTCGGGTCTGGCTACCAATGTCATCACCCTCTTCGAAAATATTACCGTGTCCCTCTATACGTTTATCGTAAGCTTAGATGCTCAAACACGAAGTGGGATAAGCTATTTCGCTCGCCTTGAAGCGGAATGTTCCTCAGCCTACCTGAGAATGTTGGTGGACTGCTCCCTAGCCTCTACTCGGCGTAAGACGCCGTGTCTACTTTCGAACATGGAACATGGGTGATCAATATGTATACTTCCAACGAACTCTGCTGCTAGCAGAGTAGTATGGGTGCATTGCTCGTAAGTTTCGGGAAGCTGCCTGCTATGGATGTGGTGTTAAAGGGGTGTGAACTCGGCTCGCTCAAGTCGCTCGCGGGGCCAAGAATCCCGAGATATAATCGCTAAAGCCCCATCTACTTGCCTTAACCACCAACAGGTGCTACCTTTCTTGGAGACCATGGGCCCCTTTGGCCTTACTATCGGTCTCGGGCCGATCCTCCTCTGTGACCATCCCGTGTTGCTAACAAGTTCTCCATGTAAAAGAGGAAGTGACTAGGGTACCAGGACCCGTATGATGTCTAAACCAGACATAAACGGACGGTAAAACTAGAAATAGTTAGAGCATCGCCAGTCACTTGCAGCATCCCCATCGTGAGATTAGTGTCACGCTATGCAGTTAGTCGATCCTCATCACATTCACCTCAACAGTAACAGAGGAGCTTCTCCGATTTCCAAGCGTGCCCATCCTCACATCTCACTGACTTAAACCGATGACAACAAGGTTCTTCTCGATGTATCCCCCATCTTGATGATCCGCCTAGCACTAGCTGGTTACCTACCTAACGTGGAACCAAGCCGAAGCTAACTGAATTTACATAAAACTTTGAGATATCAAGGGAGAGATTTACGCTGACAATGACTACCTAAAAGATGGGGGTTCAGCAATCCTACGACTCGTCACCAATCAAAAACATAGCGTAGCTTTCGACTCATAAAACCATCTCGATCACACCTCACCCCTTCATATGCAAGCTCAAGTAGTTGATGGTAGCAAGTACTCCAACATCTCCATCATCCCCTCCAGACACCCTTATGTTCCTACATAGCACGCTCCCACCCTCGTGGGGTCAGCAGCTCGTGATGACCCCAAAGCCCTAAGATTAGTGTCTAAAGGATTCCGTGTGATGTAACTAAATTTCACTCTAGGAGTGAACACCAGTTCAGCATCACTCACTCGTGGCCTTGCAGGGCCAAGGACACGCCATCCACGAACGTCACCTACATAGCAAATGTCCCGGAAACTCCGGTCAACCAACTTGAGACTCTCTCTGGTCTAGTCTACTCACACTAGTCCGGCGAATGATGCCGTTAACACCCAACTCGAAATCAGGCTAACAGCTTCTGCGTACGCGTAGCCCCCTAATGTGCGTTATTAATGACAGCATTGCCTGTTGTACAGGGGGTTTCAACAGGATAGGGGAGGGTTAAAAAGGTCAGGGGGTACAATGCCCAACGTTAGCGGATGAGCTCTTAGTAACCCCTGAGTGCTACACTGGAAGCCACATCAATTCTATTTTGGACTAAGACACATGAAGCTCATCGCGTAGTCCGGCCCTTCCATCCCCTCGAAAAGCTGCCTAAGGAGTAAGCAACATCCTCTGGCTCCTTCTCTGTCAAGAAGATGCTGGTGGTACATTCCTGCTCTCCTTAGATGATCTGTGTCGAAGTCGAGAGCTACAAGGCAGGTGGCCAAGGGCAGGTTACCATAGAATACCAAGTAAACTTAATCCCAGTCCATGGGAACCTCCACTAGAGAACGGTACCTAATTCCTAAAGAGTGCGGCAACTACAACAACCCTCGAGCGGTCTGTCTCTACAGACACTCGTTTCTCTGTATCAACTCAAGACGGAGCACTTTTCAAATGATCTCAACCAGTTCAATTATACGAAGTGGCACTAGTGAAGCCTCGTTCGACTAAATAAATTAGGTAGCTTTATCTCTTCCTAAGTTCATCCTCACCACATCCCAAACCAATGTTTTAGTCGCTCAGGGGGACGAAGAAAACTTGACAAAAAGAAGCCAAAGATCTCCAAAGAACTTGAACGCAAGTATTACTAATCTGAATCCAATAGAAATCACCTCCTATTGATCCTATATTTCTACCGATATACTCGAAGACCGAAAGCTCAACCGTACGTTCATATTTTAATGGCGGTATGAGAAACGAATACTTAGATAAAGCAATATATATGATCGCCATCGTTCCCTCATCCTGAGCCTTTTAGGAACCAATATCTTGGATACAAGAGTAACAGAAGCGCTTCTTTCACAAAATTGAGCCGCTGCTATGTTGCTCTTCATCCCTCTACCGCTTCACGTTAGGCTAACCCAGATTAAAACGCACTATATAACTTCAAGAAGAGAAGCTCGTAGCATATTATCAGCTACAAAGCTTAGCCTTTGGGACTTCACGAGTATTCACAACTATTTTCACTTTTGTCTATGTCTTGTTTACTGCCTCCCCTTTTATGGATAACATGCCAACTAGCCGGGAAATACTGCTATATTAACGGCTCTATACATAATTCTCCTGAATTAGATATGGACCTTGCTATGAATCTACGATCACTAGTCACACATGTGGCTATCAGTATGAGCACACGAGCAAGGGGTGGGAACATGGTTATGTCAAACTAAAAAAGTTATAGACTTAGCTAACATTAGACTACTCATATAGTTGCCTATGCACTTTTGTCCTCGACACCTTGGTGGTCCACGAACCTAGCGGTCAGTCCTGACCTCAGCTCTTATTGAATAGGGGGCGTCCGCTAAGGACGTTGCGCCATATATCACGGGCTCTGTGCACTTGTTTACCGGCCTGGTAAGCCACCAGAATCCCGTAACTTTCTCTTGCCTATTTGTTAAAATCGGGCTTGGATTGAGGTTAACTGAGCGTGGGTAATCGTTATCTTGAAGTCAGCTATTGCGGGGCAAGTGACATGAGTGGTATGCGAATGAAGGATTTTATCAGGGCTCTATTTAGTAGAGTTATTACCCCTCCCCAAACACGATAAGGTGTATAACTGTTATATGTATTATAGCACCTAACCCACTATAACCCTACTATAACTAATATCATTACTATATACTGTAAGTTAGTAGTATAAAAACACTAGAGTATACTAGCCCTAACCCCAAGTCTGCTGTAGAAACCGGACAAGTAATGAAGACTGGCTGCTACTAAAGTGCGTCACACTAAGCTAGATCTCCAACCCAAACTCTTAACCCAGACAAGATCGCTTAGGAATCTAAGATACTCCGAACATCCATGGCTCCATTAGCCTCTGAAAGAGGGAGGGTGTGTCAGTTAGATGGGTATCAACGGACTCTGTCACGAGGTGGAACCAAACAACATGGAAACAACTTCGTTGTTCCGCGAGGAACTATAACCTATCTGGCGAGCCCACGGCTCGTATATACATACATGTTCTTTGTCCTAGATGTCTCATCTAGAATCCTGGCAGACTCGGTGTATTTAGTATGCCTGTGTTCGCCTGCCTTAGGTGCGCAAGTTCTAAGGGGGTGTGATATATACCTATTATATAAGGAATTCCGTGCAGCACCAAAAATCTGTGAGACCAAGCTTGAAGATGGCTAGGAGCACGTCAAAGTTCCTAACATTTATAATTGACTATTGAGATATCTGGGATGGAGAAACTTCAATTATCTAAGTAACGCAGTCTTTTCAAGTTCTTAGGTCAATAGTGCCGGAGATCGTGTCGCACGGAGCGAAAGGCAAGAACCTAGTTAACTAGTAGTATATCTGTGACTCTATTAACCCATCCCCCCATCCCAAAAATAGGGGAGAGGGAATGCTTTTCTTATATGGACCTGGTATCTATCTGCTACCCTATGAGGTAGCCACTATACTATAATCTGAAATATAGACCTACATATTTCGCTCCGGAGTACGACATTGGATGTTTCCCAGGTAGATCGTAAACCATATTTCATGGTCCTTGTCCGAAGACCCTGAAGTCTATGTATACAATATGGGCCTCTGGCTGGCACCGTACACAAGCTAGGATTTTACGAATATCATGTAACAAAGGCACGTAACTTAAAGGAGAGTGTATGGAAATACATTAGCTCTATGAGTGCTGGCATGTTATATCTCAAAAATGGGTTTCCTATTGTCCGGATTACTTAACCTACCTAATTATCACCCGCTATACATGAGCTTATATGAAGGAGCGCATGGAATAACTGAAGTGTTGTCGTATGTGCTATTTACCGAACTCTATAAAATGCTATATGTAGTTTCACAAAACCAACTCCTTGCCCTTAGGAGCTAAATCCATGTCATGGGTCAGTAACACCACCAGTGACTACGCTTTGGACGGGTATTTACTTTTACTGGGTGTTAGATATAGAACTGGTCTATATAGGTAAAGAACTTATAGCTATGCTACATAGTAGTCCAGCCTAGAGGAGTTTGTAGGTATTCGTGCAACATCTAGGTAAGTGATTTCCCATTACTCGCGATGATCCGTACATCCGTATTGGGGGATCAGAAGAACTCTTAAGAATCACCGACGATGTTGGGTCTTAAATTGAAATTATATGCGCAAGGTAAATAGACATATATTTTATTTCCAGTATTAATGACCTTTTTTATATACACTATTACCTATATTAGTACTCTACGATTCATTAGGGCTTCCCTGGACTCCGGTAGTTAGTATAAATATAGTTCTTAGCTCTGGTAATGAAATATGATTTGTAACTTAGTGGAATGGCTTAAACTCGGGAGCAAATCACCTCCAACTTAACCATTAGGATGATAGTATCTTATTCGAAAGAAACCCAGCACTTTATTAACCATAAACTAATAAAGTCAATTATAGAGATCACCTCTTACAAGTCCTCGAATCCCGCTTTAGGAAACCCGATATCTCCGCAGCTTCCTTGTGATCCCTCGTAAGGCCTCTCCGAACAATCCCGTTAGCGGCTTGGCCCGCCCAATCGCAGTCTGTCTAACCTCCCGAACTCAGCGCCTTCTCGCCGTGATGCCCCGGGGGACCGGGTGTCTTGCTGTTGATTTAAAGTCAAAAGGAGCCGCATCGCTCTTCTCCACACCCTTCTCGTCAATATCAGATTGTCGTCGGTTAGTCCTGAGCCTCAGAACGATGCCGATGCTCGAACGACCCCGAGCCTGAACGACCCGTTTGCCACCCGCTCGCCCGCCCACCCACCGCGTGGAGCCGAGGATGTACAATACCCAGCTTACCAATGTCTAATCGGAATCGGATCATTTCCCCCCTGGGCCTCGGATATAAGATAGCAAAAGGCCGTTTTTTATTTTTTATTCTAATGCTTATGCTTGGCTAATTCGTCGCCCAATTGTGCACCCCACGTGCGAAGTGCGCGTTTTACTCTCGTGCTATGCGCTGATGGGCTATGGCGCGGAGGTGCGCACCCTACGTCCGCGGGCAATGGACCACCGCGCCCAATCATAGCAAATACGGAGGAGCAGATAGAGCCTAGCGAAGTCTGTCACCCCGGCCAACATTCTCTTGTCTAACAAGGGTATGATGCTCAGGATTCCTAGGGTATGGAAGTGGGAAGTGGGATGTGCTGACTGCTGCTGAAACTTTACGCACGTTGCGGCACAAAGAAAAAAAGAAAAGAAAAATAAGGTAAACCGTTATGGCAAGTCTTGGCGATTTCATTACTAGAAACACATACCAAGGGACTAGTCAACCTACATAACATGTATGGTTTACACTAGTACCTGAGAGTTGGGTGTCTGGGTGTCTGGGTATCGGTGTATAGACATACATACACAGACATGTGGGGGGACACACCAAACCACAAAACCTTGGCAGAACCTTGGGACTACCTATCCTTGAACTATGCTCTGCCTATCTGAGGGTCTTAGTCTTAGGGGTGGCTATTGTCTATAAAGGACGCATCCCATTCTCTCGAGGAGCTTTCTGATCTCTCTCACAACCATTCTTCTTTCTCTAACACAGACAAACAGCTCCCAGACAAAGCCAGAATCATAAAGAACTCCAGAGTTCCCCCCACTACTCACTAAGCTCCATCGTCACCATCAACGCAAAGTATTATATCTGCTTAGCGTTTATACTTCTACGTACTTTACTACGTACTTTATTATCAACAATTATACCAAGATGTCTTCCAACAACAACACCCAGAACATTGCCCAGAAGGTCCGCAGCAGCCAGCCCCAGATGTTCCTATCCCTGGCTCCCACGACCTCTGCCTCGTACCCCACTGCCCAGAGCATCAAGCCCGCTACTCACGCCCGCCGCAGCTCCAGCCAGAGCAGCGTCGGAAGCGTGAACAGCCTGCGCTTCCTGAAGCTGGGCCCCGTCCACTACGGCGAGCACCCCGGCGAGCACAAGGAAGACTACCACGAGGTCGCCGTCGAGTAAACGGGTTCGCCTCGAGGAAACTTTTCTTGTTCTGTTCCATCACTGTTTTCGGTTTTCCCCGCCAATTAGAGAAAAGACTTGGCCCATGGCGACATCATGGCTGAGCTTCACGACTTGAAAATTATTACGATCTACATAGCGTGCACACCCGATGGAGGGGAGGTTCATTTAAAGGAGGGTTGCGACCGGTTCTGATTTCTTCTTCGTCTTTCCGCGGGGCGTTTTTGGGAATGGGAATTTTGCGATGGATGGGGGACGGGTTTGGGATTAACACGGATTGGATAGATTTATTGCCCAGAAGTGCATACTTGGTGTTACGAACCGTATTACGAACCGTACGCACGTACGCACGAACACCTTGATGGGTGCGGATTATAAGGGCAGATCCCTTGGCGGTTATTTGCGGCAAATTGATGCCTATCTCTTGTATGCAGTTGGCGCTTGAATTTTTAAGAAAAAATACAATATTTTTCGGAATCCCAAATAAAACCGTTCGATTTTCACATGTAGGAAAGAAAGAAATCATTATGTCCGAAAATCTAGCTCCCCCCCTTGTTCTCTGCGCGAATACGTACCTAACGTACCTATGTAAGATACGTATATTCTAACCAGTCAGGGGACTAACCTGTCATGTTGCCATGTGCGCTAGAGTACGGCCAAGGTATCAGAGGTAGCATTAACCGTATACACAGGCCCCCCTCCTTTGACGTGTTCTAGTGTATGTAGCTTTAGCTCTGTACAGAATAGTGGGATGGGGAGGCCGCATATACCATCCGCAAGCAGTAAGAGGATGAGTAGCTTCCCCATCGCATATTTTTTTTTTCTCCAAAAAAAACATCACAGCAACTCATAATTGGTCCGAGCTGACACAAGCTTGCCCGCCTATCCCTTGCTCTTCAAAACAAGCTCGAGGCTTTCAGAGCCTAGACAATCAGTCCTATGATGAAATGTCATTTGGTGTGTGCTTTTTATTGGAGTTTTGTTAGACGCAAGCACCCATCCATACCCGACGATGACCGCATTCTCAGGCCGCTGATCTTCCTCCCCTATTACAAGATAAAATGCAAACACCACGGCCAAGCGAAAACCAAGACGGGATTTGGGAGGCTTGGCGGGGTGAAGGAGGGTACACTACGTACGTGGGTAGGTAGACCAAGGCAATATGTCATAGGTACCTAGTATTATTAGTAGCGTTAGCACATGTTTGGGAGGGGCATTAGAGCATTTAGGGGACGGGATACGGAGTTGATATTGTCGATCTAATACCGTATTTTGACGGACCCTTTATCCGCTAGCACGGACTGACCCACCGTCGATCTGATATGAATGCCTTAACCAGCCTTGACTTGGCCAATCTTGGCCTAGATTTAGATAAGTAAGCTTTCAAGACCCTAGCTTTTACATTAGGTAGTTTGAACAAAAAGCCAAATCGCTCAGGAGTATCACAAGCTTTTGTCTCCATTCTTCTAAAGATAACACTTGGGTTTGAAACTAAATCTACCGGTATTCCGTACATTATAATCTAATATACCAAGCTGCCAAGATTGCCGAGCGATACTTGGCGGGAGTGTTTTGTTTTACATGGCATTCCCTATTTTGCTGCAACGTCTCTTGTTTCTTTTACTTTCCGGAAAGCCGAGGAAACGGGGCGAAACGTTTCAACAGTTATCCTTACTATTACACTACTAGCGTACACACTACACTGCATAGTATAGCGTATTATATCTTGGTTAATATAGCTATAGCAAACTAATATAATAACACACTTACACGAATAATGGACCACACAGTGTAGTAAAGTGCATATCCCGATCGTCATAAGAGGCTGAGATATATAATAGCCCACCGACTTTCGAGACCACAAAACAGTACCGAATATACTACATACCTAGGACCTAGGTATGTATCCGTACAAGCGAGCTTATCAATCCAAGGACACGCATTCAAAGCTCATACAGCTACGACACATTGTGCATACGCTAATGCTAATACTGCATCTGGATGTAAACCATTGGATTTTTATGTAGGCTATCTGGCTGTACAATTAATGCCGGCATGATCCCTACCGTCCTACCGTCGCCAGGTTAAACGGGCTGGACTTGTCCCGTCTCGCTACCTTATCCACGGTCTTGGTGCTCGCCTTATCCTCTTCCCTTCCCACACCCTCACATCCCCCGCGTCGACGCGCCTTGCCACACTACCATTACCATTACATACTACGACCACACACACAACGCACATACATTAGGGTTGAATGACGATACCATACTAGCAGAAGCAGAGGGAAATGTAATGTGACGAGCAAGTCAAAGGACCTCCGGTCCAATTGCCACACTTTTACCTATCCCCCTTTTCTGCCCCTTCCTCTCCTTCTCGAGAGAGGTACCCAATCCAGCTCCAAGTCACACACCTACACTATTGCTTATCTTGCACGTTTTCCTCGGCTGCCTACCGAGCGGCTTGGAGAGGTCTTACTCTGCACGTGCGCAATTGATGAGATGAGGAGAGCAAGGGGGGCGGTAATGCGGGTGGTGCAACTCGAGGGCGAGATCGCGTCGAGACCTGTCTGGGCTGCACCCTGTCTTACGATAGACTGACTGATTGATTGATTGATTGATTGATTGAACCGCACATACGTAATTGTTGGAAGAAATGGTGGCCTACTGATGTGTTTCTTCTTACACGAGCAGCTCATATCGTAGGCCCTTTGCGTTTCTCACTTGGGGGTTTCGCTTTATTGAGTTCTTTCACGATGAGCACATGAGCGGTATTATGCTATCCCTCTTATTTATTAATGATATATTAGGTACGGACAACCACCTTAGGTCCGGGTATATACATACGCCCACCTATGTATGCAGTATGAGACCGGATCTGTGTACTCATCAATCTACATACTCATTGAGACCCTGCGGGATTTATATGAAATGCTGTAAGATGAGCGCAGTGCAGGACAGGGTAACATGAACTCAATCAGCCCTTGCTTATACGTAGCGAATGAGAACGTGACGATCCCAACACTTCGCTTCTTCTGCAATTCTACCAAGTTGGGGATTCTGCACAGGTAGGCTTTCGACCCCGTCGCACGGGGCAATGATGAAATGAGAGAGGAATAGTACAAATAGCTGCCTAGAGGTAACTAAGTGGTATATCACCATATGATGCTAGTTATAAGTACCAACGTATAGACGCAGCTAGCTACTGTAGCTTAAACCCGCGCTCGTGTGACTACGTTAGCTCGACGGGAGATGGAGATAATTCGCCAAATCCGGCAAAGCAAAAGGAATGGAGGAATCCCAAGACTATGGTAACTCATAGCGCAGAGGCGTAGAGGGGAACGTGACGTATGACGTCCTGCTTATTAATAGAGCGTTATTGGCAGGCATTCCCCGGACCCCAAATCTAATAAAATCTACCTAATAAAAGCACGCTACTGGCGATAAGCATGAGGTATTTTGTACTTATAACAGGTAACTTAGTAACTACCTACCTACCTAACCTACATAAGCTGAATCGTCAATAATACTACTAATCATTGGAAGGCATGGGCATCTTTGATGTTTGCCATCCGCTAAGGATATCAAGAAATGATATCGGTAAGGTACGTTGATGTGCGATGCGGACGGGCAACGCAGCTAGTGTACATACTATGTAGGTAAGCATAGGGTAAAAGAACGTGGACGCTCACCGCGGTCGCCGACGGCACGCTCACCCTCGAGCTGCCGCTTGAGCTGGGCGCTCAGTCGCGGAACGTCTCGATCTGCGCGCCCAGCTCGATGAGCCGCTCCTGGAGCTGCTCGTAGCCGCGAGCGATGATGTCCACCCCGCGCAGCACCGACGTGCCCTTCGCCGCGAGCATCGCCAGCAGGATGACGACGGCGGGCCGCAGCGCGGGCGGGCAGCTCACCTCGGCGCCCGACCACCGGGTGGGGCCCGAGATGTCGAGCCGGTGCGCGTCGAGCAGCCGCACGTCCGCGCCCAGCCGGGTGAGGTCCGTAAGGTGGATCGCGCGGTGGTCGTAGACCCAGTCGTGTATGAGCGTCTTGCCGCGAGCGCAGGCCGCGATCGCCGCGAAGAACGGCAGGTTGTCGATGTTGAGGCCGGGGAACGGCATCGGGTGGATCTTGTCAAGAGGCGCGTGCAGCTCGCTGGGGTGCACCGTGATGTCGACGAGGCGCGTACGCCCGTTCTCGGCGGTGTACTCGGGCGAGGTGGTGTAACGCAGGCCCATCTCCGCGAGCGTGGCGAGCTCGATCTCCATGAACTCGATCGGCACCCGCGCCACGGTGATCTCGGAGTCCGTGACGATCCCTGCCGTCAGCAGGCTCATCGCCTCCACCGGGTCCTCCGACGGCGCGTAGTCCACATCCACGTCGATGTCGTCCACGCCGTGCACCACCAGCGTCGTGGTGCCGACCCCGTCGATCCGCACGCCGAGCCGCTCCAGGTAGAAGCACAGGTCCTGGACCATGTAGTTCGGGCTGGCGTTGCGGATCGTCGTGGTCCCCCGGCGCCCGGCGGCCGCCATGATCGCGTTCTCCGTGACGGTGTCGCCGCGCTCGGTCAGCACCACCTTGAGGTCGTCCGGCACGTCGGGGGACACGGTGGCGTGGTAGCGCTCGGCGGTGACCGTCACGTCCAGGCCGAAGGGCCGGAGCGCGATCATGTGCGGCTCCACGGTGCGGGTGCCCAGGTCGCAGCCGCCGGCGTACGGCAGCTCGAAGGCGGGCTCCTGCCCGAGCAGCGGACCGAAGAACATGATGATGCTGCGCGTGCGGCGCGCAGCGTCCGAGTCGATCGAGGCGAGGTCGAGCTTCGCGGGCGGGATGATGTCGAGGTCCCGCCCGTCCCCCGACCACGTCGCCTCCACGCCGATCGAGCGCAGCACGTCGACGATCCGGTCGACCTCGACGATGCGCGCCACGTTGCGCAGGCGGGTGCGGCCCCGGTTGAGCATCGAGGCGCACAGCAGCGCGACGGCGCCGTTCTTCGAGGACTTGACCGTGATCGTGCCCGAGAGCTGCCGGCCGCCGGTGACCCGCAGGTGCGAGGCTCGTGAGCTCGAGCCGATCGCCAGCAGGTCGGCTTTCAGCGCGGAGTTGATCCGCGCGAGCAGCTCCACGGAATAGGTTCTGGCTGCCCTGCTCGATGCGCGCGATCGCGCTCTGACTGGTGCTGAGACACTGCCGCAGCGGCAAGGCAGGTTGCAGTCGCAATCTAATTTTAATGGCCGGGTCTTGGCATTTCGCTCCAAGTTTGATATCACGTATTATAGTCAAAAATAAATATGAAACATGGTTATAAAAAATGAGAAAAAATATAATCCCATTCTTTGGCTTTTCCTATTATTTAATATAATTTATATATATTTTTTATGATCATTTTATCATTTGTTTTGCTTTTGTAATCTTTAACTATTAAAGGAGGTCAAATGCCAAGACCCGGCCCTTAGTTTTCGATTCCGACTGGCAGGCTGGCGGCAGGAGGCTTTCTCTCGGGGCGGAGTCCGCGATACACCGCTCGAGGAGCAATGTGCCAAGTTGATACCAAGAATACCAAGAGTACACAAGACGGGTTTGTGCAGGTAATACAAACTTTGGTGTGTGGCTTGTCTCGATTCATCTTCATCTACTCTGATAATCTGATCTGTGGGTGGAATAGATGATTTAGGTATGATTAGACCTTATTACACATCGACTACCTTCCCCCGAGCGTGACATATCTGGTTAGCCCAGGTCGCTTGCAGTCGGTACATAGGAGGGCTAGCAAGCATCTACATAGGCCTCGAGGTAGGTGAGACTTGGCGCGGTGGCGTGCCGGGGCAAGCTGAAGTCACGTTTCACAGATACTGAGCGCGGGTGATCGATCGACAGGGCCTTGCTCTAGTTTCTATAGGGAGTGCCGACACTAGAGGCCTGCTTGGCGAGCTTGGCTGCATGTTCTATCTGCGCTGAATCTACTTGGCAAATTTGAAAAAAAGTAATTTTGCGCTGTTTCCTGTTCGTATATTGTTATTGTTGTTGACGATATTAGGTTGCAGAAAAGTCCGAAGTGTAACCTGGAATAGCCATAGCGATGTGTGTGCCGTTAGTCCACGGATGGCTGGAGACAGAGTTCAAAATTTAATAGGGGCTTAGCTATGATGGCTAGTATCCACTAAGCGACACAGATGAAGGGATGGCACCGACGAGGGGTATGTTTTTCGGTTATATCTGGTGTAAATAGACTGTATAATTCATGGTGGTTGCTTACATACAAGCGCACTAATTTGACTTGACCTATGTAGCGTCTGTTGACTGGCGACCCCTAGGCTGGAACTTAGTATTGCCACCGGATTTACAGATGGGCTGTTGACTTACGCGGAAATATACACTCCAATTTACTTAAGCCAAGCAGTAGTAAAGCACCTGTCCCACGGATGTTTCAAATTGCTCGCCCTGCATAGTCGAGGCCATCTCAATATGTTCGTTCACCAACTCTCATGATCTTCTGACCGACACCATACATCTCGACCATAGCTCTCCAATTTAGTGAAACCCAATCAGGACCATTCCTCAGAATGGCTAGGCCTTGATCATCGATCGATTCAGCGTCTGATTTGATATCCATTCTGATATCCGCCTTGATCGATGAACTTGTCTTCCGGTGAAACGGGCAGAAGACGGTGAGATGAACCTTCCAGGCTAATAACTCGACTTTTTCCAAGTATGGGTCGGCCAAGAGCCTCAGTAATGCTTGAAAAGGGGGCCGTTGTACCATATCGGGGTCGGGAATCCTATTAGGACCGCGCCAACTCGGTGGTCCCATACGTAGCCTAAGCTCTCGCAAGCTTCCGCTAAGAACCATATCAGAGAGAGCAGGCCCTAGGACACGCTCAAACTCCCCACCTACCCTCGTGAGGTGAAGGGTCAAGCTGCGCACTCGTCTCCGGGCATCCTGTCCCTCTTCGCTGAGAAATCCTCCCCGGCTAGTAAGATGTACGGGTAGCCGGTGACTCTGCGCGTTCAAGGTAAAGCGGTTTTGAGAGTAGAAGATGGCAGATGCTTCTTGGTACATCTGCATATTGACGAGGAATACGTCTAGGAAATATGCGGAACCCGAACCCGAGACCGATGTCGATGGGGCGAAGAGAGTTGTGTTATGAAGTATGATGGGGAAGTCTGAGACGAGGAGGTGAGAGAGGATAGCATCTCTCAACTCAGGTGGGAGGTCAAGGAAGCGAAAGGGTTTGCTCGCCGCCGCCATGGCTTTGGTTAGTCCCGAAGTTGACTCTTACGTAGATGACGTTGACGTTGGTATTCATCAAACACGGGTGATATTTCCATAGAATCACCACGTATCTGTCTAACTCAGCTAGTTATCTTTTGTTAGAGTCTCTGTTAGAGTGTTGAATCTTTAATATTCATAGGGAGATTCATTCGTAATTTTTTTGTTAGCTGTAAAACTATTGTGATGGTCGATCATTAGATGATTGAAATGTCTACGGTTTCGTGACCCTCGGTAGTTCATCGAGTGGGAAGATGCCGTAGGAACGAATAGACGTTGCTAAGACAAAGGAAGGTTATCTTGAATTAGCTTCTAATTTGTGGTAGTTATTAAGATTCAAGACTGGTCAAGCATAAGTCTTTGTAAGATTGTTAACAATAGGTATGAATTTCGAAGTAAACAGGTAAGGATGAGGTTCACCAAGTATCGTAACCCGGCCCTGGAAACATGACGATGTTACAGTTGCATCATTCCCACTTAGGCCTCTGCCTTTTGAGTACGCGGTTTATTACCTATGTTGATTACCTAAGGTACCTACGGAATAGTTATAGCATATCTGGGGGTTATTCAAGATGCGCGTGTATGGAATGAAGGATATAATATGACGTTTATATAATTATACTGCATAATGCACTATCTTATCTAGATCCTGGCTGGTAGCTGCATGCACGTCGCACCGTAGCTTTAGGCCTTGTAGCGCGCTTTGAGCTTCAACTTTCCTTATCAACTATTTCTATCGTTACTACTTTCATAACGTTTGCGCCTTGCCAACGCTACCCTTACCCCTCTCAGCATCGCGCCTGAAATGAGGAAAAAAGGTCGAGTATGCAGTGCTATACGGAGCTGACGCCGCCTACGGCTGTCACACATTCCTTATATCTCCCGTTTATCACGGCGCAGAGCAATAATCTTGTTGTCGCAAGAGCATCTCTCCTTCAGATCTTCACGACCAAATCAGTATCTGCCGAACTCGACAAGGCCCAGAACGCCCAATTACAATCTTCTAGATCAGCTGACCATTACGATTCCCGAGTCAATGACGATGATGGCCTCGAAGCCTCCTTTCTTGGCGGCGATGCCGTCCTAGTCAGGTCCGACCGCTCGAACTATACGAAATTGGTGCTCGTTGCCGAGTTCCCCCTGGCTGGAACTATCACGGGACTTGCGCGCATAAAGACCGATACAACTGCGTCGGGCGGAGAAGCCCTTTTGTTGGCATTCAAGGATGCGAAGCTTAGCATGGTCGAGTGGGATCCAGAGAAGAATTCGATAAACACCACCTCGATACACTACTATGAACAAGAGGATCTTCAAGGAAGTCCGTGGGCTGCGCCTCTGAGCCACTATGTCAATTTCTTAGCAGCAGACCCGGGTAGTCGGTGTGCTGCTCTGAAGTTTGGCGCGCGGAGTCTTGCTATTATCCAATTCAAAGTTCAAGAAGAAGATATAGATATGGAGGACTGGGACGAAGACTTGGATGGGCCGCGCCCAGTAAAGGAGCTTTCCACTACGCTCCCAAATGGAACTAGCAGCAATGAAGAGACACCATATTCAACCTCGTTTGTCCTTCGACTGCCAAATCTTGATCCTAGCCTCATCCACCCTGTGCACCTTGCCTTTCTTCACGAGTATAGAGAACCAACGTTTGGCATACTGTCCTCGACTTCGTCCCCATCTTCAGTCCTTGGCCGAAAAGATCAGCTATCGTACATGGTGTTCACCTTGGATATCCAGCAAAAGGCTTCCACAACTATTCTGTCAGTGACAGGCCTTCCGCAAGATTTATTTCGGGTAATCGCGCTTCCTGTGCCGGTTGGTGGTGCCCTTCTAGTTGGTACGAACGAGCTTATACATATCGATCAATCTGGAAAGTCACATGGCGTGGGCGTCAACCCATTCGCAAAACACACTACCTCTTTCAGTTTGGTCGACCAAACCGAGCTTGGGTTAAAACTGGAGGGCTGTGAGATTGAGGCTTTGTCTGCTGAGAACGGGGAATTTTTAATGGTCCTCGGCGACGGTCGTATGGCGGTTATCACGTTTAGAGTCGACGGTAGAATCGTATCGGGACTAAGCCTTCGATTAATCGTTCCAGAGGCCGGTGGTGCTATCATACCAACTGGTGTTACAACCTTGAGCAAACTAAACAAGTCCTGTCTATTTGCAGGCAGTGATGGTGCCGACTCCTTGGTTATCGGTTGGACACGTAAGCAGGCACAAGCTGGAAGAAAAAAGTCTCGTATACATGACCCTTCTCTGGACCTTGACTTAGATGACGAAGATATGGAGGATCTAGAAGATGACGATGATTTGTATGGCGACGATTCCGCGCCGGCTAGACAATCATCGAACTCTACCGGTACGCCAGGCGGCAAGTCTGGTGAGCTCGTCTTTCGCATACACGATCGGCTTGTCAGCATCGCGCCTATCAGAGATTTCACACTCGGACAGGCCGTATCATCTAATAAGGAAGAGCAGAATAATCAGAACGGTGTTACCAGCGACCTCAGCTTTGTCGCCGCCTGTGGCCGAGGCAATGCCGGCTCGGTTGCTATAATCAATAGAGAAATACAACCGAAAGTCATTGGACGTTTTGAGTTCCCAGAAGCAAGGGGTTTTTGGACTATGGCCGCGCAAAAACCTATACCAAAGTCGTTACAAGGTGACAAGGGAGTTACGTCCATGAGTGCTGAATACGAGACTTCCGTCCAGTATGACCGTTTCATGATTGTGCCCAAGGTGGATTTGGATGGATATGAGACATCGGACGTGTATGTTTTGACGGGTGCCGGATTCGAAGCGTTGACCGGAACGGAGTTTGACCCAGCTGCTGGATTTACTATTGAAGCCGGTACTATGGGTAATCATATGAGAATTATTCAAGTTCTTAAGACCGCCGTCCACTGTTACGATGGAGGTATGAATGTCCCTAGTCACAAATTGGACAACTACTAATATAAAGACAGATTTTGGACTTACGCAAATCCTGCCAATGCTCGACGAAGAGACAGGTGCAGAACCCAGAGTTGATTGTGCGAGCATAGCCGATCCTTTTATATTCCTAGTTCGAGACGACGCAAGCGCATTCATTGCGAAGATAGATAAAAACTTGGAGCTTGAAGAGCTTGAAAAGGAAGACACAGTCCTTAACTCGACTAAATGGGCAACAGGTTGTTTATACGAAGATAGATCCGGCATATTTACCGGGACCCAGACGGATAAGGGCGCGAAATCTGATGAAAATATAGTAATGTTCTTACTCAGCAAGGCTGGCGCCCTACATGTATGTGTTGTGTCAATATTCCCAATTCTGTTGCTAATATCTCTAGGCGTATGCATTGCCCGATCTCTCTAAACCTATATATGTTGCAGAAGGCTTGCCTTTTGTACCGCCGCTCCTTTCGGCAAACTATGCTGCTAGACGAGGAACTGCCAAGGAAATCATCAAGGAGATATTGGTCGCTGACCTTGGAGACATGACTTCCTCGTGCCCGTACTTAATTGTGAGTTTGCGCAATTATCTAATGCGTGGTTTTTAGCATTACTTATAATGTCTAGGTTCGCCACGATAATGACGACGTAACGATATATCAACCCTTCCGTACGCCTTCGACTAATACGCAGGAGCTTTCTACAACGCTTCACTTTCAAAAATTACCCAACCCTATCTTAGCAGAAGATCCGGTTGTGACAGCAGATGATGACGATGATGAAATAAGAAAAGCGCCTCCGATGAGACGATGTGACAACATTGCCGGATATAAAACTGTTTTCCTCCCTGGCAGCTCTCCGAGTTTCATTCTTAGATCATCAAAGACTCTACCCAAGGTCCTAAGGTTACGGGGCGATGGAGTTCGAGGAATGAGCCCGTTCCATACTGAGGGCTGTGAGCGAGGCTTCATCTATGCAGACTCGAAGGGCATTGCGCGTGTTTCTCAGATTCCGGTTCGCAACACCACCTATGCCGAGATAGGCATGGCCCTCAAGAAAGTACCTTTAGAAGTCGACGTGCACTCTATCTCCTATCACCCCCCGTCAGGCACCTTCGTCGTTGGTTGTGACACCTTAGAACCATTTGAATTACCAAAAGAAGATGACTACCACAAAGAGTGGCAGCATGAGAAAGACCTCACTTTCAAGCCTATGGTTGAACGAGGTCAGGTCAAGCTAATAAATCCGAGCAGCTGGACCGTTATTGATACTATCGAGATGGAGCCATGCGAGACGGTAATGTGCATCGAGACGCTCAATCTAGAAGTCTCGGAGTCTACTAACGAGCGAAAACACCTTATTACTATCGGCACAGCCGTATCCCGCGGCGAGGATCTTCCTATTAGGGGCAGAGTTCTCGTGTACGATGTAGTGACAGTCATTCCGGAGCCGGGAAAGCCCGAGACAAACAAGAGATTAAAATTTGTAGCAAAGGAAGATATCCCTCGTGGCGCGGTCACAGCCATCTCTGAGATAGGAACTCAGGGTCTGATGCTGGTTGCCCAAGGGCAGAAGTGTATGGTGCGCGGTCTAAAGGAGGACGGCACCCTTCTGCCTGTTGCATTCATGGACATGAGCTGCTACGTAACCGCAGTTCGCGAGCTTAAAGGAACCGGCCTCTGCCTCATGGCCGACGCGGTCAAGGGAGTCTGGTTTACGGGCTATACGGAAGAGCCTTATAGGATGGTGCTCTTTGGAAAGAGTTCTACTAAGCTGGAAGTGTTGACGGTAGACTTCTTACCAGATGGAGAGGAGCTTCTCATAGTGGCCTGTGATTCCGACGGCGGCATTCACATTCTCCAGTTTGACCCTGACCGTAGGTCTTCCCCTCATATCCCCTTGGCCATACCATGGACCAGAGCTAACAACGTAACCAGATCCCAAGTCCCTACAAGGCCACTTGCTCCTCCACCGTACCACATTCTCCGCCGGCGCGCACCCTCCTACGCGCAGCATGTTACTCCCACGCACACTCCCGTCAGATTCGGACTATCTCTCTCAACACGTCAACGGCACCTCGGCCGAGGACGACCATTCTTCTTCTCCGGCACCACCCTCTATCCTCCTCCTCGCCTCCCCCACCGGCGCCTTAGCAACCTTGGCACCCCTCTCCGAGCCCCAGTACCGTCGCTTATCTCTACTAACCGGCCAGGTCCTCTCCTCCCTACCGCACTACGCCGGCCTCAACCCGAAGGACTACCGCGCTCCCACCTCCACAGGCGTAGTGGGTCGTCTGCCGCCCGGCGTCGATGCGGGTATGGGCCGCAGCGTCGTAGATGGCGCCCTGCTCACTCGCTGGAACGAACTCCCTGCCGGTCGTCGCGCCGAGATCGCAGGGCGTGTTGGATTCGCGGGCGTTGATGAGGCGAGAGATGTTCTGAGGGAAGTATTGGGCGCAAGCGGATTGGGATATCTCTGAGTAATTTGGCTGTGCTGTGTAATATACGGACTTATTCGCCTTACCATTAGCGAGACTTCTTTGCAATAGTTCTAGGCGATGTTGCGGTTGTCTATCAGGTAGCTATCAAGTTGGCTTAGAATCAATCAGCTTTACTTTTTTTTTTTTTTGTTGTACGAGTAAGAGACGAATTAATCCCTTTGACACGGGACTAAACCAGAGGTGTACGGCTTGAGTGGTTACTTATTTGTGAGGTGTTCCTCTTCATGTTTGCATCAGAAATAGGTAGCTTTTGAATTGGTTGCCCTTGAAGGGTTCGTATAACTAATTCAAACGTCCTTCTCCGTTGAAATCATTCATTCTGCTAACCTAGTCGGTCCTCGTCCTAACCCGCATGCGTATCTGCCAAATCGTAATCATTCCGCATTTCTTCTGCCTTGCTATGCTTAAAGAAAAGAAAAAACAAAACAAACCAAACAAGCCAAGCCAACTTTATAGTCCGCCGTTCATATTCCCCTGAGGCCCAGATGCCAGTACCAGTGAAATCCAGACGTAGGTAACCTTTCCGTAGTTTCCCCTTAAAACAACCCCTGAAATGCCGCAGTGGACAACTAATCACTGTTGCTAGTTGGTCCTTCGAGTCGTGTAGGGACCCTATAGTAATGCCGCAAGAAACCAAATCAATCAATGGCATAAGAAATCCTTCCGATCGCAGGTTCAGCCTGTGAATAGGTACCTATGGGTGTGGCTCGTCTCGGCGACAGCCCTAGACCAAATAATGATCAAACTAGGATAAGGATAGGGCAACTAGATGTCGTCGTGCTTGCGTCGAATGCTGCCAATGCGGCGTTTAATGCCGTCGCTAAGTCGCTTCCCTCTGGGGCTACTAGAGGAGGGTCCTGCTGCTGATTCGAAACTAGCGCTTGCGCTTCGAGGTCGGACAACAGCAGTGGCATCACCGCCCTTGCCGGCCATCGCAGTGCTGCGGCCTGTGGGCTGCATCTCGAAGGCGCTGCCGGGTTGACCGAGCGATTTACGTTGTAGATGCTTCTTGCGCTTGAGGTTTTCCTCCATGGTGTATGCGGGCTCGCCCTTGCCCTTGAGATCGTCGGGGTGGTACTTCTATTGATTGGCATGTCGTTAGCAGGGCTGGCTGACTGGCTGGCTTCGTCTAAGGGATATCCCGATAAGAAGAAGAAGAAGAAGGACTTACGATGTGATCCCATCGCTTGTATGGGCCACCCGGAGCGTCTTCCTCACGCATGAGATCGGCACCCTCTTCGTAGTGCATGATGCGACCGCTGTAGTCGGGTTCACCGGGTGGAATTGTGGCTGTGCCCTGTAGGGGGACATGGCGCTCTAGGGAGTCGACGAGATTCTCACGGGGCGTGGCTTTGAGAGCTTGCATGTTTCCGTACTTGACAGCTTCGACGGGAGCGTATCGCTTATCACGGTTTCGGGAGGCAAGCGTGGCGTCATAAGGGCCATCGTGGTGGTAGATTCCGCCGAATCCGGTAGTGTCAAGAGAATCGACGAGGTCTGCACCGGTGCGGTTCTTCTTGCGAAGATGAGGGGCACGGTCGGCGGCCCTTGTGGCTCGCTTGATTGCTTCGAGAGGTCGTTCAGACATCTTCTTCAGATAGGCACGAGTGCGGGAGAAGGCAGTTCGGACACGAAGCTTGAACTTTTTGATAGTGAAATGTGCAAGAAGCTTAGGTTTAAGCTTTGGACTTGGGGTCTCTGTCTCTGACTTGGGGTCTGTGGAGGTGCTGTCTTTCTTAGTAGTAGATTTAACAGTATTCTTTCGTGAAACTTGAGTCTTCTTTGAAGACTCCTTCTTTGAAGCAGCTTTTGTAATAGAAGGCTGGGTAGATTGTTTGGGTGCGACTCTTGCTGCTGCAGCAAATTGCTGATAGGGTTCACGTTCAAATTGCAAACCAAAAACCTCGTAACTAGGCTGATATAAATTTGAAGAATTAGTAAAATGGCTCTTATGTAAAGAACAGTCAAGTAGATAGATTCCGGATCCTGTCGGATCCTGCAACAACGCGCGTTCAGGTCATGACTATGATGTAACCGGAAAAGGCCGACAGCACACCCAAAGCTTATCTCCCGCTCTTGCATGGAAGCATATCCCTGCTTGGTCCACTTGTGGATGCTAGTGCAAGGTATGACGTATGCGACAGGGGTAGCTCAAGGTGGCAGGGTGGCATCGAAAACGGTTGGCCATCACCATCAGCAAGAACGACGACTCGCTGCTGCAGTTGTACAATAACATTGCGTATCACGGACAAATAGTATATCAACGTGGTATGAGCAGCGCATGTGTTTGAGAAAATTCACATGGGTTATTGTTTGGTTCACAAGATCGCGACAACAGTATAGCGGACACGATATAGCAGACAGAGTATAACAGACAAAGCATCGCGTCACATCACATATACACGAATATTCAAGTATATTCTGATATGGTAAAGATTTCTCAAGAGGAACACACTCACTGGTTATACTTACCCAAGAAGAAGGGTCACCCATGGCGCCGACTGGTACAGAAAGATATATCTGGAGAGAATGGTGTTGATAGAGGTGGATAAATCGTCTTGCCGATGTCAAGGAAAGGGGAGTGCTGAGGTGAGTATAGTAAAATCGCCGACCGGGAAATAAAATGATCTGTGATGTTTCTGGGAAAAGGCAACTTTGGTTGTGGGACGGCAAAAAAAAAACCGTTGTTGTGGGATCGAGGGTCGAGAGTTGGAAGGGAGCAACAGAAGGCAGGCGCCAACATTATTAATAAGAAGGAGCGAAGTTAGGGCGCTATGTCGCTGCAATTGAATTAACACCTGCACTAAGAGAGGTAACCTTATTTCAAGACGCTAGTCATTACAAAAGAAGCAACCTACAAATCCTTAATTCCTAATTACCTCTTCTAAGGATAGTACTGGAAGACTAAAGCATGGGAATATTGCCCCTTACCATAACTTTTTACTTATGGTATCAGTTATAACCTACAGATATCTTATAAATGCTACTTCGTACATGTACTGTCTTCACTTTTATATCTCTTCTACTTGGCAAAGTATGTAGGTAAAAACTGTCACTATTCTAGGTTACTGTGGAAGCTTTCAACCGCCACTGTCTTGTATATAGCTGTGCCACCATCATATCTTAACCTAGGTAGTTATTCTCTAGGAACAGTCTATATTGGATAGAAAGTATAGTTTCGGTTTCCTCGCTTTGAAGGTCCAGTTAGAAACGCTGGGATTATGATTAAAATATTCTTTTTCAACATCCTTACGTCTTAATTGCCTTATTGTCAGAGGCTGCCCTTGGTATGTCACCACTACGGAGTGACAGGTGACTAGCTGGTGTATAACTCATATGGTATATATTTTTGAATGCTACTAACGCCTGCCCTTTCCTAAATCTAAGAGTGACCCAAGGTCCCCTTATATACAACATAGCGAATGACTAGCTGGTAGATAGCTTCAAGCTAGATTTTAGACCCCTTATCACGTCATATACCTATCGTAATCCTTGTCATCTGACACTTATGTCTCTACATTTTTACAGATACTTTCTAATAATGAACCATAAGCATAAGCAGGGTTGAATAGTAAGCATCTTATTGTATATTATTGAAATGACAAAACATCAATTGTAGAACTTTAGTCGAGTATTCGAGAATCATTGGCTGATGGTTAGCAACGATACCTATGACTTTTAAATTAAGAACGTAATAATTTTAACATGCGCGCCTCTTATACTTATAGCTTTCTTCTAAGAGCCCTGTAAGGTATAATAGTAGCTTATACAGCCAGTAGTTAATTATAACTCGAAGGGTTACTATCAATTGTAAAAAAAAAACCCAGTTCCTATTAAGTCGAAGAAATTCCTCGTACTATATGTAATATATACCGCGTAAGGTTCATATGGCTACTTTATAGGCACTTAAAGATAGTTTTATATAGCTGCAAAGAGCAAATATTAATAGGAGTGTTAATGCCACTTTATTGTCTGAAATAAGAATTGGTAGGTATACATTGATATATATATATATAGTTATATAGAATTGCTTCTATTAGATGAAAGACGATTATATCAAATATGTATACACGTGTATAAGGTATACCATGGAGGTACCCTGTCTACCTGCATATGCTCCTTCAGCCCTACGGGCTGCAGCCGCCGCTAATGCGGATCGGGTAGCACCAAAAAAGCAGGGACTACATAAATGTCAAATGTCAAGGGGCACCGCTATCTCAAAACATGCTTCAAATATCTGTTAGTTGCAGTTAACGAAGTTTGATAATTGTACAACGAAGTACCTAACCTATTATATTACTTATAAGTTCACCAGACTATCGAGCCTCTTACTTACTTTTTAAGAAAAGGAAATACCTACAACCGCCGTTACAGCTTTTGGGCACCTAGGTAATATAGTTAGTTAGAATGGCGTTAGTAGACTACTCGTCTGGCTCCGAGTCTGAAGCCGAGGAAGCGGTAGTATCTGCGGCTAAAAAGCAAAAGACATCGCATAGCAAGACATCGGCAGAGCCAGCTGCTGCACTCCCGCCGCTCCCCGATGCATTCCACGACTTATACGCGTCTACCGTGCGGGTGAGCACATCCGACGACCCAGCGCTGCACCAGGGCCGTAAACGCGTGAATCCGCATAGAGCCGGCAGCTGGCCGAGCCACCTGTACATCGAGTGTAAGTCCCAGTATCTCCAGTATCTCCATCCCATATACGCAGACCTCAGATATCCAATATCCACCCGTACGAATAACAAACACGTCGCTAAACAAAACTCCAGGGCACCCCACAACTTCCCAGCGCAACATTCTCTCCGCCCTACTTTCAGATCTCCAGATAGCACTCGCGCCCCTATCAGTGAGCATCACCTCCTTCCTCACGTCGGACCTAGGCGCTCCGCAGCCGCTGCACATCAGCCTGTCGCGGCCCGTCGTGCTGAGCACCGCGGAGAAAGATGATTTCCTAGAGCACTTGGTCGCGCGCATCAAGAGCAGCGGCGTCGGGCCCTTTGACCTCGCGCCGCGGGGTTTAGAATGGCATCGCACGAGCGAGTCGGAGCGCTCGTTCCTGGTACTCAGGGTGGGGAGTGCTGCTCCCTCTTCCTGTGTTGTTGCTTCTGTTCCAGATCCCACAACAACTGGTGGAAAGGGGGGGAATAGTAGCAAAAGTAATGGAGGGAAAGGAAAAGGGAAAAGGAAAGGGAAAGGGAAAGGGGGAGAAAGCGGCGCCAAAGCAGACGCACCTACCGTCGGCCCCTCAGATAACAACCCACCCCCAGCATCTCCGTCCCCAACGCAGCAGCCGCAGCCGCACAACCCAGAGCTAGCAGCCCTCCTCCAGCGATGCAATGCTCTAGTGCAAGAACACCAACAACCACCTCTCTACGCCTTCTCCGGCGGCAGCAGCGACGACGCCTTCCACATCTCCGTAGCGTGGTCCTTTGCCGCGCCCTCGCCCGAAATTAAGCGACATACCGAGCGTGTATTCGCGGCAGGCCCGCAAGTCGAAGTGCTAGCGATGCGGGTTCCGGTGCGCGGCGTGAAGGCTAAGATCGGGAATGTGATTACGCATGTCGAGCTGCCGGTGCGTGGGAAGAGGGGGGCTGGGCACGGATAGCTGGACTAGGAAGAGGACTGGGGAGTTACTTATAATAAAGCACTTGATTACGGGCAGGTATTGAAGAGCAGATGCAGACAGCCTTTGCTTAGTGTGGCAATAAGGAAGGATACGAGACGAGACATGGATATATGTTTATAAATGCTATGTGATACGTTATTCTGCCTGCACATATACTAGTGACAGGACCTTAATTGTTATAGACATGATAATATAATCCCATTTCTGTTCTGTGGTCTGCAAATACCATCCTATCCACAAATCAAACGCCAAAAACTCCGCCCATGGATGGATGCTAGCTTAATGCCATCGCTAGAGATTTAAGCGCGTATACAAAAGCGCCTGGCGACTACCTAACCCTGAACAAGTGCCGTTGATGCGAATCCCAAGTATGCAAACCCAGTTCTACAGCTCGTCGAGGCTAGGCCGTGCGAATCCCCAGGAACGGGGTGAGACGGGTAGACCGATGTAGAACTCCCAGAGGCGTTGTAACTCCGAGAGGATGATATAGAACCTGGAATATATTAGCATTTTGGTGTGGGAGTTTCGGCGAAGGTGATTCCGACTTACAGTGTCTTCGGGAAATTTACCCAAGACTTTATAACAATCTTAAACGCCTTGTATACCCGGGAAAGCTCCTCATTGAATTCTTCGCTTATCGTCTCCGGGCTGCGGCGCTCTCTTTTAGGTGGCGCATCGTCTTCTTCATCCCATTCCTCTTCGAGCTCCGACTCGGCTTCCGGTGTTGCTTCCGGTGTTGCTTCCGGTGTGTTTTTTGAAATGCCGACCGCATGTGGCTTTTTGGCTCGGTCAGGTATCGCCTGTGTGGGCTTCTCCTCAGCCTCGACCAGGCCCCTAAATCCAACAAGAGCTTTCATGGAACTGCTTAATCTGGCATAAGTGTTGAACAGCGCTACGAGTTCTGTTCGCTTCAGCACCGGGATATCTTCGCTGTCGTTATCAAACTCGAATAGCACCTTCAATGCTGCACCGTACCCTGCGGTTTGCAATTTGCCCCATAGCCTACATTTATCGCAACCCACGCAGTCCATTATGCGGCTGACATTCCGGAACCGGTTCTTGAAATCCTCCTTTAGAGACGGACCCTCACCATTCTTAAACATGAGGCTCTCGTCAAAAATCTGAGGTACCGAGGCCGCACTCTGAGTTACGGCGAGGACTTTGGCCTTCGTAGCTGCATCCTGGTCTTCGTCGCCAGTGCAGAACGTGTAGTTCTGCAAGTGCGGGCCAATTTTGGCAATAGCGCGGGTGAGGAGAGCATAGTTGAAATATAAGTTGGAAATACGTTCGGGATGCGTATGCAACCTTGCTTTGTAACATCCCAGATTGGGTTGCCACTGGCCGGTAGTCTGGTTCAAGAAGTCCCAGCAAAGATGCGTACTAATGCTTGCGTGCATACCAGAGACGACACGGTAGAACACGCGCTTTTCTAGACACTCTCCTTCGTTCTCTAACCCAGTTTGCGTGAAGGTGGTGCTTGGATTTTGATGATGTAGCTGCAATATTTGCTGTCGTTCTGCATCCTGAAGCACGTTGCGGAAGTCCTGGGCGGCCGGTCCCTTGGCCACAGGGCTGGTCCCAAGGGAGGCAGAATGCGGGAACGAAGACCTCTGGAAGCAGTTCTCCCTGTAGATGGCGTCCCATACCATCTTGGCACCTTCGCCGGCGTATCCAGTAAAGCGCTCGGGATTGTGGACTAAACTAACATAATCGCCTTTACCGGTTGCGCTTTCGTCCTCTGGTACGCAGTAATCTCGCTCGTCACATTCATCGTCGTACTCCACTACACAACTCTCGCCTACGTTCTCTCCCAAGAGACCTTGCAGTGGCTTCTTTGGCCGCTCTTTCTGGACCTTCTTCCCAGGATGCTTCGCCGACGGCCCCTCTAGCTTGCTGAGTTCGCTTGCTCTCCATATCTTGGGTATATCTTCCTCGTTATCTATTGTGTTTACTGCGCAGGCTATATTGCCACACATGGCATTTTCATCGTTCCAGAAGGGGCATTTTTTATTGAATAGGTTGAGGCGGTAGTAGGAGAAGAAGTCGGTCTCTCTGGTCAACTCGTCTAGAGCTGGCTTGACTTCACGGTTTAGTCTCTCGAGTGTGGAATAAGAGGCACAAGCATCGGATACGATAGCGCGGGGCGAGATCTGGACAGTTTCATTTTCGTTAGAAACAATAAACTGATATTGCGATGACGTCGCTGCCAGAGAACTGGCGGCAAGACATAGATAAATAACTACGTTGCTCAATGAAGGCGACATACTGCGCATGAATCATCTCGAGCTTCTCTGCTCTTACATTGCCCAGGTGTCCCCCAAAGCGCAAAGAGTGACAGGTAGAAGAGTTTCGCCGACTTCATAACGGCGGAATCGTGCCGGGTATATAGGTGGAGGGATGGATGGACACCTAATTATTATTAGATTGTGAGGAGGGGACGGGACAAGACAAGGCCTGGCCTTTCTTCTCTTTTCGGTATTTGTTAGTTATTTGATTAAAAGGATACGTATGATGTAGGTTCAAGGTTGGTAAGGTGGTAATTAAGGTGGTAATGTGGTAATATGGTAAGAAACTTGTTGTTGAAGGAGCAACTCTGATACGCTGCTACGGTTAAATTCCAAGTAGCAACTAGGGATAGGTACATAATATCGTGTACCTAATGTATAATGCAAGTACGAAGTACAACCTTAGAACCACTTAACCTTTAACCGAACCTTTTCGATATTTCTTGTTTGGAACTTGATGGAAAGCGAGACTCAAAAATTATGAAAACAGTATAAAGTAAGATGAAGAATATTATATATACCTAACTACTCGTAATATCTTTTATTGATTAAACTGCCAGCGTGTTCGCTTTTCGACGTCATACGATTGTGGTCTGCAGACAGGCTTGTATTGATTTTTTTTTTTTGAACTACGGTTAATGGAATGTTGCCAGTTTTCATTTGCCCCAGGGTCCATTTGTTGAGTGATACCTATTACATCTGATGAATTACTGATGATACATTACAGTACATGGTAGCCAAGGACGTACCTACCTGTCTTGCCTGCCTTCTCTGTCAGCACTGCCCGGCATGTGCTAACCTAATTGGCAGCTCCCGGGGTGAAGGTGCCTATTACGGGAAGTTCTAGAAACGGTGGCCCGGAAGCTTCCATTCATCTGCGACCTGCCGATACCTCGTACCTGGTCACACAGAGAACAGAGTGGAGCGATGATACCCGCGTTTACATACACTAGGTAGTTAAAGTCTTTATGTACTACCTAATTTATATCTTATGTAGGAATTCCAATATTACTTACCTAACATTATTGCCTTGGTGTCCTTTGTGATAACTTGCCACTTCGATGTTCTTACGTGATTCAACCAAGCTTGTCGATTCGGTGAATACTTGGTCGTACGTTAAATATATTAAAAAGGTATTGTGTTAATTAGCAAGCCCCTTTCTACTTGCATCTTTGCATCTTATTTGGCGGAGGCCACCGTCTGCGCTATATTGTAGGATCTTGGCTGCTTGGTTGGCTTACCAGTGATCCCGTAGCCAAGGTTCAAAGCTTTACTTGCCTGGACCAGTAAGAAATGCAGATAAAAATAAATGTCCGAGAATAGCAAGGATATAGATAAAGTTAAGCTGTTCAAGATCTTAGTATGTTTACATATTCAAATCGTTACTGTATCTGGTAAAGCTAAGAGCTCTTCCTGGTAGTTATATTCTATTACGTAGGTATTGATGTTTATGTCCCTGTCATATAGGCTTCGCCGTGTTAAGACGTAGCTTATCATAATCAAACCACAACTACTAATAGTTTTCGTAATTAATGTTATGATGCTCTATTCATTCAAGTTCCTACGGATCTCTATAACCCAAAGGCTACTGGCCAATGCGTGGTAATTTATGTTCCAACAGGAATAGAGCGCGGGCTCGTAGAGAATCTAATTCCTTATAATCACAGAGGATCCGCTGCCGTCACAACCGAGCCGCTCAGGTCCCCCTCGTGCCTTGGAATAGATGCCAATAACCCCCATTCTCATCTGTACGTATTCCACGCCGCGAGCCGTCGTATAGTTTTATGGCCATCTAAGTTTATGAACGACATCGACAGGGAAGAACAGCCCTGTTTGCGCGTCGGTGGGTCGAGCCAGAAACCAGATGGGTGAATAGAGTTGAATTGATTAAGAACGGCCATAAATCGTCGCGTAGCATTATCCTTTAACGAATGCAGATGTCGCTATGCAGTGGAGGGCCGTATCAAGAATAATTTACAACGATAGTCGAATCCCACATGTGGTAATAGGTCAGCGTTCATATTTGGATTGCTCATAAATCACTGAGGTGCTTGATAATTGAGAGGTCGCCTTGGCGGGGTTAGCATCATTCGGCTAGGTAGGTTGGGCGTCGAAAAGCTTACTTGAATAGTAAGATGTGCGGCTCTGGTTCGTGGACTTCATAGTGTTCCCAGCCTAGGCTCTGTAGGTATCGCGTATTGTTAGTCCGCGTGACTACCGTTATAATCAACAACACTAGAACAACCCACCTGGGTAATACCGATAGCACGCCACTCGTCTTCCCACAGTAGCTTCAATGTGCCTTTGGATGGGTCGTGGTAGTCCTTAGGAATGGCCTTCAGCATAGCTTTCGGCAGCTGAACATGACGGTATTCGTATTCGCTGTCCGAGTAGCTAATCCTCCCAGTTAGTAACGTACTATAGATCCTTGCGCGACCGAATTGTCTTGCAACCATACCGAGCAGAGTAGTGGATCGAGTCGATGAATTCTTCAAGGCGCGCGCGCTCATCGTCGCTTAGAGGGCGGGGCGCCTTGTTGCGGCGACTGAAATCAATATTCATGGGCGGCATTGTGGCTAGCGAAGTAATTAAGGGTTATGATAGGGTTCGAACGATAGCCTTCTAATCGCGTGTAGCTTATTGGGTACGGAAGCTGGCGCAGATTCTAGACGGCTATATTTGTGAGAAGGAATGAAGAGGGAGCGTGAGATTAGGTATCGGCAGGCCGAAAATGTATGCTGTCGCGTGAGGAGGAGGGGGGAAGAGTAAATACGCTCCCGTCGCTTGTCGATTGTTGCTTGTCAGAGTGGATATGCGTCCTCCAACACTGCTGTGCGCGCAGATGAAACCAAACCAAATTATCAAACGGTAAAATGTTTGAAGAGTTACAGGCAAACTTGGAAGTAGCCCAAACGAAGAAGAAGAAGAAGTTACAACTTGAAGGTTGTAGGGTTATTAGTATTTGGGGAAGACAAGAGCGCGATTCTTAAAGGTCGAAGTTGCGGTCCCCAAATTTTGGTTGCATGGAAGATGGAAGTAAACAGTGCTTGAAGTGGGGGCCTTGATTGAGGATAAGCCACATCATAGCAAATTCGTACGTTATCTGAGGGGCAGGGGCTGGCAGGACGACACTAAGATGTCTACCTAAGCTGCTAGGTACAAGGTAAGGAATGGACAACAAACTATGACATAGGAGATAGGTTAGGTACTTAGGCCCGTGCACTCTATCTTTTTTCTCGTGGCGCATTGGTGCTGTAATAGAGGTTGTGTTACCTTAACCTTAGGTGAGGAAGGAGAGGTCCGGGCTTCTTTGGTTGCTAGGGGCGGGCTGGACCGGCTGGACTGTCAACGGGGAATTGGCAGCTGGCAGCTGGTGGCAAGCCTACCTAATGTATTACCTACTCTCAACGAACCTTTTGCGCAGAAGCTTTCCCCATAATATTATTATGTGCATCGACGCCTTCGCAGGACGACTTAGACATACGTATCGTATCAACTCTCTGCATTGCGATAATACTCCATTCTTCTTGGTGTTGAGTTTTCAGTGCGGGATGTTTGTGCGCTGAGATAATTCGGTTATTCTATATCGATAGGTACCGTACCTATTAACCAAAGAGGATAGGTTAGAAAGATTCCCTCTCCTATCCCGTCTTACGTTATTTACCTAGTAGCGGTACCAGCGACCAGCAATCCGCGTCGGACAACCCACAAATCATCACCACCATCGCATCGCGTCAAAGGCCCTGCAACCCCCATCATCCTAGCAGTTAAAGCTTATTGACATTTCGATTGATCGCGCAACACGGCAAGCTATAGGCTGCAACACCTCGGTTCGCTTCTAGATGCGCCTGCGATCTTTTTTCCGTCGCAGAAATGGAAAATAAGAGGAAGGCTAGCGGTGCAAATGGCATCGAATCGTCGGCAAATGACCCTAATGACCGAGCTGCTAAGCGTCGCAGACTAGTAGAGGTATGTTATCTACTCCGAATATCTATTTGACCTTCCACAGCATTTTGCGCGTAAGCATTGCCGCAGCACGGCTACATTGCCTACACTGCCTACATCGGGTTGCTGTGCACTGCAGCCGCGATGCGATGTGATGCGATGTGATGCGATGCGATGCAAACTTGTCGTGGTTTATTTTGAAAGATGAAGGATGAAAGATGAAAGAGGAGAGTTAAAGCTAGGGAGGCGGGGGGGTTAAGGACAAAAGCTACGAATGCTATTCAGATGCAACGCCTTTTCCACCGAACACCCTATCCTCTCTATGCATGCTCACAACCTCGAACCTCCAAATTCTGCAGTTTTGGGGCTCTTGTTCCCCTATACCACTATCTATTCGTTTCTAATTTGATTTTTACTATAGGAATTCGGAGATCTCATGAACGGTGAGAGTAAAGAATCAACTACTGCGTACGGACTAAATATCTTGGAATCAATCAGAGCCACTACCGATAAGAAGTATGTGCAGCTCTTTTATTATTACTTGCATGCGATACATCCCTTTAACACCTATATTGAACTTCGCTCTTTACCTGTGATTTATCAGAGTGAAGATGTACTTTGCCGACAACATAGCTAATTCGTCTGTTATAGTGGCCGTCCAGTTTCACCTTACTTTGAGAAGCTTCCTTCTCGAAGCAAGGATCCGGAATATTACCAGAAAATACGCCTACCTCTCTCCCTAGAATCGATCGAGCAAAAGCTGAAGAATGGCGAATATACCAACTTATCTACTTTGGAGGGCGATCTTAAGCGTATGGTTCAAAACGCGAAAGAGGTCAGCGAGCGCTCGTCTATGACTTTTGGCGATGCCGAACGAGTGCGTAAGGCCGTTAGCAACTTGATGACGAAGCACAACCCTGCGTATAAGACCGGCAACTATACCGCTGTCGCTACTCCACTACCACCAACCCCCGAGCCAGACAATAATGAAGGCGATGAGGATGCCGAGGGTGAAGAAGAAGAAGAGGAAGAGGAAGAGAAGGACGCCAGCGTACAGAATATACAAACCAGTCGGGAAACCGATGCGGAAGAGGTAGCTCAAGACGAAGAAGCCGAAAATGAAGAAGTTGAAGGTGAGGAGGGCGAGGAAGACGAAGAGATTGATGAAGAGGATGAGGAGGCCAACGAGGAAGACGACGACGAAGAGGACGAAGAGGAAGAAGAGGAAGAAGATGGAGAAGATGAAGATGGTGAGCCAAGCCCGACATCCCGAAGACGACGACGACCTGGCCGACCACCGAAGAATCCCGTTGCGCACGCTCGAAAAGTCGCAACCCGCGGACCGACGCCAGGCAAAGCTGATACTCACTATGAAGGGGTCTCGTATAAGGGCTTGACCTTTCAACAGGCACAGGAGAAGATCGTGGAGGAACTACTCCGAAAGAAAGACGATACGTAGGTCTATCTTCTTAACACTTTGGTATGCAGTTGGCTGATAAATTTAAAGTGGCGAATATCCGTATTTCGAGCCGTTTATCTACCTACCACCCCGATCTCTTAGGGACTATTACGAAGTCATCAAGGAGCCATTGTCGCTCAAGGCGCTACAGAAACAAGTCCGAGGTCAACATGGTAGAGGAGGGGCAACGTACGTGACCGATTTCAAGAGCTGGGCTACTTTTGAGGACCAAGCCAGTTTAATTTGGAAGAATGCCTACCATTACAATGAAGATGGGAGTGATATCTCCCTTATGGCCCAGGAGCTTGAGGTAGGGCTTCCTATCCCATTTGGTCACAATTTGACTGACTAACTGTTGCAGGAACTGTTTCAAGAGGAACTGAGAGAGGCCAAACTTCATGTTCCAGAGCCGCCTCAGCCACAGCCAAAGATCAAGCTAAAGATGCCGCCTAACTCGGAGACTCCTGTACATCCTAAGAAGATTACCATTCACGTTGGCGGTAAGAACAGCGCTACAGGATCGCCGGCCCCGGTGACAGGTCAGTCCGGCGAAGGGGAGATCACTCGTAATGGAACACCCATAAGCAGAAACCCCTTTGGTGGTTCGACGACAACTTCGGTCAGCCTGAGCCAACTCGAGAAGGCCAGAAGCATGTCGACTTCCGCAGGCCCTCCTAGTCCGTCGGCCGCAGGGCTAACGAAGTCCGAGGACGCCGTTCGACCGTCCCCAGCGTTTACGAACCAGCAGCAATTCGCACCCCCGGTGATACCCCCTACTTCGAACGCTCCACCTAGCGCTTTGCCGAATTCTTTACCTAACGTCGTACCAAATGGTGCCCTCCCCACGCCGCCACCGCCGCCGCCGCCGCCACCGCCAGCTCCAAAGTTATCAGCTGCAGAAATCCTTGAAGCCCAGAAGTACCGACCGCATCCAATTAGTAAGAGTTTTCCTTCGAATACCATATTTATATATTATTGACCACGTCACAGAGGAATCGGAAGCTATCATGCCCAAGCTTATCATCATGTCTCATCCCGAACTCCAGATTGAGAATCGAATGTCAATGACGATTCCGGCTAGTCTTACTGAAACTCAGCAAGAGATTGTTCTAAACGCCCCTACCAGCTATTACCGTCTCCGACTTAAGCCGGAGGTGGCACCATTCTTGGAGGCTCAACAACGTGAATGGAAATTGAATGTGATACATAATGGTGCGCGTCTATACCCTCCCCAAAGTCATCTTAACAAACCAGGCGAACCGGTTTTCGACGTTACTCTACAGTTTGGCCTTAATCGCCTCGAAGTATCTTTGGTAGCAGCCCTTCCGAAAGGCCAGAAGGCACCCAACGGATTAACTATGGAAATGGAAAAGTTCGTGGTGCATTTTAACTTGCTCAGACATTCATAGCGGGCGTTTTGATTGAAAGCGCTGGCAGCTAGAATATAGTTCAGTTGTTGTCTTCATGGAATTATTAGTTCGCGTCTCTATGGTTGACTTTTGGAGTTGTACTCGGTGGAATCGGAACGAATAGGCTCTAACTACTCAGGTACATTTTGGCCAATAAGGCAATCTACATATTTGTACGTCTAGGAGGTTCATTGTGGTGGAAACTTGCTGATAGTCACCCTCATAATTTTAGGGAAGACTCGTGAGTCGTCAGTTAATTGCGTTGCTTTAGTCTTAGCTATATAAGAATGAATCCCAATTCTTGCAAATCAACTATTACGGGTCAATGCAAACAAGGTTTATCCAAGAGATATTATGTGCAACTAAGCCAACGTAGACATAACGTATGTTTATATCCACATACGTTGGGAACTATCGAACATGTGCTCAAGTATTTTCAGCGCCTTTAGAAAAAAAAAAAAACATATTTGAGGACCCTTTTTTGGTGGGGTGGAGATAGGTTAGACAGGTGATTCAGCCAGTGATAGCCCAGTCCAAAAGGCTGGACCCTGAACTTAAATGGTCCCTCCAAGTACGTACCCTAAGACGCTAAACCGGAATTATATTAGTTCCGGCGGCAAAGGTGGGATGGGGAAAAACAGAAAAAAAAATTTGAGAATTGCAATTATTTTCACCGCCCGCATAAAAATTCGTGAAATCCCCCCTCCATAACATCCCCCTCCATACCTTACCTTCTGGTCCATCGTCCCCAGAACAATTTCTTTCCGCAACACCAACTGTATCTGTCAACTTGTTCAGTTGTAAAGAAACTTCACAATGGCGGAAGAAGTCTACGACGGTGCCATCGGCATTGATTTGGGTAAGTTTTTATAATCTCTTCCTCATCATTCACCCCGCACCTCGACATGTCATTCTGTCGCATTTATGACCTGTTGGGAAATTTTATGCTGTAATGGGCACCCACTAACATTTATCACCTTTGTGTAAATAACAGGCACGACCTACTCCTGTGTCGCTGTCTACGAGGGCAACAATGTCGAGATCATTGCCAACGAGCAAGGTAGCTTTACTACCCCTTCTTATGTCTCCTTCAACGAGAAGGAGCGCTTGATTGGTGAGGCTGCCAAGAACCAGGCTGCTATGAACCCCCGAAACACCGTTTTCGATGTCAAGTACGTTTTCACCCCGCGCCCCAAATTTTCCCTTTTTTCTCGCGGGACCGCACAGCTAATTTGTTTTGCGATAGGCGTCTGATTGGCCGACCTTTCAACGACCCCATCGTCAAGAAGGATATTGAATCATGGCCTTTCAAGGTCGTCGAGCAGGGTACCAACCCTCTCGTCCAGGTTGAATACCTAGGAGAGACCAAGACTTTCTCTCCTCAGGAAATCTCCGCCATGGTCCTCACTAAGGTAATTCAACACAACTACGCATAATGCTGAATAACAGACTAACCCAATCTTTATAGATGAAGGAGATTGCCGAGGTCAAGCTCGGAAAGAAGGTTGAGAAGGCCGTCGTCACCGTCCCGGCTTACTTCAACGACAACCAACGTCAGGCTACCAAGGATGCTGGTTCCATTTCTGGACTTAACGTGCTCCGTATCATCAACGAGCCTACTGCCGCTGCTATCGCGTACGGCTTAGGCGCCAACAAGTCCAACAAGGAGCGTAACGTTCTTATCTACGATCTTGGTGGTGGTACTTTCGATGTGTCGCTTCTTAACATCCAGGGCGGTGTTTTCACCGTCAAGGCCACTGCTGGTGACACCCATCTTGGTGGACAGGACTTCGACACCAACCTTCTTGACCACTGCAAGAAGGAGTTCCAGCGTAAGACCAAGAAGGACATCTCTGGTGACCCGCGAGCCCTCCGAAGACTTCGGACTGCTTGTGAGCGTGCCAAGCGAACCCTGTCCAACGGTGCCCAGACCACCATTGAGATTGACTCGCTTTTCGATGGCGAGGATTTCTTCCTTCAGATCACCCGTGCTCGTTTCGAAGACCTTAACGCCAAGGCCTTCAATGGTACATTAGAGCCTGTTGCCCAGGTCCTAAAGGATGCTGGCGTCGAGAAGAGCGCTGTTGACGAGATTGTGCTTGTCGGTGGTTCTACCCGTATCCCCAAGATCCAGAAGCTTCTCAGCGACTTCTTCGACGGTAAGAAGCTCGAGAAGAGCATCAACCCTGACGAGGCTGTTGCCTACGGTGCTGCCGTCCAGGCTGGTATCCTCTCCGGCAAGGCCACCTCGGCTGACACCTCCGACCTTCTCCTTTTGGACGTTGTCCCTCTATCTCTCGGTGTTGCCATGGAGGGTAACATCTTTGCCCCCGTCGTTACCCGCGGCCAGACCGTCCCTACGATCAAGAAGCGAACTTTCACCACTGTTGCCGACAACCAACAGACCGTGCAGTTCCCCGTTTACCAAGGTGAACGTGTCAACTGCGAGGACAACACCTCCCTTGGAGAGTTCACATTGGCGCCCATCCCCCCCATGCGCGCTGGAGAGGCCGTTCTTGAGGTCGTCTTTGAGGTCGATGTCAACGGTATCCTAAAGGTTACCGCCACTGAGAAGACCTCTGGCCGCAGCGCCAACATCACCATCTCCAACTCGGTTGGTAAGCTCTCGTCGACTGAGATCGAGAGCATGATCAGCGACGCCGAGAAGTTCAAGAACAGCGATGAGGCTTTCAGCAAGCGATTCGAGGCTAAGCAGCAGCTAGAGTCCTACATCAGCCGCGTTGAGGAGATTATCTCCGACCCCACTATGTCCCTCAAATTCAAGCGTGGCCAGAAGGACAAGATCGAGCAGTCTCTTAGCGATGCTATGGGTCAGCTTGAAATTGAAGAGTCCACCGCCGATGACCTTAAGAAGAAGGAGCTGGCTCTGAAGAGACTTGTCACCAAGGCTATGTCCTCCCGATAAAGGAGTCTCTCATTATTTGGCGAATTAGGTCATGGATTATAGATGGGCGGCTGGCTAGGGTCCCTAGAGTCTCCCATAGGTGTTTTTGATGCACATCTGCGCTGGATTGACATTGGCATCCAGAGGGGGGAAAATAGGACTTGATGGTTCATTCGGCTTGGTGAGACACGAGGGAAAACACAAAAGTCTTCCAGGATGGTCTTAGGCTTCCATGGTCCTGTTACCCACTATATCCCCTTCCCCTCCCCCTCACGAAAAACAACCACCATCGGCTGGTTGGCGGCGTATTTGCATGTAGACTAGGGAAAAAGTGACCCAACAGGGATGATTGCACAATGAATTTAATGTCTCTCACGTTAGCCTTTGTATCTTTTTTTTCTTTGTTTTTAGATTGTTCTTCTATCTCTGTATGCCGCCTCTGTAGATGGTGATCTAAAATGAATATTCTTGGGTTCTCTTTTAGGTAAGGTACCCCTTCGCAGATATGTCGTGATGTGACCTAGTGCCCCCGCAGGTATCGGCACCATTTAACGCGATTCTCCAAAGTCGGGGTCCCGCATTTCAGTGTAATCGCTGGGGGGGATATGTAGAAGCAGGCCAAGTGAACAATACCAAATACAAGCTATCCTATTGGGTTGTTGTGATCACGACTTATACACAACACATCTTGTAAAGTTTCACCTTTATTAGCAACTATGTCTTCAAGCACCCAGAATAATACAGATAAGTTCCGGCGGGATACGGAGCTCAACGGAGACTATGACCTGTCACAGGCGATCGACTCGCGCCAGGGGATGCGGCAAGGACTGACATCGTACGGGGACGCGCACTTCTCGCTGTTCTTCCGTAAGGTGTGCATCAAGGCGCTAGGCTATTCAGAGGACGCGCTGTCGCGGCCGATTGTCGGTATCGTGAACACGTTCTCCGGGTTCAACCCGTGCCATGCCAACGTGCCGCAGCTCATAGATGCGGTGCGAAGAGGAGTGCAACTTGCGGGGGGGCTGGCGGTGGATTTCCCGACGATTAGTTTACACGAGTCGTTTGCGGCGCCGACGAGCATGTACCTTAGGAATCTGATGAGTATGGATACTGAGGAGATGATTAGGGCGCAGCCGGTTGATGCGGTGGTGTTGGTGGGAGGTAAGTGTAGCTATTTATGAGTTTGTTTGAGGCGTACTTGCTTAGAGATAGATATATGTGCTGAGTCGAACAAACAATAGGATGCGATAAGACGACGCCGGCGCAGCTCATGGGCGGTATATCGGCGAACAAGCCCATCCTGCATCTCGTCACGGGGCCGATGATGCCGGGTAGCCATAAGGGGGTTAGGATCGGGGCGTGTACCGACTGCCGGAATAACTGGGCGAGCTTTCGGGCTGGTGTTATTGATATCGAGGAGATTGCGGCGCTGAATGAGGAGCTTGCACCGACGGTAAGTGTTACGGATATATCTGTTTGGAGATGTTTGGAGATGTGCTGAAGATGAGATATAGGCTGGGACGTGTGGAGTTATGGGCACGGCGAGTACAAGTGAGGATTTTTCAAGATTGCTTATTGCCCCTTTTCGCTACGGATGATGCAATCATCATACTAAATCCCACGCCTAATATCTCAGTTGAGGATCGATCTGCTAACTGAATTACTCTATAGTGGCATGTATACTAGTCGGACTCGGCCTCATGCCATTTAAGGGGGCAACAGCACCAGCCGTATCATCGGCTCGCCTGCGAATTGCGGAAGAGACGGGTGCTACCGCTGTGAAAATTATTTCAGCCGGCGACAAACTAAAACCGCAGGTCTTACTCACGCGGGAGTCATTCCTAAACGCTATTACTGTACTACAAGCCATTGGCGGCTCTACAAACGCTGTGGTTCACTTGATGGCTATTATTAACCGGCACCCTACCGTTGCGGGCACTATCACTCTTGATACCTTCGACGAGATCGGCTGCCGCACTCCTCTCCTTGTAGGTCTGAAACCTAGTGGTTCTAATTACATGACCGATTTCCACAATTCAGGCGGCATGGCTACGCTGCTACGGGAACTGAGGCCACTCCTGTACTTAGACGCACTGACGGTTTCCGGGAAGACGCTGGGTGAAGCACTGGATAGCGAGCGCTCAATACCGGTACCTCAGGAACTACGCTGTATCCAACCCTTCGATGTCCCTCTTTATCCAGCTTCCTCGCTAGTCGTGTTACGCGGTAACCTCGCACCCGGAGGCGCCGTCATGAAAGCGAGCGCGTCTAAAGACCGCAGGTTCCTAAAGCATTCTGGGAGAGCCGTAGTATTTGCTGGGTCCGCAGACCTAGCTGCACGTATCGACGACGAGAACCTAGAGGTCACGCCCGACAGCGTATTAGTGCTACAGAACATTGGACCGGTGGGCAATCCGGGGATGCCGGAGGCCGGGCTGGTGCCGATCCCGCGGAAATTAGCAGCGCGCGGGGTGGTAGATATGCTGCGAGTTTCGGACGGGCGGATGAGCGGTACTGCTGGTGGTACTATCGTGCTACATGTCTCGCCAGAAGCAGCGAACCCGGCGTCTGTGCTGGGGATCGTAAGGGACGGCGATGTGATTACGTGCGACGTAGAGAAGCGACTTTTGCAAGTTGAAATTAGCGACGAGGAAATTGAGAGTAGGAGGGAGGCCAGGCGCGCGGAGGTGGAAAAGGCCGATTCGAAACACCCTTGGAAGGCGAGGGAGAAAATGAGAGGGTATAGGGGTTTGTATATGAGGTCGGTCAATGAGGCGGATCAAGGGGCGGATTTTGACTTTTTACGTGCTGAAGGGTCAGGGTGACTGCTATTATAACTTATAAGCCATATATCAATAGTCATTTCATTGCTAGAGACGCCATAAAAACAGTACATTCATGAGTTGGCTGGTTGGGTAGGTAATTCTTAAAGATTTCATATAACCAGCCGGAATATCAAAGATCATAAATCATAACTTCCAGGGGCTCATTGATCTTTAACAACAAGAAGAGGTTTTCCAATTTTCTTTGCCTCTTCATTTAACGCATCGACCTCAGCTTGTACCAGCGGGATTCCCGTTTTCTCCCTCTGTTCTTGCGTTAACTGCTCGATTTCGCCCGGGAAGTAAATCCGTTCGACACCGGCGGCTTTATCCGAGCCAACGACACGTTGGTACAGAAAGTCCATTCTCTCCCGGAACTCGTCGAGGCTCATGAACAGGTCCGGCTTGATAGCCACGAGGAAGTGCCCGACGTCTGATGCTTTGCTTGGGTCGTATGGACCCGTAACTCCGCCTGCGAATGCTGAGCCTGTATGTACGTCAAGATTAGAAAAAAGAAAGCTAGAGTAAATACTAAATATGTCGCGCAATGGCTTTCTCACCGGATAATACCCCCGAAAATACATCCATCATGATAGCCAGTGCCGAACCCTTAGGTCCTCCCATAGGAAGCATAACTCCCTCTAAAGCCGCAGCCGGATCATCCGTCGGTCTCCCTTCAGCATCCAAAGCCCAGTCCAAAGGAATCTTTTCGCCCCTCCTCTCAGCTTTGTAAATCTTGCCCCTGGCTGCCACAGATGGTGCCATGTCCAATATAAACGGCTTTTCCTTGCCCCCGGGAGCACCGCAAGCAATAGGCGACACGCCCATGAGCTTGCTCTTGCCGCCGAACACGGGCAGCGCGGGGCTCGAGTTGGTGAAGACCAGACTCATCATTCCGGCGTCGATGGCCTGCTGGACGACCCAGGCGCTCATGCCGAAGTGGTTCGAGCGCTTGACGCCGACCATGCCGACGCCGAACTCGCGCGCCATGTCGCAGGCCGTGCGCATCCCGACCTCCGCCGCCAGGAACCCGAAGCCGTTGCGCCCGTCGACCTGAGCGACGACGGGCGTGACTTTCGAGACGGATGGGGACGCGGTGGCGTCTAGCACGCCGTTGCGCACGCGCGCCATGTACGACGGGATCCGGTTGATGCCGTGCGTGTCGACGCCCCGCAGGTCCGCCGCCACGAGGCATCGCGCTACGATGGCGGCGTTGGGCTCCGGCACGCCGTTCCCCAAGAGGACGCCCTCGATGAACCTCCGGGCCTCGGTGGCTGAGACGTAAATTTTAGTGGTGTCGGAAGGAGGTTGAGGTTGAGCTGCTGATGTCTCGGCCATGTTATGTAGGTACCTAAGGTATGTCGATTGGTAAGACTGGTACCTACAGGCTACGGTACGGGATAAAAAGATGTTGATCTTAAGTGTTAACTGTGAGATTACGATAGCTAAATGTGGAATTTGCAACTCCGTATAGGTTAGGTAGATACATAGCCCGGAGTACTTATTCCGAAGAGAAACTCGTCCGACCTCGGACTCGGTGCCGTTGCCGAGATGACTCCAACGGAGCGGAGCTATACCGAGGTTCTCCGCTTTTATTGGTAGCTTGGGTACCCAAGTAATATAAGACAAACCCCTTTATAGTTAAGAACAAACCAGTAAGAATTTACATTTTTCTTTTCCACTTGAAATTGTTGTGCTTATAAAGAGGAGCTACGCTCCGGCCGCATCAAGCATGGCCATGAGTATAGCAAAGAGGAACGTGAAACTTCTCGAGCCTTACTACGAGGGCCGATTTGAAGGAGATGGTTTTAAAGCCGAGGAGATTAATATAGCAGACTGCGTCCTTTTCTCATTCCTGCAGTTCTCTAAGAAACTATATGGGGTCGATATAGTGGCGGATTCGGAGTTGAGAAATTTGAGGAGGTTCTATGATACATTTAAGGAGAGGGATAGCGCTAAGATCTCGGAGGACTTCTATCCTCAGTATATTAAGGAACTTGCTCCTGTCTGGCTGGAGTGATGGCTACGATAGAAAGGGTATATAAGGATGTTTAGTAGAGGAAGGATCAGACAAGAATAGAAATAATAGAAATAATCAACTTCAGGTATACGTGTCCATAGGCTTGAGCAAGTTAACATTGGACCCGAGATTTAATATGGATTGGTAGGACGGGGTACTATGCAGAACCTTGAAGCCCTTTCTTTAGAGATCCAGTCTTAGCCTTAACTTGGGGCTATATAGGCACATAACAGATTATACCTATTCCAAGTTATCCGAATCAGGTTCACGCTTGACTATATCTGGGACAATACGTATTCCACCATACATTGAACCCTAGTGCCCCCTGTCAACCCGTAGCGGTGTGTATATGTATATATTTCGTTCGACCCACCTCCCGGCCTCAATCTGACTTCGAGGTTTAGCTAGGTATAGCGGCAATCCTCCCATGCTGTTGGGACCACGTGTCAGTATATAAGGGATACAGCTCAGCTTAACTTGTTCCTTCTGCTTTTTTTATAGTCTTTGTGGGAAAGGATCGGTCTCTTCGAATCGAGTGTTAATAACAGGTATCTAACTGTCTAGCGGATTCAAGCCAATCCCATAGAAAACGTAAGTAATCCAGGTACCATTGCGGGCATACAATTTTGAGCGGGTTTATCGAGACTCTACTATAACTAGGTAGTTATCTACATGGCTACGCGGCCCAAGTGGGAATATGCAAAGCACGTATCCAGAGACAACCTAAATCTACAGAAGCTAGATTTATCATAGGAAGTCATCTACTAGCGAAGTAGAGGAGGCAACTTGTTTCCTATTTCCATATACTATTTTTAACCTAAGTACCCTAGGCACATACATTCATAGTATCAAACCCCTACAATCCCTGCTTATGTCCGCCGTAACAAATCCCCTTCACCAGATCAAACCAAACTCTTAGTAACAGCATCCAGCTAGGCGATGTTTGGGGGTTCGTTGACCACATCATCCTTCTTAGCGATACTCGGGGGCTCATTGATTATGTCCTCCCTTTTAGCAATGACCGGAGGTTCGTTTACAAAGTCCTCCCGCTTAGCGATAACTGGGGGTTCGTTGACTACCTCATCCCACCTAGTAACAAGAGAGCTCTCAGCGACCGCTGCTTCTATTGAAACCCGGTTAGTCTCTAAAGGTTGTCCATGATTACCTATTCCTATGTATCAAGTGCTTAACTTACTGAATGGAAGCGCTGTGGCTGCTGGTATAATGGCACATGCCAGTAAGAGAGACTTGCTCAGAAACATGTTGATATCGAATGTAATTCGTACGCGAACAAAAGAATTATTGTGTTATGTCAGTATGATGTCTTCGAGGTGAATATTATTTTAATATCCGTGGCCCTGGAGTTCTTGGCTAACCGTCAGTTCGGGAGGACGCCAATATATGCTGAATAATTTCCAAAAGTCGGGTTCGCAGAAACAAAAGTAGGCGATATGTGACTGTCTGTACAGGAGCGGGTCAGCTAACTCCTTGAGCCATGAGTGTTAATGTCCTAGATGAAACTATTGGCTGTGACAGAGTCGGTTGAATAGACGTGTCTATGCAAGACGAAGGCGCTACGAGGAAATGCCGCCGTCACATCGAAAGGAATATTCCGTTGTCTGCCTTGGCATATGGTTGGCGATTGTTATGTGGTTTTATTCTTCAATGCGACGGCAGCGCATATCCATACTACCATGTGATTCCCTGATATCTCAATGATCTGGATCCCGCCTTATGCAAGCCAAGTATCGATGACACCCTGGATGCCTTATACGGAAGGATCATCCGCAACCGTTCCATTGGGAGATGCTTGATGTCTATAGTCGCAAGACAGGACTTACCTACGTGCCCCGTCTCCTTTACCTTTACTTGATGTTGAAAAGTTCCTCCTTCATTTCTCGTGTTGACATTTTCTTCGATATAGCGACCAAAAATCCCGTCCAGGCTAGTGCTCGTCAGCTACAATGTCCGAAAAACATGAGTATAAGCCCTTAATGGGCGAAGAAACAAGTGAAGAAATCCAAGGCCTCGAAAACCAATATCCTACGAGCACAGCAAAAGCAACTAAGCGGTCGAATCGGTTTAACATAATTCTAATAATACTCATTGCCCTCTCACTTTCTCTAAATATCTTACAGATCAGCCTCTACAAGGTGTTACTCTCACATAATGCTCGGTGCGAGTCTGAGACACACCGCACAAAGTATGGTATGGTTATCAAACCTCTCAGGAATCTGAAGAAGCTTTACTTATATCTTGCTCTAGCCGGGTTAAAAGAAGGCGAAATTGATGTGTTTTGGAACCAGAAAGGCGCCTACACAGACCCCGACGATGATGTACGGGATCGCCTTTGGGATAGTCTGGACTTCGACCCGGGAGTTGTCGCCGTACCTAAGTCGTGGGCGGTGGAGAAAGGCTTGGATGAAGGCGCAACCTTTCCTTGGGATTCTAGCAAATCTCTCTATTTCGTGAACGCTTATCACAGCTTACACTGCATCGTATGGGACCCGGATCGTTTCAACCAACCATATAATCATATGCTAAAACCTCTCGTAGAAACAAGTTTATCGAGCTTTCAGAGACTACCGAATGGGAAACCCTCCGTCGATATCGAACGGACACGTAGTCCACTGCTTAGACCAGCTGCTCGCGGATATTAAGTGCCAAGCGGACGACACGCTCCGCGCCACAAACGTTTCGACTCCTCATAACTCGGCCGTATATCAAACGCATAAGTGTCGCAGCTGGGACGCATTAGAGAAATGGACGCAGACTTATCCGAGCTGTTACCGCTACGGAAACGGCACCTTCGAGGACAATCAGCCAAGCCAGCTTCCGAGATTTAGGTTCTGTCAGGAGGGTACCCCTGAGTTGGAAAAGGCCCGGAAGTATTTTGGAAAAGGGGAGGATTGGAAGCCTATCGAAGAAAAGAAATTTAGCTGGTTTGATTGAGAAGGTATAGGCCTACATATGCCAAATCAAGCTTGTTCGCCAACTAAGTTCGGATATGTGATCAAATACCGCATCTAATACCCTCACCTAATACCCCAATTCCCATATATCCCCCTGGCCTTACCTTAAATTCAAAACCATACCGTACCTAAGTAGACGGCCATTGGCGGGTGATCCTACCTCCATCTAGCTAAATAGCCTCGTATAACCTTCGGGATTTGTTATGGTGACTTGACGTATCGCCTCAACCGTAAGTGATGGGTGCTGCCTCTAGTTTGCCGTTAATGCTTGCTGGGTTCTACATATTGGGTGGTACAACATATGTTCGGTCATCATCAAAATATAACACCTCACCGAACAACTTATACCCGCTATCGTATAGATGGGCGTGATATATGCCGACTCTCACCTCCAGTCAAAATTCTTGGAGTACGTTGCTATCCCCCAGTTGTGGCACCTGCAGCACCAATCAACTAAAAGGGAACGCCGTGGGTGTTGCCGACCGTTCATAACCGGAGTCGAAAGACTTGTTATGATTGTGGGACGTTGTAGGTTGCGAGATACATTGCGCTGTGCCATCGGCACGATGCCCGTTGTCCTATTCCTATGTAGATATTAGAGAGCAAAATCGGATCGTCATTAAGGGAGCCCCACGATTGACCCATGGAACTCAGATCCAACAGATCTAAGAGAGCTTAATCAAGTAACAAAATGCGAAACAACAGATCTTTACTCGTATATACAAATAGGCCAACCGCCTAATGATAGGAAGAAGTACGTAGTGCTCCATTTGTATACGTATACCATGCCCGTGCACAATCCTTCCGGCCCGTGCCACACACCGACGCGATGCAACGCAACGTCGGTAATCATCTGACCGTGGGGGCAGGAGACGATGGAGGTCAGCACTATAGTAATCCGCAAACGCCACACCCGCTGCATGTCGGAGGCCCTGTCAGCCTGTTGAAGTGTTCTAACGCTTATCCATCAAGCCTACGACAGCACTATTCTGTTTATGTGAAGACCCTGAAAGTGACAGCTGTAGGGATATTTCCAACCTTATTTTATCCCCATATATAGTGTCTTACGCGTAAGATTATAGAGCATAGTGTAATAGCCCTAGTCAAAGGTGAATACAAAGATAGTAGGTAATCCGTAAGTCAGTATAAGTTAGGTACATATACACGTACATATATTAGGTACTTAATGGAGGCGTGTGCCAAATGCTCTACGTCTAGACCAAGATATTGAACTAAACTAAAACTCATGATGGAATATCTTAACTTTCTCTTATTAGTTATTCGAAATTTCGTTTGTCTCTTGATCTCAACGCTTGACCATATCTCATTAAGAGTAGCGGGACGGGTATGAAAGCCAACGCAATAAAACCCAACACCGAATTGCCCCAGCCGAGCCCTAGCTTTTGATACAATGGTGGCCCTGCGAGCGGAACAAAAGTTCCACCAAGATTTCTCAATACGGCACACCCGGCAACTGCGCTTGCAGCATATATTCCAAATGCGTCAACGAGGTAACTTCGCACCGGAATTGTGGTGGAAACAAGACCCATTCCCAGGATCCCGGTAGCGATGATTGGCGCCAAGAAATGCGTGTGAACCTCGGCCGTCCAACCGTACATGAACAGGCCAGCAGGAAGAATAAACCCGCCGAATATAACAGGTGGAAGACGCTGTTCAGGTCGAACTTGTCCGGATTTGGCCTGTCGACGAACCCAGAGATCGAGCGTGGCTCGACAGAAGAAAACACCAATCACGCAGCCGATACCTATAGCATGTAGAGGTTAGCAGAAACTATGACGCTTCGACTCTAAGCTACAAGCAACTTACCAAGTCCTAGAAAGCTGAGGCCGACTACGGTTGATGAAAAATTGTAAACGGACTCGAAGACAGAGGTGATGGTTGTCATAACGAGGTAGAGATACCCGTAAACCACAGCAACGTACAGGGACAGTAAGAATAAGATGGGCGACGTGAAAAGCAGCAGCAAAGGTCGTATACACGCATTTTGAAGTAGCTGTAGCGCCGTGTGCTCTGTTTCATACTTGGACTTTATGTTAGGGTTATTCGTTTCCTTACGAAGCCGTTGTGCTTTTCTTTTGAGGATCTGTACGGAATAGGTTTCGCGCAACAAGAGCAAAAAGCATATCTCGAGAAAGCCGCACACGATGGTGATGAGCCAGAAACACCATCGCCATCCCATCGCACCGCCGAGATAACCTCCTATAATAGGACCGACGACGGGCCCTAGCATCGTAGCAAGACCTACTATTGACATTGCGCTTCCTCGCTGCTCAACCCGGAAGAGATCACCGACAATGCTGGGGTTGAGCGCCGTAGACACAACTGCTAAGCCGTTCAGGAAGCGGAATGCTACCAACATCTGTATATTAGTGCTCAAGGCGCAAGCGGCCGAGAATATAATGCAGAGGATATTGCCGGCATGGTAAATATACAATCGTCCGTAGAGCTCAGAGAAAGGCGCGACGATGAGCGGGCCGAAGATTTCTCCAAGCTCCCAAACCGAGACGATGAAGGTTATGTAGAAGTCGTCTGTCTCGTTGAACTCAGCCAAGATCTGGGGCGCGACCGGCGCACAGATGATGGTCGCCAGAGATCTGAAGAGCCAGCCACGTTAGAAAACCAGCTTGCGCAGATACGATCGATCGGGCAAGACTTGCACTGCGAAATCCAGCAGAGAGACCAAGACGATTAGAGACCACTTGAGCTTCGGGGACCAATTTTGAGGATTTGATAAGTCTGTCTCGTCGCCGAAGTCAACAACAAGGCCCCCTTGCTTGGTTTCTGATCCTTCTCGATCCGCGTCAATCGGCCTGGACGAAATTGAGGGGGAGGGGGCTTTTTCGGTTGCGTTTGAGGCTTCTTCTATCTCGGCCGACTTGACATCGTCGGGGGATAGGGATAGGTCGCTGGATTCGACCATTGTAAAATGAAATAATTTACCTCGTCTCAGCGCGTGTAGCTAGCAGCTAGCTACATAGAAGTGACAAAATGTTTAACCTACTTCAGGGGGAAGTGGTTGTGTAATAGTCTTTCGCTGCATCTTTTTACCTCCTACTACCTTAAGTCACAAATAGCGACGCAGGTATCTTCTCCGTTAAAAGATCTTCAAACAAACGGCCAGGCTGCCAGGGTATCCTTTAACATGTAGTAACATTGTAGATAAGCTGTGAGATGGCTCCAGATAGGCTTCTTATTACGATACGGAGTTCTGATTGGCTGACGCATCATGTTGCATTCCGAAAGGGGTATACGCTAAGCCCGTCTCAAGCTCTGATTGGCTAGTTTCCGTAGTTGGATTTTCTGGAGACCCTTTAGTTTACGAGTTATCATTTTCCGTTCGCAGGAGCAGAGGAGTTGCCGATGTGCATCATTACATGGATTCGATGCATCCATGTAATTCTCAAGGTGTGGAACTTGGGGTAGGTAGCCTGTAGGATGAATTTTAATTAAGCATCAGATATCTGTAATTCTACATCTACATTCTATTGGGCAGATTTAACATCCCTCGCATCCCTCTTCATGATGAACCCATGGATAGGACACTCGAGCCTTTCTCTCTCCGCAATGAACTCCTTGCTGGGATTCTCTTCCTGGGCGTCCAGGTAGAAATCACCAATCACATAAAACCCTTGCTTTTCATAGGTGCGGCGAGCCATCTCGGTAGATTCGACGAATGATTCCAGGCCGAGCTCATCGGCTTTTCGAGCCCCCCACTCCAGCATCAAGCTTGCGGCGCCCCGTTTCCTGTGCGCTGAATGCACGAAGCATAGTGATATCACTATATAATTTCCCGAGTGGTAAGTACCTAAGCCACGAAGCCAAGAGACATAAGTGAAACCTACGTATGTGCGGCTTGTTCATCAGGACTGGACGATGCTTTCCCAGGCAGGCGAGGAGATGATCTCCGACCTGTCTTAGGGGACCTGATGCATAGGTATCCTCGTTCAGTACCTGCGTGTCGTTGTCCTGTCTTGGCTGTTCTGCAACGCACCTTCAGGTAGCCAAGAAGCCTTTCGTGCGGGTTGTTCGACCGCGTATGGATTTGTCTCGTAAATAATATATCGCGTACCCCCAATCACTTCGCCAGTGCTTTCGTCGGTAACATAGACCCAGTGGCTACCAGGCTGGATTTTATGCCAAACTAGTTGACGGGCGCAAGCCTCTTCTGGCGAGGTGCCTTTGGTGAGTTCAAAGACGCCATTGAACGGGTTACTATAGGCCTCGTGCTCTGCGGCGTTTATCTTCTTGAAGTCCTCATCGTTTGTAAGTTCGTGGAGCTTCAAAGACATGGTGAACGGGGGTGGTGAGGGGGTATAGGGAGAGAAGCCGTAGTGAGAGCGAATTGAAGCTGAATATCAAACTTAAGATAAAGCCTTCTCATTCATTCCTTCCAACAAGTATATCTACCTACCTAACCTCCCTAGGTATACCTAATAGCGACCGATCCGATGTAGGACGCTGTCACGTGTCGTATTCTCTTCCGTATCTCGTACCGTAATCCCGCTCATGATGGACAGGTACTATCCAATCGTATTCGCGTATGGGTTGAACCAATAGACGTTAATATTCGACAAACGTACATAAGTAACGCTACAACCGTCGAAAGGCGACCAATAACAACTCTTCGCCCCTACTTACGAGGGTTACATCTTACCTACATGTATACGGCGGATAGAAGTCCAGAAGTCTTGTAAGCGTTACATCCCAAATGCTTAGCTCAATGCTTAGCACCTATAAGGGCGCCCTCGGCTTTCATTTTGGTAGCAGTCAAGGTGATAGACAACCTTCCTCTCGTGGTATTTTCTCTCACACATGCATCATTGTCCTCGAGAAAACGTGTGTTCAATGCAACGCTTCTTTCTTTTCTCTCTCCCTCTTTTCCCGGGATTAGACCTGCTTCTTGTAATCTAGGCTCTAGCTGTACGCATCGCCCGTCTGAAATGCCAGCCATCTAGTATGATCTGCATCCAGCGCAGGAGCTGACCCCTCGGCTCGCGTTAGAAGACGTTTTGGGTCGCCTGCTCTCTTTGGATTGCCTGAATCCTTCTGTAGGCTGTAGCAGACCTGCACGGCACTCACTCAGCCTACTGCTGAGTTAATTACAATAGCCAACCCACCGAAAAGTCCATCTTACCTAAATTATCTTGGCTTAGGTATTCTTGACCGCACCGCTATCCGCTACTTCGTACTAGGTTAGTATGTGATATACTCGAGTAGGCGAGAGACGACAATAGAGAATCATGATCAAGGCTCAATGAACTCCTCCGATACGAACGTCTCCCTGCACGACAGTCCCGATAACCACGGGTCGGTGGTTAACCTGGTATCATGGTTCTTCATCATTTGCAGCTTTCTCCTAGTCTGCACTAGGCTGGTGACGAAATGGGGGGTTTCGAAGTCGTTCCATTGGGACGACACGATGATTGTAGCGTCGCTGGTGAGTTGCCTCTATCAAGGTTATAATAATAACATTATATAGTGTTCTAATTTCGCTAGGTCTTCAGTATTGCGCAAACAATAGCGGCATCTATCGCGGTTGGGAACGGGCTGGGACGACACCAAAATACCCTCTCTGATGATAATATTATATCCTTTCAAAAGGTGCGCGGGCCCTTCCATAGGTCAGATTGATAACTCTAGACTTTAAGCGCTAACATCCAGCCAGTCTTACTATGCGGCAAATGTCCTTTTCGTAGCGAGCCAGGCTTTCTCTAAACTCTCCGTCATCTTTTTCATCAGAGTTATATCACCTATCAATTTCCATAGGATCCTAACGTGGATACTCACTGGGGTTACGCTTGCATGGGCGTTGACCTCCATCTTAGTGCTAATATTCCAATGCGTTACGCCGAGGACGTGGGAAATCCTTGGAGATAGTTGCATAGATCAAGATGCAATGTGGGACTATATAAACGTGGTCAATATCGTGCTCGATTTCTTTCTAATATGGTTGCCATTCGTGGTCGTATGGAAATTACAGACTCATTTACAGCGCAAGATTACCGTCATATCGTGTTTTGCGACTCGAATCTTGTAAGTCTCTAGAAGGATCGCATCTCAGAACCACGTACTAATACTAATATAAATATCAGGACTATCGCCGCACTCATTTGGCAGATGATAGAGTCTCAAACGGTATCTAACCACCAAGATGCTACATTCGCATACTGGCTCATCGGCGTTGCGATGACACTGGCCCAAAACCTGGGCATCATGACTGCCAGTGCCCCATATCTAAAGCCATTCTTAGACAGTCTAGAATCTGGAATGATCCGAAGCGACGACCTTCGTCGCCGTGGGAATATTACGGGAAAGTCGTACGGGTACGGGCGAAAGCAAGATGGCTCCGGCGCATCTAAATCTACGCATTCTACATCGCACGAGTTGGGACACCTTGGGATCGCAAACTCCCAGGTAACTACTTCAGTTACTGTCGGAACGGCGCACACAACGCCTGATTGGGATGCTAGCAGCCGCTCTAGCCAGTCGAAGCTCATCAAGCAAGTTAAGAGCTGGGGGGTTACGAGTTCGCCAACCCCGGCAGGCGAATAGTCAATTTGCATCAGGGGGGTGCGAATCTGTAGATACACCGAGTAGTAATGTCTCTCTTATGATAACATCAAATTTCACCTTTTTACATTGTTGATAGCTTCAACTGCGGCGGTACTTACAATATCGCTAATGCGTAGTGGCGGCGGGACATCCCGCAATCATCCCGCGATAGCTTATTACCTGTCATACTAATGCCCGTGTGCGGCGAGGTTCACGGCTGAATTATACTAGTTATTCCCATTGTAACTTGGCCACTGGATTCTCGTACGAATTACGGTCTTTTTTTCACTAAGGTATCTATGGCTACTTGTTATTAAGATGTCCGAGACTGGAAATATTTCACGAGCTGAGCTTGAAGGCGGATCTTAGCTATAATATAAAATATAGTAGGAGAGGAATACGTCTCTAAATTGTATGTCCGAGTATCTAGATCATTCTGCTTATTTGAACCAGGTATTATATGATATGATAGGGAACTTGATGGGTAGGATCTCTATTACGTGACATCTGCTGGCTGTGGTTTATCGAATGGAGTAGCAATACCCGGGCGAATCCTTCTAATGCGATGCACGGTCATCCACATCAAAGCTCGTCTGGGGTCGTAATAGAGAGTATTTCCGGCTAACGACCGAAGGCATTGATACTCGACCAATCCAATAGGTCGCGCAGAACGAACGTCGCATCCGTTATCTCGCAACTCTCCCCCCCTTGTTCATCTGTGCTCTTCAAAGAAGAAAAACGCTTCTTCTATACGTATCAACCGTTACCAACGGCTGTGGCGCGGTATGTACCTACCTATGCCAACCCCCGACGTCGTAAGCATTCTAGAACGGGACATGCGAACGTGAAGGCCCTGTTCGGAAGCTTCAATAATTTCAATCCCTCGGTTTCGGTTTCAGCCCGGGGCTGAAACCTTCCACTAAGAATATGCACGCTTCTCCTCGAGCTGGAAGATCTTCTTAATTATCTATACCCCCATAATATTACTACTACATACTACTTACTACCACTACTTACCTACTGCCCATCCCATCCCATGCCTCTCTTTCCCATTGAACGCCGTCGCAAATAACTAGAGCCCCGCGAAGCTTTGTCGCCCTCTGGGTAGGACACGAAGGAAGTATAGGTTAGGTTAGGTTAGGTTAGGTACCTCTTAACTAAGCTAAGATGGCGGACGACTACGAGCTCAAGTCGACTAAGCGCGACGACAATGAGGCGACGTCTACCGAGCTCAATATCGAGCCGACGGAGACGACGGGAAGAGGGAGGAAGTCGATTATCGACCGCGATGACCAGGCTCTTACTCGGCTTGGGAAAATCCCTGTGCTTAAGGTAATGTAATGCGTGACATTTACTTGTATTATTAACACCAATAAACAAGTATTAATATTTTCGGCTTATAGCGCAACTTTGCCCTCATGTCCATCCTCGGATTCAGCTGTACGGTTATGAATACCTGGGAAGGAGAACTGGTGTAAGTTTCTCTCCCCACCATGCGCATTATTCTATTATTATTATTTCTTTTGTTTACTAAGACCTAACCATGCCCATAGGCTTTTCCTCCAAGCATACGAGAATGGCGGTTCCGCAGGGTCTATATACGGATTCATAATCGTCTGGATTGGCACGCTCTGCGTCTTCGCAACTATGGGAGAACTAGCATCGATGTAGGCGCATTACTTACTTACCTACCTACCTTTCACAACCAAGGCTTGAAAACAACTAACACTCCGCGCAGGGCGCCGACGTCAGGAGGTCAATATCACTGGGTATACATGTTGGCGCCGAACAATTGGCGCAAGTTCACGAGTTATTTTATCGGTATGTCTGAATATGCACTTAGTCGCTACGAAGCTTGGGCTAAGATATCATTATGAGGCTGGTTGACGGTCATCGGCTGGCAAGCTGCCGTCGCGAGCCTGGGTTATCTTGCCGCCGGTCTCATCCAGGGCGTTGCTGTGATGGGGAATCCGGACTACGTACCGTTAGCTTGGCAGAAACTCCTGCTGCTGTATGCCTCTGTCGCATTTGCGGTGTTCATCAATACGGTTGTGAGCAGTGCCCTGCCAAAGGTAGAAGGTCTCGTCTTGATCCTTCATATCCTCGGGTTCTTTGCTATTCTCGTACCGCTGGTCTACCTGAGCCCTCATAAGAGTGCCCAAGAAGTCTTTACGTCGTTCTCGAATGGTGGAGGATGGCCGACGCAAGGTCTTTCTTTTATGCTTGGCATGATAGCGGCTGTGTTTAACTTCCTCGGTATGTTCTTAGTCCTTTTCATGCGCCGCGAGGATATTGCTTGGCTAACAAGAAATAGGCGCGGATGGTGCAGTGCACGTAAGCACATTTGAATAACTCCCCCCCCCCCTATTTCGGATATACTAACAATTTTCTATAGATGTCTGAAGAGATTCAGAATGCATCCGTCATTGTCCCACGAGCAATGATTTTCACCGTCCTTTTGAATGGTACTCTAGGGTTTGGCAGTCTACTCGCTTTATTATTCTGCATCGGCGACATAGATTCTGCTCTAAAGACACCCACTAAATACCCCTTCATGGCGATATTTCAAGAGGGTGTAGGGTCGCGACAGGGTGCTCAGACCATGGCTTCGATCCTTGTAGTCTTGCATCTTTTCGCTATGGTATCCCTAATGGCTACTGCCTCTCGAATGACGTGGTCCTTTGCGCGAGATAGGGGTTTGCCGGGTTGGTTCTACATTAGCAAGGCGAGTATCTTCCCTAGCATAAGGCCTGTTGCTAGACTAACATCAAAATCCTAGGTTGAACCCAAGACCTCGATTCCAGTAATTGCAATCGTTCTCACGACGATTATCTCCTACCTTCTGGCCCTTATCACGTTAGGCTCCTCGGTGGCGTTCAACGACATCGTTTCCTTGACTGTTAATGGCTTAGACGGCGCATATCTCATCGGAAACAGTCTTCTCCTCTGGCGACGATTGACTGGTGGTATCCGCCCGTATAACCGGGAGAACACAGCATTGACCAATACCAATCACGAAAACTTATCGTGGGGTCCTATGAAAATCCCAGAACCATTTGGAACTATCGTCAATGCATTTGGCTGTGCATTTCTCGTCGTCATGTTGTTCTTCAGCTTCTGGCCGACTCACGTCAACCCCACTGCCGAAAGTATGAACATGAGCGCTCTGATGGTTGGAGCGACACTGATCTGGTCCGTGATATACTACGCCGTCTGGGCGCGCAAAGTGTATTCCGGACCGGTTATTGAGATTAATAATAGTTAGATTGTTTCTAGTGAGTAAACTAAATAATAATATTAAATGTGAAGATTACCTAACCTTTCTCACAAAGAAACCATGTCTCCTGAAGTCCCATCTTGTAGGATTGCCAATGTTAGGTACCTTTTAGCGTCACGTCACACGGGTAGGATTTATAGAAATGCAAATCGCCAAGCGACGCAGTACCTACACGATCTCTCATATGACCAAGCTTGCCAAGAATACTGAGGCACGCCGAGTCGTAGCCAAGTATACATAGTAGTAAGCCTTAAAGAATGGAGAGAGCTTATTTTGACGACGATTCTCAAGGGTATCCAAGACTATAGAAATGCTTGCTTATAGAGTAACCTTACGCGGAATGTCGTTGTCGTTAGCTTTCGGCGATAGTCCTTCAATAAGTTAATCAGGACTAGGCTATAGGTTAGGTACCTATTTTAGATTCTTGTAGCACAACAATTTGCTGAATCTCGTTGGATAGTTAAAGAGTCCTACGCTGACTGGCGCAGCGTGTGGTAGCATATGTGTGACTCCCAACGCGGCGCAGTTGTCGTTTCTTAAAACATACCTCGAGATACGTTTCCCCCGGCTTTGTCTGGACTTTTATTTCATTCCTCTTCACAATACAGACTTGTCTATTACCTACAAGAGCGTCCTGAAGTAAGGTCATCAATGTCGCTTTTCGCGGGAGCATTGAAGCAGCCTCAACAGATTTCACGTTCGCAATGCAGCCTAGACGATATGAAAGAGGCACTTAAACAAGGTCTAGATCCTAACGTCCAATGGAAAGAACTCGAGATTGACGGCTCACGTCCAACCGGGGGTTGTGTGCTTTCTAGTTACGATCCTTACGTTTCTTGGGCAAATTATAACACACCGCTCCATAGATCTTTATGGCATCATCATTACGATGCCGCGACTCTCTTGCTAAAGAACGGTGCTCGGATCGATCTATGCAACGCACTCGGGAGAACACCGCTACACGAAGCCCTTCGATTTAAGTTTAATTCTTCCCAATATGAAAAAGTCAAGTTTCTTATTGAAAATGGTGCAAATGTCAATGCTGAAAGCGAGGAGCGGTCCTTTCACGACCAGTATACGCATCGCTCAGGAGCTGCTGGAATCGTCCCCTTGCACGAGGCTATCAGGTCCTGGGATTCCCAAATGGTAACAATATTAGTGGAAGCAGGGGCGAGCCTTACGCAGTTGTCCCCGGGCGGATGGACAATCCTTGACCTTGCCATACTGGAGAGAAACGAGCCGATTATAGATTTTCTTTATAAGTCCGGTGCTCGACTTTCGGAAATATCCAACCGAGAGGTTCAATCAGATAACCTACAAGAAATGGCCCAGCTGTTACTAGCGGACGATAAAATATTTCCTCCGTCTGACTGTCGGGAAGCGTACCTCCACGTTATAAGCCACCCCGAGTTTCTCTGCGCCTGGGAAGAGTTTTCTACGGGCTCCGTATCAACGTGCCGGGTACTTCTTGACAAATTTCTCGATATTCTGTCTCGAATAGCAGAGAAGCCCAATCCAGAGAATGTCCCAGGGGCTCCAACCTGCCTTCAGTGTGCCGCGTTCCTGAAGCAGCTATCAGAGGGAAATTTATATCCGTTTGAACTTCACCCGGATCGAGACTCTCTTAGACGGTCTGCAATTGATGGGTGCTGTCTATGTGTGTTGATTCTGGATGCTTTGGCCTACGGAACCGGCAGATGGGCGGGCCTAAATTCGGTAAAGTCAACAAAGTTCGGAATAACACCCAAAATTATACTACTACCGGGTGGGTTATTCACGATTTTCATACTCCATGAGAACCAGTCCGAGACCTTGTTAATCAGCAATATGTCTGGTATGTTCCCTCCATGTCGTCGTATGTGTTAACGGTAGAGATCATGGCTTCAACGTTCAGTACCACTAATCTCTGAATCTGCCCACAGATTCTTTTATGATAGACCACCAGAAATACCCGGATGACACCGAACTCGGAACAGGTTCACCTCGAGCCTTTGAGGCTGCTCGTTCTTGGCTGGAGAACTGTAGGTTGTATCATTCGAAGTGTAATGAGTCGAAAGACGAAAACCCTATGTTACCTACCCGAGTCATCGACGTCGGAAATGAAACATCTGAGCCCTTCCTCTATCAGAGTAACGGGAGACATGCCCCATATCTTTGTCTTTCATATTGCGGGGGCGGTTCTAGCAACTTCAAAACAACAAAGGAGTCGCTTCTAGACTGCATGAACACAATCCCGCTCAGCTTATTTCCACTCACACTACGTGACGCAATTTTAGCTACAAGACAATTGGGATTCCGTTTCCTTTGGATTGATGCTCTATGTGTTGTACAAGATGACGAAAATGACAGGAAAAGGGAAGCGGCACAAATGCAAACCATATTCGCTAATGCAACTATGACCTTGTCAGCTCATGACTCTCAGGACCCCACGGGGGGATTATTCCGGCCACGTCGTTGGATCTACCCCCCTAGTCCCGTCCAGATCTCTTTGCGAGTTCCTAAAAAGCGTAAATCAGCGCGAGGAGTACATAACTATGGCCATTTCGTCATTCCGGTCCATGGAGAAAAGGAGCTCTATAAGCCCGGTCCGGACAGCTCTCAGGCATGGGCACTCCAGGAGCAGATTCTAAGTACTAGGATAATCCACTGGGGACCAGGGATATTATACTGGGAGTGCTTAAGTTGCCATGGATCTGAATCAGACCCGGAAGGTGTCACGCATCCGTATAGCAGCTGCACGGATTTTTCACGGGTGCGTCGGCAAAAGCGTATTGCGCAAGGACGTTACCAGGAAAATGATCTCTTTAGCTCTAGAAGCACCGCATTATCCCCTGAAAATAAAGAAGGGGAGGTTAACGCACCCGAGGCAGATATTGCTAAAAGAAAGTCGACATACCTAATATGGCAAGAGTCAGTCGCCGAATACAGCTCACGAGTACTGGATAAACAGGAGGATAAGATTCCAGCGTTTCTAGGTCTGAGTAGGATTATGGAACGAGTTCTTCAAGATGAGTTTGTCGTCGGGATATGGAAGAACTCACATTTATTCCCTAGCCTCCTGTGGGCCGCCGATAACTCGGAAGGAAATTCGAGGAACGGAAACTATCCATCCTGGACTTGGGCTTCTATCAACGGCAAGGTAAAATACCCTATAGACGACTCATATGTTACCTGGGAGCCGTCGAACGTGGTCCTAGATATCAAAACGTCTGGTCCGTCCCAGAATTATGCAACTGGCAGTATTATCATGAGAAGCACTATAAGGAAGTTCCCCGGGGGCAATCGGCTTTGGCACCACAAGAGCAAGCCTCGAAATCCCTCATACCGCTTAACGCCACGCCGGATAGATGAGGAGTCAGAGTTTAGGTGGCAAGATATTCAATCGATAGTTTCGGCATTTCAGGACATCAGAACCGTCTTGCCAGAACCGCAGGCTCCGAATAATCGGGAGGGTTCGGGAGACGATATTTATTGTTTAGTTGTTGCCCGTATCGGTGTGGTACCGCCGCCAACGTTTGGGTATCCTGCTTACCCTGGTGGAAGGCCTAAATCCCTCGTCTGTATATGTCTTACCCCTGTAAGTCATGACAAAGGAACCGAGACCAAGGCACCGCACAACACGTATCGTCGTGTAGGATTGTGTGAATTTTGGGACCGACCGGAGTTCTGGGAGGACGCCGTGAAGGATAAATGGGTGACCATGATATAAATTCTAGCGTAGAAACTCGATCCAAGGATTAAGTCTTATTGAGGTATACGAACTTTTGATTTTTTCTGTATATATCATAGAAAATATTCAATTACCCCTTACTTGGTAGTACGTGATAATAGGTACGTTTTCTGTGCCACGAAGAACTATGAGCCCAGTAATAGAGGTAATCGCACGCATGTACCCCTAGTTAGAGCTTTCAGCACTCAACACACTCTTACGACCCAAGAATAACCCCCTCTAGTCCATGTTATTGTTGCTTCATTTCAACTACGAAAACGCCGAGTATGGTCGTCACTTTCGATATTTCTCCTGAGTCAGGGTGGCTACAGGGGTCTGTTTGCGACTATATAAGAGGCGCGAAGCGCCATCGTCAGAGGATAGAAGGCCAGGCGTTACTAGTTCAATACAACCTAGTATTACTTGGTCTACCTACCCTAGACACTCGCTTTGTGTATGACTAACCTCAACGGGCATTAATCCTGACATATGCATAGTCGTTAGCTCTTATAGTTAAAATAGAATTCCTTGCAAAATAACGAAGTTGTTTCTATGCTTCTAGGACCATTTCGTGATAATCAGTTCTAGCACTCCAATCATTGGGGGCGAACTATTTCTACGTGTTTCGCACCGACTTGCATTGTATAGAGGCCTTGAGACTAACCGCTATCTACTACGAACTAGTTACAGTCACTCCATCTGCCACCATATTATCATTTATCAACCTACACCCGATCGAAGGGACGAGTTAAACCTCGGACGCCGTGCACACTTCGCGTGTTATCATGCGAGGCTGATAAATATTCTAGAAAATAGAATAGAAAACTACCACAACATCCCTAACTCATATCCTACCTAGGTACTTAACAGACTTCACGACCACTGGTGGTCGACGCATAATGTGTGGAAAGCACCGAGCGCAGGAGGCGTGGCGTGCGGAAATGGCTGGGGTATGCAATGGGAACCTCAAATGGTCTCATTACAAAGAAACAGTACATAAAATCTCATCATAAACCAGGAGCTGTTAAGAATGTTGAAGTGAGTGGTCAAGGGACTACTTTCAGGTACAGTACATGGTATCTTGGCATGGAATGTATATATAAGAAGGACCTCCCTCCTCACTCATACAGTTGGTAGACTAAGTCAATATACAACTACAGCTCATATACCGTATCTTTCAGCAAAGAAGCGATGAGATATGAGCACTTAAGTATAAGCGAAGAATAAGCTTACAAGGTTGCGGTGAGGAGACTCAGGTAGCAATGTTGCGCGCCCAGGCGATAAAAGACTTATTTTATTTTGGCATCAAAGTTTCCGTTATTTATAATTTCGAGTACCATGTCAATATGGGTCAATGTTGAGTTATTCTTACTCTGAACCGACTCCAACCTTTGGGCTTCGCTTGCAGTCACCGAACAATATAGATTGTGAATTACGATGGCGGTTTGTCTTTACACGACAAGAAATAAAAGGGGTCCTAGGAGCGAGACTCTGATTGGACAGACTATATATGTAAGATTATGGAAATGAAGAAACTAGTCCGGGTGGGCTTTTGAGAACCTCTGAGAATACCTAATTCAAATGGACTAATATATGAATCATCTAAAAATAGCCCTTGAAATGGCTAGTTCTTGTATTAAACGCCTAACTTTGAAATAGCTGACCTCTCCGATTGGGAGCATTAGCGCTGGACCGTTGATAGCCGCCGAGTATAAGAGCCATTGGCGGAAAACATACCAAGACCTACAGGGGGCACGGCGGTCAAAATGTAACCCTATCAGTCAGCTTCTGTACGGATTACCGGGGTTCGGTTTTTTTTCTCATTTCTATGAACATGTATCCCTCTAAGCATCTCATTTTCTAACCGGTTCGCTTTGCTTTCTCTGTATAATATTCTATGATATGCTCGACGCAGTCATCTATGTGTCGAAAGATCCCTACTTCTTAAGCCTCAAGCCTTAAGTCCTTCTGTAACGCTTTGCCTGCTAGCCTTGTCTGCTGTTGGAAGGATGTCCCACACTTTCCAGCGCATGCGATCCTCGTTCAGTAGGACGACACAGAGCGAAAAACGAGAGAATAGTGACACTAGCCCCTCTCAAGGAGCCAGGAAACAGGTAGTTAACGAGTCCTACGTAGCTAATCAATATACCCCAAATAAATGACTAAGTTTACCGTAGACATATTATAGAAACCGACGACCCTTTGAAATATTATATAATGGCCCAACGGGTGCTACTGCCGGGGAGATTGAAGTCGAGTAAGTCCCCATCTGTATCTATAGATTCGCTCAACTAACTATCCTGACTAGTATAATCGCGGTTCATGGTCTGGGTTCTAATGTGGACTGGTCGTGGACCTGGAAAGGTGAGGACGGGAAACCACCATACGTCCACTGGCTGAAAGACCCCGATATGCTTCCCGCTGTAGTGCCAAATGCGCGAATTATGACTTATTGTTACGAATCGAGATGGCACTCTAACGCTCCTAAAATTCGCCTTGAGATCTGCGGTGAGGAATTAATCCACAGTTTACATTATTTTCGTACTGGTGTCTTGGATCGCCCTTTGATCTTTATCGCACATAGTCTCGGTGGTTTGGTCGTGTTATATGTAAGTCAATAGGACCTCTTGCACGTGTCGTATTTGATTAAATGTGATTTTGACGTTATAGGGCTTACTATATGCCGACCGTGATAGAAGATACGGATACATACCCGAACGGACAATTGGGTTCGCGGCTCTCGGAACACCATTCGGGGGCACGAAGATGCAAAGTATCGCCGCAATGTCTGCGTGGCTTATGAGTTTTGCAGGTTCCAACAACGGCATTATTGCAGATTTAAGTCTTCATAATAAATATCTGGAAGAAAAAGTACATGCCTTCGGCCAACTTCGGGAAAGGCTCAAGTTGCCTATATGGTGTTTTATCGAATTAAAAGACACAGACTATGGGAAGAGATTCGGTATTCCAGGTCTGATTCGAGGAAGGGTACGTTCTTATGACGGGTTATTGAAAAGTGCGTCAAACTGAATATTATATAGGTGGTGAGCGAAACTTCTGCCCATGTCCCTGGCTGGAAGCGATCCAACCTATATTCAGACCACTTGAAGCTGAACAAGTTCTCGGGTCCGGATGACCGTTCTTTTCTAACCGTTTCGGGTGAGATTTATAACATGTACAACGATTGGAAGAATTCGTTAGATAAACGGAAGTCTGGTGATACAGTGAAGCCCGCATTGCCAACCCCTGAAAGCTTCGACGTTGAGAAGACCCATTCCGATAGCTTCGAGCATAAGGCAGCCAGCTTTATAGATAGATCTGGTCTCTTGCACAGAATGACGGACGAAATTGGCACAACTCCGCATTTCCGATCTATTTTGGGTCTGTACGGAATAGCAGGATGTGGTAAGTCGGTAATGGCTCGTCACTTTGCGAGGTCAAAAGACTTTACCGCCCGCTTCGAGCTTCCCGGAAAATCAGAAATCGATTTCAACGCGACGCTAGCCAGGTTCGCAGAGGATATACCCGGTCTCGTCCCACCATTGGATTCGGTAAATTTAACGCGGGACCTCTTAGCGACCGGGGAATCCAACGAGCTTCGAGATCGACAACAGAAAAGCATAGATGCTATCATTCAATGGTTTAACGCAAAAGGCAACACAAAGTGGTTTATCCTCATAGACGACATCTATTTTCGAGATTTGAGCAAAACTGTCATTGGAGAGAGTAAACATTGGGTTCAATACTTTATTGATAAAATTCACCAGGGGACCATAATAGCCACCTCCCAAAGTCCGGATCTCGCGCGGATATTTCCGAGCATTCATGTTGATGGCCTAGAAGATTTTGAAAGCTTGCGTCTAATAGAAAAGGTCCTTGGCCTTAGAGAAGGATCAGGAGGCAATAGTATGTCACATAATTCCCTAATACGGTCTTGTATAGATGCTCATGAAATCTTAGGTTACCTCAAATTGGCAAAACTCCTGGACAACCATGCGTTGTCTGTCTATAGCGCAGCTCGGTACATGAAACAGTATATAATGGATGTTGAGGACTATATTAATATTTGGCGGTCACAAGACGAGAGTATTCTTGACGACTCCAGGCTTCGCTTGGATCAGACACTTACTAAAACAATAAGTCTAGCCATAGAGAGACTCGAGTCAGAGACTCGGGGGTTTCTCCTCGTCTGCGCTTTTTTGGACCCCGGGTGTATTTGGGCCGAGCTGTTCCCGGATATACCTCATGATAAGTTTAAGCATTTTGTGTGGCAGCTTGGGGCATTATCCTTGATTAAACAAGCACCAAATCTAGAATTTGGAAAGGGTGGCATTGCCATTCATCCCGCGGTCCACAAAGTAGTACGTTTACTTGCGCTTCAGAGGAGTGACGTCGAGTCATACATCAATTCTGCAATCTACAGCGTCGCACGAGCGTTGCCGAATGAGGACAGCAAGGAGGCCGCGGAAGAACAGCGCTGGATTCTCCCTCACGTAATGCAATGTAAAGAGAATTTAGAAATCCTTAAGAGCTACGGCCTGAATATTCGCCGCGGGATCTTACCAGGTCTTGGTCGTCTTGGACAACTGCTGCAGCGAAGAGGACAATTGGACGATGCGGCAAGAATATACGCTTGGGCTCTAAGAACCTATGACGAACTGTCACTCATGGACCACTTAGAGAACGAAGAGATAAACGGAACCGCGTCCGCTAATAGTCAAACCCAAGAGATGAACAACTTGCCATGCCAGGATGCGGATTACTATATTATCCTCAACGACTTTGGCATAATATACAAGGATAGGAATGAGTTTGAGCACGCGGAGGCATGTTTCAAATTTATATGCGATTCTATTGACAGTACCTCGGTGAAAGCACACCTAGGGGACTCTTCGAATTTTATCTTGGATATTAATCTTGCGCTTGTCCTTACACAACGAGGCCGACTCGATGAAGCTGAAACTTTATTGAATAGGGCGAAGGGACACTACAAAACGCTACCGGAAAAGTACGCCAGAGTGCAGGAGCTCCAAATTGAACAATATCTGGGTACTATCCTAAAACTACGAGGCGATCTTGTTGGCGCATCGGAAGCTTTAAGTGAGGCATCATCTAGACTACAAGCTATACTGGGGAGCTCCTTAGAATCTGCACTCGCCGAAAAGGAACTTGGCTCCGTTTTCCTTCTCCAGGGTAAACCGGAAAGCCTAAATCAAGCCAGAAAATGTTTTAAAGAAGCCGAAAAGTACATTGGAGAACATTGTGAAGCAGACAGTATAATTGCTCTCGACCTGCGGTGGCACCAAGTCACCCTTCGCATGGCACAATGCTATAAGTATAAACAGGATGACGAAACGGCTGTTCAACAGGCTTGCGACGACTACGAAAAACATATCCAGCGCCTAGAAGAGCTACTTCCTAGGAATGACGCAATGACTCTTAACAGCATACGAACTTACGGCAAATGGCTCATAAAGCTCGGCAGATTCCACGGTGGGAGAAGAAAACTTCAAAGGGCGATCAAGGGATACAAACTCCAGACTAACAATCCGTTACAAGCTGCATTCGCAAACATGGATCTGGCTGATGGATATTTCACATGTTGGCCTGAAGAACAGGACGACCTTCATAATCTAGAGATGGCAAAAGAGTACTATTTAAAGTCGGTGGAATTGTTCGTATCTCTTAACTCTTCGTTTGCCAATGTGTTCACAGTGGATATCCACAAGAAACTATACGAAATCCGGCAACGGTTAGATACAGCTTAACAGCAACAAGAAGTGTGAACAAAAATATCAACATATATGAGCCACCTTTGACGGAACATTTCAAAAGGATACTTATATTTGACTCTGTAGATAAAGCATGATTTAGTATGAAGGAACATTGAGACGGTTAAACGAGGTTTTCGAGCCGTTGGGTAGTGACCTATAGAAATTAACACCTTGGGTTTGCCTCATATGTACCTAAAGCTGAGATATCGGCTCGTAGGGATTGACTGCTTAAGTAGGCCTCATTAGAGAGAGAAACACTTAAGGGGAGGATATAGCCTAACCAATTCGTTGGGGTCGTCGGGAAGATTAGATAGGAGGTAGCCAATTGCGTATAGTATCACTTATTGGGTTTGCAATACGATCAGGTTGGCGCCGCTACAACTGAACTAATGTCCAGTACGTGTTGCGCTGCTTTTGGCAGAGTGCTCCAGCTGTTCCGGCGACCAAATATCCGATTCGAGCATCTTACGCGTTTCCCCTATTCTATCCCTTTTCTGCGGTTTCGCCTTACCCTCGTTATTAATGAGGTTGTTGATCGATAACGCACAGTCTGGCTCGGCTAATGAAGGTCCTGATAGTCTAGCCCCTGTACCTGTCGAGTTATTACCGTTGGCTAGGCTGGCCGGGTTTGACCGCGGAACATCTTGACCGCATTCGATACACTAGGTATATATCATTAGTATGCTTAGATAGTTGCGTATCGGACATTATCGACTTGCTTACACGATGAAGTTGGTCAAGAACTACGTGTTGAGCACAATTAATGCAAAAGCGAGTGTTAGTCGGATTTAAGGACGGATAAGACACGTTCTGATGGCCAGATTTCAAGTCGTGAGACATATTGACCCGAACTATGACACCGAAAAGACGATTACTTTGGCGTATATTTCCTAGTAGTCTGAATCTAATGGAGTTACCTATATTCTTAAGTAAATGGAGATCAACTATGGAGGTATATTGGAGAGGGGAACCCGCCTCTAACCTCAGCCGCACGCAGGCCAAGGTAAAGTGGAAAAAAATATTGGGCGGATCCAACATGCATAGCCAAGTCGAGACCCTCAAATCATGAAGCAACATAAAATAACACAATACAGGTGGACGTTAGAAATAGTGTATATAAGGTAGATATTATTTTTGATAATTATAAAATAAAATTCTCTTTACAAACCTCAGTCAAGCATAAATATGAAAATAGTAAGAGACGTTCCATTTACAGATACTCCAAGGAAGATTGCCCCTTTTACTCGATAATTCTGATTAGTCGAAATCTCCAATCGAACGCCGAGAATTTATGGCGGATAAGGGCACCACAACATACCTCTTCCATACGTCGCTTGAAATTCATGCGTAAAGATAAATTATCGTTGCCTTAAGGCGGAAGTGAGGCTGAGCAGCCTGAGCTATGCTCAATATCTTCTGTGCCAAGCACCTTTAAGTGGATGTCATTCTCCTTATTTTCGCCACCAACCACGAGAGTATTTCTCTGCCCATCGATATCTATCGTAGCCCCGCTGTTAAGCAAGCATGTATCGCTTACCTCGGCGGACTCGGCCGTATTCCTTAGACTTTTCCCTTTTTTATTTTGTGATTCATCACGTCCGGTACGAGGTCGATTAGGGCTCTGCCAGGACTTAAACAGGGTGGATCGGCTGGGCACACTGCTCCCGGCTCTTAGAATGGACTGGAAAGCCTTGAAGGCCTGTGACTCTAAGACATGGAGACGTATGAAGCCCACGAATGCCGGGGTAGAGCAGATTATGAGAGTCACATTCATCTGGACGAGACTAGAAAGATTGTTCATGTCGCCTTAGCATATTTTCTTCATCGCGACAAGTAAAAGGGGGAAGGTAAATAGAAGGCTTACCTGCATATCATCACAACTCCAGTATTATATGTGCTATCGAAGTTGTTGCTCTGCACCGCCTTGATTCTATATGCAAGCGTTAAGATGCTGACAGCAATACCCCTGGAGAGTATCAGTTTGAATAACCAAAGAAGTTTCATTTACAGCGATATTTCTTACAGTAACGCTATGAAAAATATAGCCGAGACCTGCAACTTTTTCTTCTTAGAAAGGTTTAGCTTAAAGATAATAGGTAGTGGTAAGATGAAAATATAAATGTCGATCAAGATATCCAGTGTACCCCCGAGAAGTGACCACCGTAGGATCCACATGGTTATGATACCGTCAGCGTCGTCAGGGTGATCCCGAGTCTTCTCGTTAGCGTAACCGTAAGACAGGATACATATGCTCCAAACTGTAATTATAAGACTAATAGCCATGCCGATCCATATAGCTATACCTATCGAGCGAGATATGGTAAAGAGCTGGTAGAACAGTAGCAAAGTAGCCGCCCTGCCAGGAAAAGTGCTGAATGTCGCGGTCATTTCCCAGGCATATGCTATCTGGAAGCGGTACATCTTGATGTTAGTAGTCTCTAAGTTAATTCAAAAGGTAAGGAGATGATTTGGTTGCTCACCTTTCCGAAGTTATCATTGATCCAGCATAAAGGTATATCCCATATATGCCGGAAGTATTTGGCATCTAGGGGTGGGAAGGTTATCAATTGAATAAGAATATATGAAGCCATATCGCATACAGATAATCATCAAAACCACGGTGGAAGTATTGGATATAATGGCAACAAATACGAAGACTGGTCGATTTTCATTAGCACCGTTCTTGTGTAAGTGATAGATAACTCACAATCACCCGCTGTCAACTTTCGGAAGTTGGCGTAAAGCCTACCAAGGCCAAATACCACCGCGATAGTCGTTAGGATAACACCAAGACAGATTGTCAAAGACCTCAGATCTGTGTTGTCGGGGTCAAAAGATTGTCCAGGAGGAGGAACACTAGTCGGTATTTTGCAAAGGTCTGTTTCCGGTGGTAACTGATTCGAAAGGGAATCCATTATTTACTCGGCAGGAAAGTTGATCGTAGGCACTATCGGAGCTTATAGTTAGTGTATCGAGTAAGGGGTTGAATTCGACGCTTACTGGGGTGCGGCGACCAATGCGTTTATCCTAGAGTTCGCATAAGAGCCTCACATGTATTACTCCTCCTTTCAAAGTAATGTTACGAGCATGAATTCCTACGTATTATTTTACTTAGCACAATATGTCTCCTCAAGTTGCCCACTTAAACAGTAGTATATTCTTAACTATGGAGAAAATGGCCCCCAATTCACCTACACTCAACTGACAGCTGAGGAGCGAATGTAACATTGAGTGGTATAGAGGTCTAATACTGCGACCATCACTGAGGGTTAATTATTTCTTCGTCCAATCAGAATACAGGGGAAAGAATATCTAAAGAATTTACAAACGGAATCATCTGGGAATACAGTCCCACGCTTCAACCAAAATGCCTTTCTGGTATCAGGAAAACGGACTCCGTAGCAACGACTATACCAATATCTACAGCATTCATTTTTTTTAAGAGTTTAAATTATAGAAGCATATACGATATGTGAAAAGTAAGTAATGAGGCTGCTACACTGTGGATGGTGAATGCCGTGGAACGCGGTAGGACTTATTTGTGCGGTTACTTTAAGGCAATCGGAAATAAGGTCGGTCGTATTATTCCATTCACTCACGGCATAAGCCTGGTGCGTCAAATTAATATATCAGTACCGCCAATTGGAGACATATAAAAATCTACCAATATGTACAACTTCTCTTCTCCGAGGTTGAGAACTGGAAGTATTGGCCGTAAGTTGTCATACCCTGATTGTTATATTCTGCAGGTCAACAGCCCCGCATGACAATTACTCTTCTACCTCCTCATAAGTTACCAATGTTAGGAATACCGATAGGCTCACTGACATCCAAAATGCTGCAACTGGCCGTTTCTGTCAGGCCTATTGGGGACCAAACTATCGTTGCCTTAGGTACCTACCTACGTAGGAGGTTAGCACACAATAGGTAGTGAGATGTCAGTACAGGCTGGTACTATACTTCCTACACCTCTTAGGTACCTACGTAAAATATATATCACTTCTTAATAAATTAATATACGCCGACTATTATGTTACTACTTCGTCAAGTAATTTGTAATGACTTGCCCCCACTTGCCCCTCAAAGATTGAGGCTCAAGTCGGGAAAAGGGGGTAAACGCAGCGGGAGCCTCTACAGTCTTCAGGTACGTAAGACTAATTACAAGCCCAAATATCGGTTTAGTCACATGTGGATTGATAGTTATTGTGTGTAGGGTCTCTTAGGACTTATTTGAAACTCTACCAATGCATCTGGGACGTCGGACGAAGCCTCAAAGGGGTAGACTTTTCGTGCCTCACCAAATATGGAAGATGGGTGTCAGGATTGATGCCCGTTGAGGCTAATCATACACAAAGTGAGTGTCTAGGGTAGGTAGACTAAGTAATAGGTTGTATTGAACTAGTAACGCCTGGCCTTCTATCCTCTGACGATGGCGCTTCGCGCCTCTTATATAGTCGCAGACAGACCCCTGTAGCCACTCTGACCCACTATACCCTGACAGCATACTAAATACATTCTTTGTTTTAGGTATCTCATCTAGAATCTTAAAATTGATTGCTCAGCTCTTCGTAAAAGCTAACACTCGGATTCTTAGGTTATTAAGACCAAGTCCTTACTCTGGACTAAACAAATGCTCGTTCATAACAAGGCGGACGCGGTAGAATCTGACCTCTGGGTCTCTAAACGCTCTGACATTAGGCAAGCACGGCAGCTCCGAGGCACTCTTCGGTATAATGAGCGCTGCCAAAGAATACGAGTACCGATGTAACTTCGTATGTAAAAGTCCCATCTAAGACGCCTTTTCTGGTGGGACTTGAGGGTTCTCTGGCTCTTGACGATCGGGGCTTTTTTTCGCATCAGGGGAAAATGTGAAGTATGCCGATTTACAGCTCATGCGTAGGGCTGCAGTATCCTTTGGCGAAAGATGATCCCGTAGCTCAAGTAAGATATTGAGTGGTTGGTTCATTAGTATGGATTTGGTTTGTTGATTTATGTTGCTTTCAAGCGACTTGGGATGAGAAGGACTGTTGGCCATGAGGGAAATTTAAAGAGGGATAGAAACCTCTATAAGCCTATGTCAGGTAGTATAAGTATGCTATTATCCTAGAAGGGAATTTGAACACTGACCTTTGAAGAATAGGAGGAAGTGTGTCTCAAATTTGTGGTGGTGGACTTGGGTGTTTGTCTGCTTGTAGGTATATGAACCATGTTTGCAATTACGGCGGTGTGTCCTACTCTTTATATAGTCATCCAAAAACATCAAAGCAAATAGAGGTATGCCATAAAGTTTAGAAGTTGTTGAGGCTCAGTCTGTGCCCTCAGCCAGGGCCTTAACTCTATGCTATTATGTGGAACTGGTCTTGTATTGCGAGTGCGTTGCTAAATCTAAAAGGACTACGGGACCCCGTCTGTTTATATAATCGGCCCTGGGGCCTCGTTCCTTCCTTTCCTCGATCGTGACTGCTTCAATAACTGCTTCAGTGACTCATGACTGTAGCCAGCTGCCACAACTGTAACCCTAATTAGGCCACGTAGATCCCCGACCAACACAATCCATAATTATCCCCTTGACTGGCATGAAACAGCAAAAACCTTATAGTTGTTCGGTAAAGTACGTAAAGTTCAACGCAACCAGTCTATATCCTTTAGCCAATCTTGATGTATCGATACTGAAAATAGTGGATTTGCTGTTCTATGCCAGTCAAGGGGATAGTCATCCACGAACGTCAAAGCGAATAGAGGTATGCCATAAAGTTTAGAAGTTGATGAGGATCTGTTAGATTATCATCTGTCCGATACAATATAAAGGATAATAATCTATTACCAAATAACCTTTTAGTGGTATAGCGGTTTGTTCGACAGGATCAGTCTGTGTCTTCAGCCAGGGCCTCAACTCTATGCTATGTAACTATCCATAATTATAACATCGCCTATTGAGATATCATCCCAACACTACGGATCCGTACACAAATGCCAATGAATATTTATATATCGGGTTCATGCAAAAGTCGAGAAACATCGAAACTTAAGGAATACGTCATGACAACGAAAGCTCGAGCAAAGCTTCCAGCATCATCATCAACAACGCTGGCATTCCAATATTCAAGCTCTAGGAACGCGGGGTAAATTGCCTGCGTCGAGCTTTTCCTTCTCCAATGCTCAATTATTATCTTCCATTCTAATTCTTATTACTTTCTATTAGTAGCCTCAGGACTGTAAAGTATTATTCTCTACTTCTAGCATCATCAAAAAATGGCTGCCCAAGGCTATGTCCAGACCTCCCTTATCTGGGTAACTTACGCTGTTGCAATTGTATTGGCCTTAGTTGCTTCTAGCATCACCACTTTTATATGGCAGACCCCACGCGACCGATCTGCGATCGTTACTATTGTCGCCATTGTCAGTTTAACTTCTCTCTTCGCGACTCTCTTCCTCCTCCCTGTCGACATCGCTCTCGTCTCCTCGACTACATCCACGGCCCTCGGCGCTAAGAAGGATTGGGCTACTCCCGAACGCGTCAACAACATCCTCCTTACGCTCAAGATCGTTTACTATTCCCTCTACAGCTTCGATGCGCTGCTCTGCCTGCTTATCATCCCTTTCTCTTACTTCTGGTATGAGGAATACGATGAAGTCGAGGAGCAGGAGGGAAACCAGACATTCGGCTCGCGCCTCTGGGGAGCTTTCAAATATACCATCGCTTTTATACTCTTGATCGTCATCATATTCCTCATCGGTTTCTTCGTTCCTGCTGCCGGTGCCAGCGGCGATGGCAAACATCTTGATCTCGACTTCTTCAAGAAGCTCCTCGACGAGAATCACGGAGAGAAAGCGCTGACGTTCGGTGTTGGTCTACTAATCACGCTGGGAACCCTACTCTATGTCATCTACACCGGTGCTGGTCTCGCCCTTTTCCCCGTCTCCTTCATCAAGTCCGCCCCCTCCGTGTCCGCGCCGCAGCTCTCCGAAAACACCGCGTCCCAGCTGGAGCAGAATAGGGAGCGACAGAGACAGTTGGAATTGCGCAGTGCTGGTCGATCAGATGGAATGCCAGCCAAGGATAGGCGCGAACTAGAGGCCCTCGTTCGTGAAGAACGGACATTGGTGCGTCGCGAAAGGCTTGCTGCCGAGGCGCAGGGCGAAGGCAAGGGTTTCATTGTCAGGGCGTGGTCAAAGATCTGCGCAGTCTTCAGACCGCTGAAGCTCGTCGGAGGCATTCTACTTGTCGTGATCACACTACTTATCTGGGTCTCTATGTTGATCACAGGTATCGACAAGGCCGCCAACTCAGTCTGCAAGGAACACTGCGGATACATCCTGGCGCATATCAACGTATTCCAGCCCGTCAACTGGTTCTTCGTACAGACCGCCCGCGCATTCCCTGTGGACTACATACTCATGGTACTTCTAATCCTACTATTCTTCGGTAGTTCCGTGTCGGGCTTGGCCGCTATCGGTATCCGGTTCTTATGGATACGCATCTTTCGAATCAGCAAGGGTCGCACGGCTCCGCAGGCTCTACTCATCGCGACAGTCATGTTGGCACTTATCATGCTAGGTATCAACTACGCCATAGCTATGATGGTAGCGCCACAATACGCAACCTACGGCACTCAGACGTTCTGTGATCTGCCGCCGAAACACCCGTCCGGACGGCCCGACTGCTCCGATGCTCCCGAAGCCGTCAAGCCGTGCTCGGAATGGGCGGGTAGCGAGTCGCGCGGGCGATGGTCGACAAAACCACAATCCGTATGTACGCCGACTGTCATGTCAACGTTCCTTAACCGCATCGCGCTTAACTGGCCCGTGTTCGGCGCCATCGACTTCTGGGCGCAATTCGCCTTCCTTGGCGTTTTCCTGCTCGTGTTCCTGACAAGCCTATTCCGCGCCCCAAGGCTCAACCTCAGCGAGATCGACGAGGAAGCCGAGGCGGACGAGGAAGAAGGTCTGCTGGCGAGTACCGGGCGCCGATTTGGTGCTACCTGGCAAGATATCACGGGCCGGCCGAAGCGCGGGAACGGAGCAGGTGGGAATGGTTCTGGGCACGACTCCGGAGCATAGCTTACTCTAGGTGAGTAGTCACTACGAAGTCGCTTTTACTATGGGTGGCTTATGGTACGATATTCGCTGTCTATCTACGTCGCTCCGAGTGGGAAGACATGTTTAAACAGTTTGATTTTAAAATGGTAGCTGGTCTTCCCTTCACTGTGTTCTAGGTATACAATGGAATGAATGGGTTCATACTTGAAGGGCATTACATCTATCTAGCTTTATTGTGAGGTTGTCAAAATACAAGGGATACATGCGTACGGAGTACGGCTATGAGTTTGCGGGCAGACGAGCAATGTGGATCAGACTGGACTGGACGGCGTCGTAATACTGAGATTATGCTACTACTACTACTACTACAAATTGGGCATGGTACGGCTAGGTTAGGTATGGAATGTTAAAATAGGGGATAAGATATTTCTTCCTGCTGGTATATATCTGGTATACGGTATATGTGCATGTACCATTGTGAATGTTTGTTTTGCTAAATGAGCAGATGATGGTTCTAAGGGGGTTTCTCTTATTAAGAGGTATTGCGCCCATCTTAGTTTTGGGGAGAAGCTTACTCTAGGACTTCTGGCGAATGTAAAAATGGGTGACTGGCGAGCATTGTTCGCTAGTAAATACTATGCTTTGAACTCTATGTAAGAATAGGTATGTTTGGCTATGCTATAGTGTCGAGTGTCGAGTGTCGAGTGAATTATCTTATGACTGGGTTTAGGGTTCTAGTGTATACTACCTGTTAGTTATCGGATTTGAAAGTTCGAACCAGTTTACCCATCATCCCTATGTTTTGTCCATCCCTCGAGTGTATATATGACTCAACTTCAATGCGTAGCTCATCAACCTAGATCGTAAGCTAAGATGACTTAATACACCTGATGTGTAAGGCAGAATTCACTGCGGTTAAGGCATACTCACCCTCGCTACATACCTAGGTACCCAGCTTGCTGATGCCAAGAGCTACATTATCTACTTGCTTATCCGTATAAGGAAATAATTGCGAGATAAATCACCTCATGAACGAATTTAGTAAGAATAATTAATGCGACTTAAGTCCGTCGAGGCCTCCGTGGCTAAGCATTCAGCTAGTTAGCAGATCTTTCAGATACTATTTCATTTTCGGGGAATGGCGTCAAGGGAAAGGTACCTAGGTAGGTAGGTAGTATAGATCACAGCGCAGGGTATCTAGGTATAGTTGCAACTCAAAAACTACGATGTTAATCCAACCTAACCGTAAAATAACCAACCACGGATCGTCAGCGTCTGACGAACTTCTCCCAGCGGTGCCCGCGCTCATCATACCCTGCGCTAGGACCAACGTGCATCTCCTTCCAACACCTCGCGCAGTAGACGTCGCCGTCGCAGTCCAAGCAACGTATAGCGCCATCCTCTAAACATACAACGCACCACGTCTTCTGATCCTCGTCTGTGAAACCAAACCGCTTGATGAGCCCCGGCGCGGGTCGATCAGCTGGCGCGAAGGTGGGCGCCGAAGGGAGGCCTAAAGGATCGATGTCTGCTGGTACCGACGGCAGATCTGGGCCGGTGGATCTATCGACGTTGAGCGCAGCCATGCGAGATGTGATAGATGCTGCGAAGTCGGCGTCGTCCTGGGACGCGTCGGGATGATCGCGTTGGTGTTGGTCCTGGAAATCTGACGGAACCGCTGGTAAGTTAAAGGGGTCGCCTTCATTGGACCCTTGTGCTTGTGTACTTTCATTTGCTGCCTTACCGCCTTCGGTACCTTCTTTCACGGTGTGGCTTGGTGAAGTAGGTGAAGAAGCAGGCTGAGACGAAGGCTTATTGGCCTGATCGTATTCTACCTCGTCAGCCGTCTGGGCGAGAATATCGTCGGCTTCACGAGTCATCCGTTCACCCTCGGAGTCATCGTCGCTACTGTCTTCACCTTCATTTTCGTTGCGAGATCCTTTAGTCTCTGGATCCTTTTCTGAATCCTGGCTGGTTTTGGCGGCATCTCCCAATTCCTCGAGTAGCGCAGTTACCCTGCGATGCTCGTCTTCAGCTAGTACCTCCTCGAGCCATTGCTGGTCGGATTCGAGGTCTGCAAGAAGCTCTTCGAGCGTCTGGTCGTCAGTGTAGAAGAGTGGATCCTCGTCTTCGGTCACATCTTCTGCAGATGAAGTTTGTGCCGCGTCTACGCCCGTGCCTGAACTTTCGGGATTGGGATGTGGCTGTGGTGGTGAATTTGAAGATGGCGAAGTGATAGTCCCGTCGTCTCTACGACTTATCCCTGAGCCGGAAGTGGTACGGATATTACTATCATTTTGGTTTCGGAGACTCTTTAGCCTTTCTGTGAGAGCATCTTCTTTGGATAAAGGCTTGGCTGGTTCTATAGTAGATGCTGCAACTAACCTGGAAACGCTTAGCGAACTCAGGGTACCATGCAACAAGCTATGTAAATACCTAACAAGGTATAAAGCAAAATAGAAGTTATACAAAATTGCCTTACTTTGATGATGACGGGCTCAGATTGACGGTGCTAGGCTTAAGGGCATTTAGCCTCTCAAGAAGAGTTCGATCAGATCCCGGGAGGTCCGTCATGGTCAATTGGTCAAGATGAATTTTGCGGAAGTGGGTGATACACTGATAGTCTGATACACTGATGTTGCTGTGTTCAATAATGGGTGGCGATACGAGGCGTTAACTTTAGTTTCCTATGTATTGCTTTCCCATTGGTTTCCAAATCTTGCAGTCTTTGTCAAGGTTCATGCTGACAACTGTAAGGCTGAGCAGATGGTCCGGAGATTATTGTGCACCTAGGTAACCTAGATAATTAGTGTATCTTGCCAATTGGGAAAAGTGATGTCATCTTAGATCGGGCATATGTAGTTTACCTAAATTGCACACTCCCTGACAGAGTTATTACATAAGTGGCATAGCCCTTAGATGCACGTGGATAAAGTATTCCAAATCAGGTTGTTCTGCTGTAAGTCGTTGCATGTACCACTTACATACTTACACATGATAGGCTAAGGTATAAATTGAATAGGTATCCTTGATGATTTGATCATATTATTGATATTATTGAAATGTTATTACTTTCTTACTGCAGGAGTCAGTCAATAACATGCCTTCTAGAGCAATTCTAGAAGTGAATTAATCCACACATCGAAGTGATGAACAGGCGGCTTAGACAAAGGCGTAACTCTTTTCTCTTAAACAGTAGACGTCACGAGAGGACAAAGAGGAAATGATGTGCCCTTGAGCTAAAGAAACTTAAAACTTGGCCACACCCGCCACCTGTAGCGCATCCCGGTTGCTAAACTGCGACACCATCGTGTATAGTAGGTTGCCAAGATTGCTTGGCACCGCAGTTTGCAGTTTGGACCCCGAGTGCCCAAAAGAGGAGGATCGAAAGTCATCACTCTACATATATTTCACCTTTCGCCTTTTCTTGCTTATATCTGGTTCCCCCATCATCGGCATCTAACTAAATACAAGCATTGCTGTGCCTTAATATCCTATCGGAAAGCTTTGACCCCATTGCTTAATTGTTTTACGATCGATACTATTGATACCCATAACAAACGCGACTACTCATGAAGACTTCACATTTTCTCTTAGGCCTAGTCGCCCTTGGCCAAGGCATCAACGCCGCGGCCATTCACGACGTTGAAGATGTCGCATCAGATGTGGCGACACCGGATGTTCCGATAGAACAACGGGACCCGGAGACGTTTGCGCAGAGCGAGGACCTATGGAAGCGCAAAGGCGGTGGAGGAACTGGTGGTAGAGGCGGTAGTAGTGGTGGCTCTAGTGGTGGCTCTAGCGGTGGCTCTAGCGGTGGCTCTTCAGGTTCGTCCAGCGGTCGCGGTGGTTCCAGTTCCTCTGGTATTTTATATTTAGCAGTAAATTCGTCAGGGACGCATATATACTAACAATCTCATTACAGGTAGCTCCGGAGGCTCTTCTAGCGGCGGTCGCGGATCGTCAGGGTCCAGTACTGGCGGTTCGACAACGACTGGAAGCGGTGTCCGACCTAATTACGGAGGCGGGTCATACTATGGCGGTGGCGCGACGCAGCCGTACAAATCCGGCGGTGCCACCCCCTCAGGTATCCTCCCTTTCGTCCTCGGCGGCGCCGCGATCGGGGCCCTCGGCTTCGTAGGCTTGAGCTTGGCCTACAACGCCTACAACGCATACGCGTATCCCTACACAAACCGTTACTATTACCACAACGCCACGACCAACCAGAACGAGACCAAGCCCGTCGTATGCATATGCGACTACTACGGAGAATGCGGCTGCGACGACAATGGCAACCAGACATATTTCAACTCGGTCATCGGAGACGGCAGCTACGAAAACCTGAACAAGTCGCTTGTTACGGTAGCTGAGAACGAAACTACGCACGAGAAAACCATCTACATCCTCGGCACTTTACCCAATGGCACAACGTCGGCCGGTGGTACCGACGATCCAAACGCGGGCGCTGGCTTGCAAACACTAGCTCGCGCCGTAGGCTGGTGGCCAGTTGTGACGACGGCAATCGCCATCGTATGCCTTTCGTAATGACCAAGGTTTCACTTTTAATTTATAGCCTACGCTTCTTTTGTATATATGACTTCGTACGTTCTTTCACGCATGACACCCACGAGATAAGATTTGCGGCAGCGCCTCGAAATCGGCGGTTGATATCCCTATAGGCGTTCCGGTTTTGTCTAGAAAGAGAGGGTCGGGTTTGGGGGTAAAGTTTATGACCATACGGTTACTGCATGTTGTATACCAGCAGAAAGTAGCCTCCTGGATCTGCCAGCTATGATAGCCGCAGACGTAGAGTTAGAGGTTTCTCCTAGACAAATAACAATATCATTTTAGTTATATGGCCATTCTTAAGTGATTTATTATAAATAGATAATTTTATGGTTACAGCTAGTAGCAGTAGCTGTTAGTCAGATATAATTTCTTGATATATATTCAGGGGTATCTATAAAACAATTCGCCATATATCGCTGTGTAGCGTAATCCCCATCAGCAGTAAGAATGGTGAACAGGGAGACAACCTTCCTTTTATACCGGATCTGATATTTCAGGATCCTTGCTATCTTCGGTAGTAGCATTCTCTCTTTCTTTTCGCCTCTTCACGCACCAATCTCCCAAAATCTTCCATATCCTCTCCTTTTCCTCCGGCCTCAGCGTAGCCGCAAGCCCACTCGTACTAGTTGCTACAAACACCCTCGTGCCTTCCCAAGGCTCCTCTTCCCCATTCCCCTCAATAACACCCATCCTCTCCTCCTGCCACCCATACTTAAACTCATCCTTCTTCATAGCCCTTCCATGACGCACACGAAACACACTTTCCCAGATACTCTTGCCCGTGATACACGCGACCTCGGGCCGCCACCTGCGACACTTGTCCTCGAGGATGGCGACGCCCTCGTCCATCTCGGCTTTACTCAGTTCGGCGCCGTTGCGCGACGGGCGGGCCACGATGTTAGTGTGGCCGAGCGCGTACCGCGCAGGCATAGTCTGGTCCTCGTACGCGTGACATCGGACCGGCGTGATCCCGGACGAGTAGAGTAGTTTCCAGAAGAGGTTTGATGGGTGCGCGTATGCGTGCCCGACACGTGCTGTCTGGAGGCCAGGATTCAAGCCGATGAACAAGATTAATAGGTTTGGAGCGATAGCGTCTGGGAGTAAGGGTAAGTGTGCGTATGTTGAGGGTGGAGCGTATGAAGACGGTCCTCGAGATCGCTTTTTTGGAGAGGGTAAGGCCGATGCTGGGGGTGTACTCCTGCTACTACTTTCGTCTACGTCTAATACCCCTGAACGTGTTTTGCGCTTCTTCGATTTAGGCGGCGCTTCTGATGATAGTGAGGGTGAGCTCTGAGATGAGGCGGCAGACTGAGGTGTCAGCAGCCTCTGGCTTCGGCGTGGTGGTATAGACGATGAGCTTTGGCTCGGCCCCTTGAACATGAAATTCTTCAATTGAAGACGGCCTTCAAAACTTGTCTCTCCGAGTAAATTGCGTGTCTTTTGACTATCTTCTTCGGCCACCATCACGACGGTTTATGACGAATATAAGCCTGCGCGACTTGCTCCCCGGAGTGACTGAATTATTCAACCTTGTATAGTTACGTTCTCATATAACTAGACCCCTGAAGGAGAGAAAGCTTGGTCTAGTTACGTTCAACTACTGCAAATCTTCACGTAAAGGAAAGAGAAGGGTTAATACCGGATGCATGTTGCCACTCAGTTAAGGCCTATGTATTAATTGGATTCCCGGGGTAATCGCCACTGCGATGAAAGTGATCTTGACTTGCTGTACGAGCATGGTAGATCTGCTAGGGTCTTATGCAATTACTGAATTAATGAGTAATCGATAAAGATATAATACGGATTATATAATACTAATATTAGGTAACTAATGTATAATACGTCAGGTACCTGGTGCAGTTATTGTCATCTGACAAGTTCGTATAAGTCTAAGACTGACTTGAGTATGTATACATAGTAGATGTCAGTTGAACAGATGGCATCACGAAGCTTTCGTGTTGATTTTAACCCAAGACTCCAGGTCCTCGTATCGAACGCCAGATCGGAAAGACTTGTCAGGGATTGTTGCAGGAACCGCGACCCAGAGATTCCAAAACTACGATCACACGTGCAGATCGGATAGGTACGGCGAGTCAGGTACCGCTAGTCTCTACCAAATTCAATTTACACTTTACCAACTCAATGGATTACGTATGTCTTCATGTAGGATAAGATATTTTGTCTCGAAAAATCCAGGCGCATGTGCAGATACACAAAGTAAACGGGTCACCATGCAATGTCTAGGCTATACGAAATCTGGCTTGAATAAGGTGGCGAATAGGAGGTGGCTGCGTCGCCGCATGGCTTGTCGAAGCGGTGAGGTGAGAGATAGGAAGTACAAGCATCCAACCAGATAATGGAGATGAATAGGAGAGCGGAAGAAAAACAGGAGATGCTAGGTGATGGTGTCACTAATGCACTAACACGCTAAGATGGAGGGGCAAAGCAAAAAGCTGAGGCTGTTAAATTCCCCTCAACCCCACTAAGTCTGCATGTTATGCCGGCAGGACGGGATATCTAGCTTCTTTAGTGGATGGTTAAGTGTAATGTATTGTACACTAATGTATGTACATGCAGATATACACTGGGATCCCTCGTTCCTGCCCCTCAGCTAGGGGGATCCCTTACGTATTTACCTAAGGTACTTGTTCTTCTTTTTCCTCGACTCTTCAACTTCAAGCATCTGCTTCTTCCATAAAGTCAGCACTAGCTTTACAATTCTAGGTTGTTTTTTGGCAAGCGATTGGTATATTTCCTACCCGCTTTCCTCTTTTTCTATTAACCTTTATTCATCCTTACGACTTCTAGTACCACTTAAGAGCACCATGCCAGAATTCACTCCCACCGAGGTCCAGAACCTCAAGTCCGTATACGAAAAGGCCGGCCAAGGCCACGTGTTCACGTATTTCGATTCCCTAAGCCAGCCCGAGCAAAAGGCTTTCTTCGAACAGCTCCAGAAGATCGACCCCGCCAGAGTTCAGAAGCTACGAGACCTTGCTCTAAACCCACCAACAGAAGAGGGACAGACCGTCCTTGAGCCACTTCCCGAGTCGGCAACCGCTAGCATTTACGATTCGAAGCCGGAGGATATTCAAAGGTGGTATGATCTCGGTCTAGATCTGATTGGGAAGGGTGAGGTTGCCGTGGTTTTACTGGCTGGCGGTCAGGGTACCCGCCTGGGAAGCAAGGCCCCAAAAGGTGCCTTCGATATCAAACTTCCTTCCCATAAATCCCTCTTCCAGATTCAAGCCGAACGAATCCTGAAAATCCAAAAGCTGGCCGCTGCGCGGGCCGCAGACCCTAGCAAGGCCGTAATTCCATGGTTTATCATGACCAGTGGTCCCACACGTGGGCCGACTGAGAAGTTCTTCAAGAAGGAAAAGCTCGACGAGCTTAGCGCCGAGGAGAACGCAAACCGAGTCAAGGGCGAGCCTTATTTTGGCCTCGACCCCAATAACGTGACCATCTTCGAGCAAGGTGTGCTCCCTTGCATCACGAATGACGGAAAATTCATGCTCGCGAGCAAGGGGAAACTTGCAGTTGCCCCCGACGGCAACGGTGGCCTATACAAGGCTCTACAAGACGAAGGGGTTCTCGAAAAGATGCGACCCAATATCAAGCATGTCCATGCGTACTGTGTTGACAACTGCCTGGCCAGGGTTGCGGATCCGATCTTCATTGGATTTGCCGCCGAAAAGAAGGTCAAGATTGCCACTAAGGTTGTGAGGAAGCGAGATGCCAAGGAGTCGGTCGGTCTCATTCTCCAGAAGAATGGCAAGCCTGACGTGGTCGAATACTCGGAAGTTGACGATGCCACCCGCCAAGCAATGGACCCCAAGCAGCCCAGCATCCTCAAGTTCCGCGCCGCCAACATCGTCAACCACTATTACTCATTCGAATATTTGGACAGCATGGGAGATGCTGTGAACAGCTTGCCACCGCACGTTGCCCGAAAGAAGATTCCCTTCTTCGACACAGAGAAGGGCGAGGCTGTAGATCCTAAAACGCCCAACGGCATCAAGCTAGAGCAATTTGTCTTCGACAACTTCAAGTGGCTAAACTTGAACGAATTTGCTTGCTTCGAGGTCAAGCGTGAAGAAGAGTTCTCCCCGCTAAAGAATGCAGACCCAGCCCAAAAGGCTGACGGGTCATTCGAGAAGGAGCCTGAGGACAGCCCTACAACCAGCCGCAGACACATCAAAGAGCAAGGTCGACGGTGGGTTGAAGCCGTTGGCGCAACCGTCAAGAACGGAGATGCTGATGGGGGTCTCGAGGTTTCCCCACTCACGAGCTACGTAAGTCTCCATACATATCAAGACCATAGAAATAATCTAACAGAATACATAGGGAGGCGAAGGCCTAGAGGGATTCAAGGGACAGACTATCGAAAAAGTTACTATTTAGATAGGCAAAAGGACAGATGTTGTGATAGACGAATTAACGTAAAATTTTGAATGTCCAAAAAGGGGCGATGCCAAAACATATCAGTCACCCTCCCCTTAAAGTTGCGGTATTCTCATCTTTCCCAAGGAATATTGCGCTCAAACTTGTTTTAAAATACGTAAGAAACTGATAAGGAGGAACCTTAATACATTGCGAAATGCATCGCGAAATACCTAAGATAAGGCCGCGCTCATGACTTCGGAAAGATCCCACTTGCGAGCCTGCGAGCACGTGGAAACGCGAAACGCCCGCGCGAGCTTGCGAGTGCAAGCGTTTCCGTAAATTTTTATTAGTAACCTAGAGGCGCGCCAGCTTTTTTGACGCCTTTCTACCCTCGTAAATAGACTCGGGGACAAAGCGGAGTCGATTCCATACAAAAACAATTAAAAAAAATAGCGACACAATACCCCTTCGTAAACTCAGGGCACTTAGGGCAAAACGACCAGAACTTACTATAAATCAACAAACAACAACGAGAATGACGACGAGGTCAAGCTCTTCAATAAACGTACACGATTCGAGGCACGTGACGCCTGATGCTGAGCTTATAAGACCTTCCCAGTCAATAGACGAAATGATTCAAGAAGGCCGAAAGCGCTCTATCGACGATTACACTGTATCAAAGGGGGTATGTTGAGGTGGCAGCTAAGACTACGGACCCCCCTCGTGACATATACGTGTTAAAAAACGAGGCCCGGGAGGAGTATAATAAGGCTATAGCACCGCTTACAAAAGCCCCAAAAGCCTGGAATAGCTGGATATCTACCTGGGAGATTGCCTTCTTACGGGCAAAACAACAAGGACTAGCGGCGGTTAGCGACCCCGAGGAGTGGTTTTATGCGTTCACACGAGCCTTGGAACCCGTAATCCCTGAATGGGTAGTACCCCTGAGCATCATCCTCGAAAAGAGCATTCTCAACAAGACCCTACAGTATAATGAGGTGTCGATAGCGCTACGACGACATATACAGATATTCGAACTCAATAAACAAAAAGGTAAGCTGCATAGAGGTATTTTTGGACCAACTTACGGCACTGATAAGGGTGAAAATACAGATCAAGAGACTGATTCAAGTCGCCAAGGGAGGTCTTTACAACCCCCTAGGAACCCTAAGAAAAGGCAGGGTAGCTCCAATAAGCGTAAGAGGGCTGAGACTAGCCCTCAACGACCTGCAAGACCACGCCCCAACACAGGCAACAACAAGGAGTGTGAGGCGTGTCATGGGCGTCACGATCTCGAAGAGTGCTTTTACGTCTTTGAGTCAAAACGACCTGACTATTTTAGGGGTCATAAGGGACTCACCATCCTAGTAAATATCAACCTGAAAAATAACCCTGATCTGGCCACCAGGGTCGAAACCCTGAAAAGGGAGGATCAACAGCAAAACACCAAAAGAGAGGATAGTTAATTAAACCACCAGATAGCAAACTCACAAGTCGGCGCCTCCTTCGTGATGTCAGTACCAAACACGGCGTTTAACATCAGTCAATACCCGTTGAAAGACTCAGCGATATTAGATTCAGGGACTACTATACACGTCTTTAATCAAATCTCCAGATTTATCAACTTTAGGTTTGCTCCACCAGGCGACTACATCGTCGCTGGCAAAAAAACGCGTCAAGGTAATAGATTACGGAGACGTAGACATACGCACCACACACGCCAAGGGGTCTACTCGAATCAGACTTATAAGCGTTGCCTATTGCGAGAATTTTGCTTGCAACCTCGTATTGTTGAGGCTATTGAGGAGGCAAGGCTACTCTGTGTATGACTAACCTCACCGGGCATTAATCCTGACAGTAAGCTACTTAGTACCGCAGTATACAGCCCTATAATGAGTTAACCACCATATATCCCCGTCCTGTACGTGGAAATGCAATGTCTTACATGGCAATCTAATTAAGAGCAGTCTAATACCCGCAGCCTTAATTTCTTCCACTGCGCGGTTTGTATTTCCAGGCACGGAACTCTCGATCTTGACTAGGAGTAGTTTGGATCTGCTTCCTTTTGGGGATGCCTTCAGCCTAGCAACGCCTGGTGATGACTAGGTAGTTTAAGTGAGTGGGAACATACGAACTACCTATAAATCGGCGTATAACACAGCCAATCAGTGGATTATATACCTAACTCAGAGTAAGAAGATGGATGAGAAGAAGTTAGAGGGGATGGGGGTCGAATCTTACCTGATCTTGCCCATAGCTTATACACAGACGTATAGGGAGACTACGCTCTAGCGAAAAGACATCCTTATTGTACATTTCTAGTTAGGTCACCTCGTCTTGATTGCCAAAGAAATATGGAGAAATTAGTTAGAGTTTAGGTAGAGTTTAGAGGCTTTGAAGGTCTCTAACCTAGAAATTTCAAAATAATCTAACCGTATGTATGGAATATCACCTAAACAATATTGTTATACAATTATAAACCCTCCAATAGGGCTATTGTGTCTATAAACGAGAGTGAGAATCTTCCCTGGGATATTTGCTAAAAGTTTTGCTTAAGATAGCCTATAATACTAAAAGGCACCAACCCGCCACCTGATGCACTTTTATAAATGATCGGGTATACATAACCAGGTGCTGTCCATGTCATCCACAAACTTAACCAAATGAAGCTTAAGAAATGTTGCACGATCTGCGGCAGTAGGACAATGCCAGGCACGACGCTGATTATATCTTCAATAAAAAGACCCAATGGCTGGACGAGGAAGAAACGTAATGCGCCAGATTTAGAAGCCGGAATTCCTATATCCACCCTTCTTAGTCATTTTTCTCAAGTAATGCAATGGTTTGTGTGTGGTAACGTACCTGACGCGATGTCAATGGCAATATGGATGGCTCCAGAAATAGCAAATATCAGGCATATACGCAGATACCGAACCAGCCTACCACTTTTTCGTAGGCGGAAGATGCTATACACGACGTAATTTGCCAATGCATGCAACCAATGGCCGTTAGCCTGGGGCCAGAATATGCTAGATACTGGTTAACTCATTGATAACGGGCTCAAGGCTTAGACACATACCTCCAAACGTGTCTTAAACTAAACGACGTCAAGATAGGTCCGTTAAAAGGGGGCCAATCCCAGGGGGAGCTTAGGCCTATAGCCACACAGATAAAGGACGCGAGCGCGTATACTCCACGCTGGAATGATATTAGGCTTACACCGAGTCCAATGGTAGCGAAGTATCTCTCCCTAAGCGAGACCTCCTCAGTTCTAGAAAACGGGTTGATTTTATCTATGAAAGACAACTTCGTAGTAATATTCTTGTCTCGCAAAGAGTCCATTGCATCTAATACTAGATAGCAAGCAAGTATCGTCCAGCCAGTGTAGAAAAGAAAGCGACTAGACGAATACAAACTTTTGTCTAGCCGGGGCACGTTCCTGACCTGGTACGGTGTATTCACAAAACGCCATGAGAAGAAAGTTGAGAAGCCGAACTTCAAGCGAGATATTATGTTCAATCGGTGTAATCTCCTCGAATTTGGGTATTGCTTTGAATTTCCCACCCCTGCATTTCGATTTATTAAGTCATTGGTAGGACCCCGAGCGTCGAAGCTCCAACCACTGAGTATAGCAACGTCTAGGTAATGCAAAAATGAGAAAAGTGTATATCCTCCTAAAGCCGCAGCCCAAGCGCTTCTTTTGATATACTCTAGGCAGCTTGAAAGACAATGAAACGTTAAATAGGCAAAGGCAAATAAGGAGATTCCTCGCAGTGGTGATGAAGGGGATGTAAACCCGATAACGACTGGTGCGAGAAAAACAACCGCGATGGTATCAAATATAGGATGGTAACTCATCTTGAGAGGTAGTCAATGTGAGTTTCGAAGAATCAAAATAAAGAAGGTGAAGTAGCGAAAGCACGACTTAAAGCTACCTAGATTGCTTTCAAAAGGGGTCAGGTGTCGCTTTTGGACATTAAGACTAATTGAAAGAACAACCACCGAATTGATAATCGTACTAATAGCATTCCAGATGGGGTAGTTACCTAGGTACCTATCCGAAACAAAGAGGACATACTTCCCGTACTTACATGTATGTAGCTTCCACCATAGTAGAACCTTAGGTACCAGGTAGGTACGCACCTATATCCCAAATAGGTCAGGTACCAGTGCAGGTTTAGAGTACCCACGTACAAGGGACACATAATATGTATACCTCTGTATATGTATGTATGTGTGTCATAAGATTCTGGCCCTAGAGGTTGAAGCAGTCGCGACAGCGTTAAAGTTAAGTTAGGTACCATAGATAGAAGGTACCTTATAAGGAAATTACGCCAGGATAAGCTTCTTCATGAGTAAAGGCAAGAGACCCAAATCCTGATTCATATAGAGTCTCTTCATCTATATGTCCTCGTTAAGATATCTCATACTCTACTTGACAGCAGCCTCTTAACTACCTAGGTCTCAGGTACTCGTATTATCGTCTTGGTTATTTTTCCGGAAAAAGTCAAACAACTTACCCAAAACATGGAGTCGGCTACCAAACATTCAGGAATTCTCGATCTCCCTGGCGAGGTACTCTTAATGATATTCGAGGAGTTCAAAAACTTTTATCAGGATCCCAACATGAGGAACACGCGTATCTACAAAAATCGGAATATCGTGAATGTGCGTCTCACTTGCAAAAAATTCTGCAGCGTCAGCTCCCATCTGCTTCTGGATTCCGTCAACGTCGAAATAAACTTACGTTCCGTTCAACGATTCCAGGATATATCGAAACATCCTCTCATAGCCCGCGGGGTGCGGTCAATACGTATCTTACTACACTACCATAGTGGTTCCTTAGCTGAAAACCTGAGTACCTATGGAATTCATCAAGCGCAAAGGATAAGGGATATCGTTCGTGCCTTGGAATCAATAATAAATAGAGATTATGAACTGTACACGGAGATCTCCTTAAACCGAATGCGCGAAGAATGCCACCAAGGGTTAAAGATAGCTGAGGCATGGCAACATCTAGGGCAAAGTAACGATGAGGGGCTGTTCGAGCGCATGGCTCGGTCGGGCTACGACATATACCGATCACTTTACGAAGAGCAGGAACTTCTGCGGGAGCAACGACGTTTTAGTCGGCATGTGGCTGAGGGAATAGCCAGAATGTCTGGTGTCCGACAACTAGAATTCTACGACATCCCTGAGTCCCGCTACGAATACACTTCCATCTCTGATTTGATGGAACATGATAAAATAATGAACATGTTGGTCTCACCATTATCATGGAAGGAAGGAGACGATTACAGACCAGCATCGCCACCTTGCGAGATCGTTTTTGATCTACCACTAGCACTCCGTGAACTTAGGGTCCAGCTCACCAGCCTTCGGATCGCCGCTGCATTATATAGGCCAGAAATAAATGTACCAAGCCAAGAGCGCTCGGCCGATTTAACGGCCGCAATGCAGAGCCTGAGGACGTTCACATATGCGTGCAACAGCATCCACCGTCGGCCACCATGGACGCTAACATACCATTATATCTTAGCTGCGTTGAATAATTCAAATATCGAAGAGATCTACATAAATTACTTCTCAGTGACAATGGAATGTCTTTTTGATCAAATGATTCCGCGAAGAGATTGGCCGAGCCTGAAGAAAGTAGAGCTGAGATATTGTTACTTTCACACGGGATGTCTAAGCCGATTTTTAAATGGTTGTAATCCGGCTGTCTTTAAGTACCTGGGTCTTCATTCAATGACTTGGAGCGGTGGAGCTGATGTCCTGGGTATTCTAAAGAGCTCTTGTCTGGACCATTTCTTTATTAGATATGACGCGATGGGTCAAGAGAGCCTAGTTCTTAATAACGAACAGCCTAGATGGCTAGTCGAAAAAGAGAGCAATGGCTTCCGATTCCGGAGGCAGCCTAACATATATTCTGTAGCGAGAGGAACCTTCTGACGCGACTAGGTTATCTACCTACCTAGGCAATACCTTAAAGGAGCTCGGATATTGTATTGCATGGTAGACCACGAAAACGAGGCATACCTACTCGAGGGTTATATTATGGTAGCCTAACATCAAGGCCGGCTGGAGTCTTTACTGTTACACTTAGAACTTTTTACAAAAGCAATGCGCTTCTTTACCTTCTTTACCACTTGAGAATACCAACAACTTCAAATATAAATCTCTAAATCTGGTGCGGATGTGAATTTTTCAAGTGTTGAGAATTAGTACAGAAGACAACTGTTATCTTATAAAAGCCAAAAAAGGTTTTGTAACCTCCTATGCGTAACTAGAAAGTAGAGAACAGTTAGAAACAGAAGATACCGTGAGCTAATTTTGGGATATCTGAATTCACGAAAATACGCATAGGTATAGCAACGGTTGGATAATATTCAGGTACGACGCACTGAAGGAAAACGTCACAATGAAGGGTACCATGACTATTGAAGTATTCATTTTAGAGGTATTGGTCAATACCTATTCTACTGGCCTTATAGAATAGTATATCAATATATCAATATGAAGACTGATGCTGTCTTTTCGTTCACCACGAGCTATATTTATTCCGCAGAGGTCCCAATCAAATAAATAGACAGACAATACGTTACGTCAACAGACCATCAGTGTTACTATAATTTAGGTATGCACTAGAGAATACTTATTTGCTGTGACTATTAAATATTTAAGGTGTTATGGAAACACAGGGGCTCTTATTATCCTAGATAGCGACTGTTACATTTCACCGCACTGGGCAATGACCACGTCCATGTCTGGTATATCCCGTCCACGCCTGCCAGTCTTCGTTCTTTCTATCTTTTCGACTACGTCGAGGCCGTCGACGACTTTTCCAAAGACAACATGTTTCCCGTCAAGGTGAGGAGTAGGCACAGTAGTAATGAAGAACTGGGACCCATTGGTGTGCGGGCCCGAGTTCTGACCTACCGTTAGTACGGATAGGGGAAGATAAGGTAGGACGACTTACAGCCATGGAGAGAAGTCCCTTCTGGGTATGTTTCAAGTCGAAATTTTCATCTTGAAACTGCTTGGTGCCGTAGATACACTTAGAAGGGAGATTAGCGTTTGCATCTGCCAGCGCCTCTCGAGCAAACTTACTGTACTGCCAGTGCCATCGCCGTTGAGAAAGTCTCCGCCTTGAATCATAAAGTTGCTAATCTGTGACTCGTTAGTGTACCATTATCTTGATCACAGATGTAGAAGACGTACGATTCTGTGGAACTTGCTTCCCTTGTAACCCTGACTCTGGCCCCGACTATTCTTGGACTCGCCGGTGCAGAACTGGCGAAAGTTTTCCGCGGTACGAGGGACAGTATCCTTGAAGAGCTCAAAGGTGATCCGCCCGAGGGGTTCACCTGCTACTGATCAGAACCGGTGATAATGTACGTTATGACAAAGCAATAATATGAAGAAAGCCTCGTAGCCCTACGTGAATATCTAATGAGGTAGACAATATGATCACGTGATATCTTTTTACGACGGAAGCGATACTATAGACTCAGGTCTTGGCCTGCTGCTGGGAAGAAAGCATGGGCGGGAATAGATTCGGAAACGCTTACCTCCGAGCGTAACATCAAAGAAAACCCTAGTAATTCCAGCTGATCAGTAAGGTAGTTCCGGAAGGCCGGGTACGGCTGACGAGGCCTGCTCAGCCACGGCCTTAGACTTACAGAGGGTTTCCGGAAGCCGGAAGTTGTGTTGGCGCCATTGACCTAACAACGCAGGGAGAGGCGTGAATGAGGTGATAGGTAGGCGATGACGAGAATACCAAAAGCGGGTAGTTTACTTAGGTAGTATCTCAGTAAGCTTAGATTAGGTAGTGTACCTAATTGTATGTAGGTGGGTGTAGATGAGAAAATGATCGGGTTCGGGTACACGGTAGCCGGTGGTGAAACTCGGAAGAGATATGGAAGGGATAGCACTTCCCTCCGTACTAGTCTACCGGATTTAGGAAAGTACAGTACAACAGCCAGTCAGCTGCCACGATCGACTATACATGCATATGTATTTCCATAACAAAAGGTTTTACGGTCGCGGGGCTAGTGGGGCCTAAGAAGAATCGACTTAGTGGGGTTTGGTATCGAACCTCTGGTAACATTATAATCTGGGGGAAGGTATTCCCTTGTCGTTACTTTGTTACTCCCTTTATGTCCCTAATTTCTTCTCCCTACATACAATTAATAAATACTTCCCAGACACGATACATAGACTCTCTATTCAGATTAGAAGAATCACATAATAGGCCTTGTTTGATGCGAGTCGCACTATGTGATACTTAAGCGGCTATCCTGCATTAGCTCCTTAGAAGATCGACATTAATCGCCTGTTGTCGAGAATGACCTCATGGCCGACCTATACGACCTTAACAAACCAATGTTATTGTTCTCCCCGCCAATCCACCTTTAATGAAACCTATAGTATTAACAATAATAGAAGGTGGCCGTTTACGATTAATGTCGGTGAATAAAACTCGACGGTATTTGATTACGGAATGATGGGGAAACGGTCCTAATTTACAAGGAGTAGAGTTTACCTATGTATAGCTACTATGTAATTACTTCGAACATATCACCAAGATACCCAAGTGCATTAGCTTAGACAGAGTGGTCTTACGACTTCTAACTTCTCGTTTCCGTCCACGATATTCTTGGCACTAACATCAGCCTTATTGCTTTTCGGTTGCTACCCTACGTGCTATTGGTTTAGCCGTTGACAAATAAACACACCATATACTTGGCACGAATCGGCCAGCCGTGATAAGTTCTGGGCACCAGCAAAGAGGCACTGCCCTTTCTACATGTAAAGGGGTATGTGTTTGAGGCTGGCCGGGTACCGTACCTATGATTCGTGGAGCGGCGACAGCAGCCGCATCCGATCGGCGCAATAAAGATGGCCGAGAATTACTAGAACGACATTATCGCGTGTTCGCTAACAGCCAGCCACGAAGCACATGGTACCCGATTTGAATTCAATTGGAATTCAAGCCGGAGTCATCCAAACAACGAATCATGTTGAAGTAAACCTTTAATGCTCACTATTAAGTTAAGTAGCTGCTAGCAACGCAAAAGCCCGCGCCAAGCCTAGAACTTTGGATGAAGTCAGGAGTAACATGAAGACGTAATTCGTGTCTCTTCTTGACGCAGTGCATTGATCATTTCGAATGTCTGTGGGCAGTGATGAGTTATCAGTGGGTTCAGCTGGGAGCTGTGTTGATAAACTAGCTTTCTTATCTTCGTTGGATGCGATGCTATTCGACGCTTGTCGTCTTAGCCTGTCGTCCTAGCCTGTCGATGTTCCCTTTAAGAAGGCCTGGAAGGATGTATCTTACTGTATCATTGTGGCATCATTCCCGAATGCATGATTTGGGCTCTGCCACGCTCACGTAGTATTGAGAAGTCTTAGATAGATCTGTACTTCCTTATTTAGATTCCGATATCCACTAACTAGGTTAAGAAAGCGGCAGTATTGGGATCCCAAAGGTCGATGCAGACATGCAGCTCCAGGGTATGACTGACAACCGACGAACTATCTTGGGGGCATATGTAGTATAAATATACGTGAGATAAATGTGTTGCTATGTATACGATAATTCGATAGGGAGGAATTAAGTGCAGCAATAATATGCTATTCTGTATCATGCGGTAGCGCACTAATCCGCCTGAGCTGCCGAGATCGCTTTCTTTGTTTCTTTCTATTCAGGTTCTCTTTTCGCGTTAGGTGTCCATGTATAAGTGCGACGGCGGCGCAAGAGATTGTGTACATAGTAGAATAGACTTGCGCTATATTAGTTCAGAATGTTAGTTGGACAAGAGGGTGTAGGTATTATACATCAGGCTGTATCTTAAGCGCCCATCTAACATCTCTCTGGAGATCTAGAATACCTGCGCAACTAACAATAATATGTTTTGGAATGTAAAGTCCATACTCCCATACATAAGGAGATTGAAAACCGCCACTATCACCGAAACCGTATGGTTTGAAAAGGCTTGTATGATCTGGTTTAATTTCGAGGTTCTGAAACAGCAATCAAGTCTAGCCTTTCTTATCAGATAACTAAACGATGTTGTAAACGATAGTTACTAACCGTTTTACGTTTTGATGCTGTTCAGTTTAAAACTTAATCTTAATACTAACTAGTGTATATTGATTGTGCTAGTAAATTACACCAATAACAGTCTCAACAACCCTGGGTCTCTGCAAGTCACATTGTGGATCATTTGTCCTGTGCTCCCACTTCGATTACTGTGAATGGTTCATGATGTAATAAGACAACATGCATACGAGGGTCTATGTAAGAAACTTAGGTACTTTGCGTAAAATCATTATTTGCTTAGGTGTCGTCGTCGGATGTGCGCCACTGACTGGATTATGTTTGTACTTTGTAGATTTGACAAACATTAGGTTGAATGACAAGTTTAGACAACAATACATCTCATTCAAGGTCTAAAATCAGGAGCCGAAACGGGTCAACTTAAGCTGCGTCTCTATTTCCTTGTCTGGCTTAGACGTGAGTGCTCTTGCTCCTGCTCCTACACTAAAGTACCTAACTGAGATTAACCTTTTGATTGGGTAATTGCGGTTCCACCACCACCTATCAGTGAAGCCAAGCGTTCAAAACCGAAAACCGCCCCAGCAAGCCCAGCCCGTCCAGCCCCGATAAGGACCGTCTGCAGCATCTGCAGCGTCTGCCACTTCCCACTTCCGTCTCAAAGTTGGCTGCTTGCGCAGCTGCGAGTTTACATATCACAGGACCTGACGGACTAAAACAGTCAGACTTTCTACCCCCAAATCCTTCCTTCTTATGCGCTTCTCCATCCACCAAGTTTCCTTGTCCTTTTTATGGTCGCACCTCTTTCTCCACCCTTGTCTCCTTGGCTGAAGGCCTAAGCTAATAACGTATATTACAACTTTGATCACTATTCCACTAGTTATTCTAATCCTCTGCCAACTTCCAACTTCACCCGTACCTTGGCACTCCCGCCCGCGGATATTGCGACGATCGGCATCATTTGCTATTTTGCTATTTTCCTTTTTCCCTTCTCGAAGACACAATCGCGAAGAAAAAATAAAGAGGACGTAGATCGTGATTCAATTCAATTCCCCACTCGGCGATTTGACAGTAAATGGCATCTCTGCTCAGTATACGACCGTGTTGATACGATTCTTTGTCGAGGCCTTTCGCCGATGACCCCCTCGCTTGACGATTAATCGGCTGTTCCGATATTTGTTTCAATTGTAGCCATCTTGTTTGCGAAGATGGCTGATTTCAATCAGGTCTTGGCGGGTGGCGCTCATTTTGTCGCAAGGGCGATTGAACATCAAGTTCGACAGGCCGCCTCGTCACCGGACCCGACGTCCTCCGTCTTTAGTTCTGCGTCTGGCACTCCTACGCCATCAGCAGCCTCGCCGCCCGCGACTCCAGAGCCTTCTACGGGTAATACCAACAATGGCGATCAGAATAATGGTGGCCAGTCGACTAATTCCCCTCTACTATTCTTTGTAGCCTTGGGGTTTGGTGTCGTTTTTACCAACCTTTGGTGAGCCATATCCAGCGGCATAGCCGTCGGCTGCTACCTTACAATCTAACATTTGGGATAGGATTATCGTTGGTGTCAAATACTGCTTTCGTTACAATGCACGCAATCGACAGCTGCGAGGATTGGATGAAAATGGAGAACCTATCAACCTCGAGAACATGCCCGCCAGACCACATCGTCGACGTCGAGAAAAGAAGTTGATGACGATGGATGAAGTCAACGATAAATTTCCCATGATGAAATATAAGGCTTGGGTCTCAGTCCGTGCAAGCGAAGGGTTGCCTACTGCTGGTGGTGTCTCTGCCCCGCCTAGCCGCGCCAACAGCGTAAGGAGCGTTGAAGGTATCGTGCCGGAAATTTCGTCCAAAGAACAAGAATCGAATGAAGATCACACTGATCCCAGCGCTGTCTCAAAACCTACGGATCGAGAAAGGTCGCACGCCAGCCAAGAGAGCCAGGACACCACGCCCGACAGTAACCAAGCTGGCGACAACAAACTTACCCATGCGCAAACCGCGGAAAGTATAAATATGAAAGACCATGATCATCGTGCGAGTATTGACGAAGAGGATGATGATGACGAACATATAGACGCTGCTCTGCCTCCCGAACTGGTAGGTACTCAGGGCGATACGTGCGCAATCTGTATCGACACACTCGAAGACAACGACGATATTCGTGGATTGACTTGCGGCCATGCGTTCCACGCTGTTTGTATCGACCCTTGGTTGACCAACCGGAGAGCGTCGTGTCCCCTCTGTAAGGCAGATTACTATACACCCAAGCCACGCCCGCCTCCTACAGACGGTGATCCGGCAAATCCTACATCTCACAATGCCGACCCGACCCGAAACAATGGTCGAATGAATATGCCGAGGTCTCCGCAGCGCACATTCACATCATGGAGTAACTTCCGGGGGGCTCCGCGTGGTATGATTGCGGGTCGCTTCGGAGGTGTCGGTTCGGATTCGGCGAATTACAGCCGGCAACCACGGATATGGGAGAGAAATCGCTCAGAACACCCACGAGATCATCATCGTCGACATAACCCCCAGCCTGAGCCTCAGCCAGCCGCAGCGGAGAACGCCGGGATTTTTTCAAGAGTTCGCGGTCGTTTCCCACCATTCCGACTGAATGAGCTGATGCGGAGGGACCGTAACGGGCAAGCCCCCGATGCAAGCGGGGTGACAGCTTCTGGTGCCAATGGCGGGGCGAACACTACACCATCACAATTGGAAGCGGGTGTACGACCGTCAACGACTGCGGTCAACTGAGGAATTTAATATCCATAGACATCGGCTTAATCCAAGGAATATATAAATATTGCATTGTTTCATGGTCTTTCCAACCATATCCTGTATACGGTATACGACGTTGCGAAATGAATCCTCATACCCCTGTATCTGCTTTCTATAAGTTTCATTTTCCAACTACGACAACAACTAGTCGCTAGAAGATCAGCACATCGCCCAGCTTACCTGCCGACCCGGAGTGATTCGCCGAGGCTATACGGTAGAGGACCGGAGGGCACGAAACTACTGAGGAGTTTGTGTTGCGAACGGAGGGAAAACCTGTGACTTTCATCATTACTTTTAGGTTTTTGTTCGAGGTTGATCCTGGCCGGCACCCCGAACTTTCGAGGGCGACGGACCGAGAAACATGGTCGGGTATCGCAATGCATTTGTTCGCGGGAGTAGGCGGTGTTCCGAGGTATTCTCCCAGTATATACATCAGGGTTTCCCCCTTCCTTTTGAGGAGTTCTAGTTGAGGGTAGATATGTATCTTATCGTTGTAGGGAAGCAAAAGGATTTGCTATTCTCTTTTTCTAGTGTCCCCCAGAGCCAAAGGAGTAAAGGAGAGAGAGGGAGTGTTGTCGAAATAGGAGGACTCCCTGCGTAAGCCTTGTATGCATATACTTATCTACCTCTGTTAGCTAGCAAATACGCGAGCTAGGAATAGAGCAATGCTAGAAAGCAGATTGCAATGAATGGATATATTCATATTCGTACATTGCTTCGTGGCAGATTAGGCCTTGACTGTATTGTTGTATCATAGTTTTTATAGTACAAGCTGGCTTAGATGCAATTCTATACATGAAAAATCTCGTTGTCTCGACCCTCTTAGTTTGTGGATATGGGTATCTTCATAATTCGACTTAAAAATCTAGTCCTATTCTCCGTCCCTCTATCTCTTTCACATCTCACTTCAGGTATTTCCCTAGATTCCATACTCTATACCTAGGTAGGTAGGTACCTAATCATGTCCAGACGACCCCTAGAGGTACTTCCCCTTCGCAAACCTCCCGCCGAAATCGGCAGCGCGATTCAGCAACTCCCGGCGCTGCGCGGTGCCGATGCGCCCGCCGAGCTTCATGTCCTTCTCGCGGTCGAAGGCGCGCTTGCTCGGATCGTCTTCCTCCTCCTCGGTCTGTAGCTTGCGCCCTTGCCGCGACGCCTGGTGTTCTTCGTATAGGCTGCGGCCGCGCGTCGCCTCGGTGTAGCTGCGCACGCGGTCCTGCTGCTCTTGGGCTTCTTTCGATAACGGAGCGTCTGCGGCGGCTGTACTGCTGCCCGCACCCGCACCGCGGCCGCTGCTCGTGGTCCGCGTCTGCGTCGCGGCGTCGTCTGTGCGCCCGAGAACGGCGTTCTCGAGGCGCTTGCGCTTCTGCTCGGGAGTCTCCGTCCATATGCTGCTGATTTCGTTGCCGGGCGCGGCGCTGGACGCCGTTCGCGGACCGCTTGCGAAACGCCGGTTTTTGAGCTTGGTTGGGTCTGGCGCGCGGTATCCGCTTGCGGTTGGGGGCGCGAGCATCCAGTCGTCGCGCTGGGGGCCGGCGGCTGCTTCGGCTGCGCGAGCGGCTTCTTCGGCGGCGCGGGCTTGGGTTTGTCGCTGGATGTGGGAGATTGACGTTGGGAGGGCAGGGCCGTAGTCATCGTCGTCATCGTCGTCCGAGTCTGAGTTGGCGGATGTGGTTGGTCGCTCGGAGAGAGGGGCGGGTGGAGGCGCGGGGCCGTGGACGCGTTTTGCGGATGGGGGGGCTGGAGGTGGTGCTGGTCCGGCCTCGTCGTCGGAAGAGCTGTTTTCGTCGTCTAATTGGATTTCATCTTGGTTTTTGGGTGGAAGAGTAGGTCCTATAGATGGTCGAGTATTCGTGGGTGGCGGTGGGGCGGATGGACCGATGTCATCGTTGTCGCTGTCGTCTAATTTGATCTCATCTGTGTTTGGGGGCGGTAAGGTAGGTCCTATAGATGCTTTCGCTGCTGGCTGAGGAGTAGGTGGACCATAGCCATCATCATCATCATCATTACTGTCGAGATCTATTTCGTCCTGGTTGGTTTGTGCTTGTTCCGTAGCTTGTAGCTTTGCGGCAGGAGAGTCTGCTGATTCATCTTCTGGAGTACGCTTGCGCTTGGAAAGGTGCGGTGGTAATTGAGGCCCTACGGACGACATGGTGAAACTAATGAAAGGGGTTTACTATTTACTATTTGAATGTGCAACGAATTAAGACTTGGGATCTTTGAAGTGTGATGATATGTAATAAATAATGGATAGAAGAAGAATGTTAGGTACATAACGTACTAAATGAAAATGTACCCTTTTTGCAAGGCTAAGTTGATGTCAAATGAGCTAAGATATCGATTACACACCTGTGACCCCCGTCCTTGTTGGCTCATGCAGTGCTTATCATTTAGCGCTTTTTAGTGGGCCATCGCTTATGATTGGTGATGTTCCTCACTGAGCTCAGCAGCCCCTGTTCCTACTGTACATTCACTATGCCTGCTAATAGTAAGGCTGAGCTAGGTACCTCGACTTTAGGTAGATGAATGGATTCGAGAGGTGCTGCAATAATAGCGTCTAATAAAATACTTGTACCACTTCACTTCCTCCTCTACTCCTACAGACAGGTTAAAGGGAAACACGTCCGCTCTACGGTCCTCCACCCCGCGATTTTGTACCGATAATCACCGTCTAACTTTCCGCGTCCGACAGAGCCATAGAGTTAATACTTACCCAAAGCTTCAAGCCCACTACGTATAGTACGCAGCTGTAACGGTGGTCTCGATAGCTACGAGATCGTGAAGCCAATACGTCTTAAAGCTACGGCGCAAAGCAATACAAGAAGTAGCGATCGTATTTGAAGTCATGCGCCCGATGTGGACGTCTCGATGAGCTTGCCTTCCCCGGAGAAAGACAATGGGGCTGCCAGTATGGATGATGATCATCTAGATCTATCTCCCGATGGAGAGGGGATATCGAGCGACGAGGAGACAATTAAGCCGGAGCGTGAGGTAGAACAAGAGCAATTAGAAGTAGAAGGAGATGTTGAAGAAGAGCCAGGGAGCATTATATCTGACCAGCCTACTGGAAATGGAGTTGTCGCGAATCGGTATCGTCAACTCCTACGAAATCGCGATGATATTTCAGAAGCAGGATCAAGCGAGGGTCTGCCTCGAAGGGCCGGGAGTCCCATCGATTCGTTGCTTTCCGTGCCCGACGATTCACCTTCGGTTCAAGTAAGCTTCTATACTTGCTACGATTCTACTAAGAAGCGGGAGAGTATAGGTTAACTAACAGCTTCAGGGTTCCATGATATCTTCCCTTGGGAGCAGTAGGGTGCCCTCTCTCGCTTCCCGTCCTGGGCTTAGCAGTCCTACACCCTCATTTAGACCCTTCGATCGACGATTCCAATCTCGTATAGCCTCCCCTTCGACGCTATCTCCGCGGCCGTCGTCGCCTGCTTTTCTCGCGGGACATAGCAGACAGGCTTCCATGAGCAGCCAATTCTTATTGGAATCCGGCGATACCGAAACCCCCACGCCCCCATGGGAAGTAGTACGATGGACTAAGCTAAAGAAACTAAACGGGCAGGTATTCTCCGAAGCTGGGAAGCGTAACTTTGGTTCACCTACGTGTATAGCTATATCTGCGTCCATCGTATTGGGCACCTCAAAAGGCATAATCCTAATGTTTGATTATAATCAAAATCTTAAGATGATTATCGGCCCAGGCACGAAAGGTCTGCACTACTTTTAACCCTTTTTGCAATTCTTTATTAACTGGTTACAGCTGTTGAATCTGGATCCATCACCGCCATTGCTATCTCCGCAGATCATACGACGATAGGCAGTGGCCATGCTAGCGGCAATATCTTCACGTGGGATACTAGCCGGGTGTCTCGGCCCTTCCTCCATATTCCACCCCTTGACTCAACCCAGTTACAAAACCGGACGACAGATGGCCATATGCCTAATGTAGCAATAACCCATATAGGGTTCCTAGGCACTAGGCACACTGCCCTGGTCTCCGCCGACGACCGCGGAATGGCATTTTCACATCTTGCGACTCGGGGTACTGGCGCTCTTGGGCGGACGGTCAAGACGGTGAGGATATTGGGCCGCTACCCTGATGCTCCTCCTCCTACATCAGGGAAGCCCCTGAAGCCTAGCACTGTATTGGCCTTTTCTCCATTACCACTTGGGAATGTTGAACGAGCAACAGACACGATGGGCCTAACGGCAATGCTCACCCCTTATCTGCTTGTAATAGTCTCGACGACACCGGTTGCGCAGACCCAGCATAAATCGGCCAGACCAAAAGACGTAGCACCGCATAGTGCTATGACCGGCTGCTTGGCGTGGTTTCCCGCCGTCAAATTGAAGGTCCCCGATCCTGTCACTGGTAGCACTATGTCTAAAGTCAAATTGGTCTACTGTTGGTCGAATGTGCTCACCGTTCTTGACGTGGATGAGGTACCTACGGATGGTAAAGATAAACCTCCGGCCCTCAAATTCAAGGCGCGTAGTAGATGGACGTGCGAAGAAGCAATTGTGGCAGTCCAGTGGCTCAGTCGCTCTGTTTTGACCGTCCTGACGATCACGCAGAGACTTATTGTTCTTGAAGACCGCTCGATGAGGATGACGGAAGCTTTCGATCTCATCCATAAGTACATATATCACGCTGATCTCTTTTCCGCTCAATTACACAATCTAGTTGAGCAGCTCGATGAAGACGATACGTCAATGCATGGTGTTGTCGCAGATGCTTTCTACATGAGTTTCAAGGCATACAAGGGCCGCATCTTCCTGCTAGGGTTCAACGACGTATCCATCGGTGCGTTATCGAACTGGGCTGATCGATTAATAGCATTGATGGAGAACGGCGACTACATTGGTGCAATACAGCTAGCAACCACTTACTATACAGGGGATGCAAATAAGTTAACAGTTGGCCTTCCTGAAGATGCTACTTTAAGGCATCGAATGGTGCGTGATAAGATAATGGAGATCATGAGTGCATCTCTGAAATATGCATTTGGTCAACGGCAAAAGAACAAGGCCTCAGTAGATGACCAACATCTACGACAACTTGCAGAAACCTGTTTTATCGCCTGCCAAAGTGTAGGAGACCTCGACTTCCTCTTTGATGAGATGTATGAATGGTATGAAGACGCCGGCGTCGAAGGCGTCTTTTTAGAGGTATTAGAACCATATATTCTCGAAAAGACCATATCAATTGTGCCACCAACCGCCGTCAAGGCCATGGTTACTCACTATGTCAGCAAAGGCTGGGAAAGCCGCCTAGAAGAGATTATCTGTCATATGGAAACTACTACCCTTGACATCGATCAGATAACTTCGCTTTGCAAGCAGCATGGCCTTTATGATGCCCTTATATACGTCTGGAACCAGGCGTTATCCGATTATATCACACCTCTTATCGACCTACTTACTCTGTTAATACCTCTAGTGCACAACACCGAATATACAAACTCCGGAGATTTAATGGAAGATGAGATATTTGGAGTTAATGCGCTTAAGATGTTCCCATATCTCTCTTACACGCTAACCGGGAGGGTCTATCCTACGGGTGGTAGGATGGCAGATAGAGTAGCCTCCCAGGCCAAGGCAGAGCTTTACTGGTTTCTCTTTTCAGGGAAGAGCATAAGTTGGCCTAAGGGCAGCAGCAAAATATTTCTCACTCGACCAAAGCAAACGGTAGAGCCATCTTTCCCGTATCTCAGGATGATACTACAATATGATGCACCGAGCTTTTTAAGCGCGTTGAACGAAGCCTTTGAAGACCCCTTTCTGAACGAATCTCAGGAGAAACAACTCAACGGTGGCACTGGAAAAGACTTACCAGAAGAGCAAATATTCGGCTTGACTGTCGATCGCCAGTATGTCGTGTCCATCCTATTAGAGATCATGAACCCAAACGACTTTGCACCAGAGGATACTATATATCTGGATATGTTTATCGCGCGAAATCTTCCCAAATTTCCACAGTATCTTCTCATACCAGGTTCTACCCTTGACAAGGTCTTGTCTGGGCTATGCAACTATCCCGGCATAGATCTCGCCGAAGATGCTCAGTTGAGTGCGGAATATCTACTCTCTATATACCAGCCGCCAGACATATCAGCAATGATACCCCTGTTTAAGAAGGCATGTTTTTACCGTATCCTAAAGCGGACATACAGAAACGACAAACAATACGGGAAGCTATTACAAACATACTTCGAAGACCCGGAAGACCAAATGGACGCTTTCGAATGCGTCGCTGAGTGTCTACGCCCCCAAGCTAATCTCACTAAGAAACAAATTCAAGATGTGCACGATGTTATTAAAAATAACTCACGGGACCTAGTCGAGCTTGACCCAATCCAAGCTGCCCAGACCCTAGCTACATATGCACCCAACTTGCATAGATTCGTCTTGGATTCGCTTGAGAAGGGATCAGAACTGCAGTTTACGTACCTCCGAGCTCTACTTGAACCCGACCCCGAAGCTACAAGGCAACCAGATACGACCCTAGACCGGGATTTCATCGAACAATATGTACAACTCATGTGTCGGTACGATCCTTCCCATGTCTCAGACTACGTCGGCATCGTACAGGCTACAAATCTGAGGCTAGACAAATTACTGCCAGCTATGGAAGACACGGGAGTAATCGACGCAGCAGTTATTCTTATGGCCCGGGAAGGGCAAGTTCAAGACGCTATGAGCCGCCTGACTAAACATTTGGAAACTTTAGAGTCGGCTCTTCACGGATTAGTAGCAAATGAAGATGAGCATTCCGAGGATATAGACGTCAAAGAAGCTGCCGAAGATCTGCTCAGAGGACTGCAGAAATATACGCATGTTGGTATCTGGCTATGCCAGGGACAGATGAAAACCACTAAGAAGCTCAATGCGGTTGGTCGACGAAACTCGCCATCGCCTAGCGAACTTTCCCCCGACGAAGCGTTATGGCTTGAGCTAATAGACACCACGGTTCAGATTACGCGGCGTTTATCATCTGTTGTTGCGCCATCTAATCCGGTTAGAGTCTCTAGTACCGCTTCTCCATCGCCGGTCCTTGATAGCGACAAGCTAATTGGGCTCCTGCGCTCACTTGTACAGCACACATTCACAGCGCTTATGACAGCAACATCCACACAGAATGGAGTCCTTCCTACCAATCGCATAGCAAGCTCAGGAGGTAGCCTCACGTTCCTTCGGATCCTCCGAGCCTTCTTGACTCGCGCAGCCGCCACTTCTCCTAACCTTGCTGACCTTCGAGCTGTTCTAACTTCAATCTTCTCGGCCTATGCATATGAAGAATCCATACTACAACTTTCAAATAGGCTCCTCGAGCAGCAATTGTTCGTCAATGTTAAAGAAGCGGTGGAGCTACGGCAACGGGGATGGCGGCCCAGGGGGTCCACGTGCGAGGCTTGCGGGAAGCGAGTTTGGGGTCCTGGAGTTTCCGGAAATGTCTTCGAGGCATGGGAGGAGAAGCAAGCTATCGAGAACAAGAAGCGAGAGGAAAAGAAGGCCGCATTAGTCAATCGGTCTATCGCGCGCGGAAAGGGTAAGGCCGATTTCCCGCAAGAGGCCGAATCCTATAATGGAAAGGGGAAAGGTAAAAGCACGGAGCGAAGCGATGGTTCCAGCTTAGCAGATGAGCATATGGTAAATGGTGAACAGGACATCTATGGCTCTGTTATCGAGTCGAATGGAGACACTTATGAACGGCGAAAAGACCAACCCTTAGGTCCACTCGTCGTCTTAGCTTGCAGGCATATATACCACAAGGCTTGCCTAGACGCGCTACAAGCAAAGAGGGCGGCGAACGGAGACCATAGAGAGGTGGATGACTTCGGTCGCGAGACAGATTACAGATGTCCTATTGACGGTTAGAATAGGAAAAGGATAAGATCGGCGCGGTCTGACCGTTGTATTTACAAATGTACACTACGATAGTTACAAAGCCGTCGACACTCGATCGAGCACTATAAATATAATTTTGGAGATGTGTAAAGACGTCCATGGGATTTTGGATACGTCTATCTACCTACCTGCCTACATTTCATTCCCAAGGGTACAATTGGATGGAGCAGATGATGATGCAAAAAGGGCAAAAAGGGCAAAAATGCAAAACGTACAACACCGGGGATTCGCTGGTCGTCACCGACCCAACTACTAGTCCAGCGATATCCGGTTTATCGATGGGAGAGCAGACGGGATCCCGAGTTTTCCAGATTCTATGGTCGTACGTGATGGTTACAGTTGTTTTTTCGATATATGCATCCAGGCACTGCCAGGTGAAGGGCCCCATCCATTTGGCTAGTCAATCAAGTACCTAAAATAAGCCTTGCACTCACTAAGCGGAGCCGGAAAGCGTTGTAACAATAACAACTTCATTGTTCCGTAAGGGATTTCAAGCTTGGCTATAAATGCTTGTGGTTAGTCAGAAGGTTGTATATACCCAAGCCCTTTCGGATGCCTCACCCAGAATCCTAACACAACTCTTAACCCAATTTAAAAGCTTAGGAGGCCTAACCGACAAACGAGCCTAGAAATACAGTATATTTCTTTCTATAAGTAACTAGGTAAATTTTTCTTTGAAAATTTCAGTCGGGATGAGAGTAAGAAGCTTCTAATGATATTATGAGTTTTAAGGTATTTAGACCATGGTGCCCAATACAACTAAGGTAATAAAGGTTAGTTATACTCATATTTACATATGGTTAGTTCTAGATAATACAAGTTATTAGGAGTAAGTACCTATTTATCAACCATCAAGGCTACTTAATGAACAACTTCTTTAACAGCCAGATGCCCGTTTACATCGTATCTTCAGCAAACGGGAACCATCCGATACTTCAGGGGTTGCTTGGCTAAGCCTCAAGTTCAAGCCACAACATTCCATGATGCTACTTGGCCTTGTCCATAACCAAGCCTTATTGAATAATTTTGAGTCTTCCAGTCTTCTGTCTAAGTTTAAAATCCCTGTTTGTTATATGCTATTTATCTTTTCGAACGGATGTTATCTCTACGATGTTAAGTTGCGATATATGATATAGCCCCAAAAACCTACCTACGGCCTAAAACTTAGTGTTTAGCGTTCATTTTAATGCCTTTCCGAGTCTCAAATCGAAAACATGGCCCGGACTCCCCACGTAGCGGCGTCTAAAAGGCCTATAACCCAAGAAGACATAGAATATTGGGCCAGAGATAACCCCAACCGCCCTGGGAGTAGACCCGAAATTAGAATCCAAAGCATTTGCCTATCTCTTGCACCCGTCGCGCTACGAATAACTTGGGCAGAGGAAGCTATCGCTGCTGGCGGCTTAGACGTCAACCAACTACTCCCTCATTCAAGCCGGCCTTTGCAAGAAGCGATTGAGAACCCTCAAAATCGCGACTGGCGCACTAATACTACACTGGATCATTACGAAAGCCTTGATCTGGTGAGGTGGCTGTTGGATCATGGCGCTGATCCTCGACTGAGAGATTGGGCTGCCGTTAGTGCGATAGATGAAGCATTGATAAATAAGCTTCGTAACAAAGACTCTCCTACAGCCGAGTTCTATGACCAGGCGCGCAAGATGATGATAGAAGCTGCCAGAAAGCTTGAAGGTATCTACCTGTTACCTATAATAACTCTAAAGACCCCGTTACTTCAACGGCTTAATAGCTAAACTTCGTAATAGATAAAGAGGTAGCCGAGATGAGTATTTTGGACCGCTGTAAAGACTTGTTCGGTGGTAGCAAGTACTTCCACGACCACTGGTGTGTTCTTTGTAGGTGCGGATACCTGGGGCATAAGAAAGGTGAGCAGAAGAAGGACTGCGAGTATTGCAAGGAAGAAAAGGAGTTTAATTGGCACTATAAGCGCGATGATGCGTCAATGGTTATCGGACGTAAGGCAGATAAATTTTGAAGATAGGTTAGAATATAAGAGCCAGAGACGATAATTAGAGAGCGACTTGTATTATTTACACACCTCGTATTCATGAATATAGGCTACCTGCTACTTGAATTTATACATACCGTATATTTCCTATTAATACGTATCTAAGTCTTCGAACCGATCCCTACTCCAGCAATGACGGCCTAACGCCTAACTATAGAAATCTGTAAGTCATGCTTTACAGCATACTACTCTTCCCCTCCAAATCTTGCGGATGCATCCACCAACGCTTCCAACTGTCGAGCTTTGGGATAGGGCGCATCATCTTTTAGTACTACCATACTGCCCCCGTATAGTGTATTCTGGAAGTGCTGCTTAGCCTTAAAGTATCGTTGTTGACGGACGCGACAGTACTCGTCATACCGTCCCTCGCCAATCGTCGCCAAGACGTATTTAGGGTGCACCCCGAGCGCTTGGGCCCCTTTCTGACCAAAGCCGAAGCTCGTCACACTGAACGCGTTTACCTCGTCGACTCTGATCGTTCGGTTGGGAAACACGAGATTCTCCCAGGGCTCGAGCGCCACGTCGATGTTGTCTGCGTTTCTATTTCCCGGGACAGCCCCTGTTTCGAGCATCTGGCAACACCCGTTAAGCATCCAGGCCGCGGCGGCACCTTTGGGATGCCCGGTTAGATATTTCTGGCACACGGCTAGGGCCGCGTTGCCGGGAGTGCGGCCGAGATGGCTGAGTTGCCGGTGGAGTACTTCCACTTCGTTCTTCTCGTTGAGATCTGTCGAGGTGCCGTGGAGAGATACGACGCCGATGTCGTCGGCAGTTAGGTTCCAGACGGCTAGAGCTCCGCGCAAGGGCGAAACACGCGTGTCATGTGTCCAGAAGGCGTTGCCAAATCTGCGTCGAGCCTCCTTCTCCTCGCGCCGAGCAGCTAGTTCGAGTTCGTCAACTGGCCCACCACCAGATCCCGCCAGAGGGCCGAAAAGCTCCTGACGCTCGCGGATGGACTTTAGGGAGTGCTCTAGTAACCGTCTCCTATAATCGATGTCTAGAAGTGGCGATGAACCAAGGCTAGGGCTCTCACGGACGTTGACCATGATGCCTTTTCCAGGGGCAGGAACTGAGCGGCCGACGCCATCGCTGGCCGTTTGAACATGCGCAACGATGGATCGGATGGGCAAGCCTAACTCTAGGGCTACTTTGGCGTTGGTAAGTAATTGCATGCCACAGCCCTCTGATTCGACAAACCCCTTCCGAGACGAGGCACACGGGCGAGATGTCTCGTGTGGCGCGCGGCCGCGCTCAATGTCAGCCATACTGTTGTTTGTTGCTTTCATATTGGCAAATTCTGCCGACGTATCCTGGGTCATATCGTCGAAACCTCCTACCAGACAGATCTTCGCAGCGCCGCTCGTAATAAGATCATACCCTTGGTTCAGAGACTCGAGCGCTGTCGCGCAGGCACCAACAGGCGTTCTTGTCGGACCCGCCGATGACATGAGGAGCATGTTTAGCCATGCGCCCGTCGTGTTGATGAATACCTCGGCTAGGATATCGCTCTGCACCGGCCGGTCAAGATAGCCTTGGCGGTAGAGCTTCTGTAGCGATTGGCCGCCGCCCATACCCGATCCCACGCAGTTCGCAAGCTCCGAGATGTGAATCGTTTTATACAGCTCGTAGACGTCCGTGATTCCTGCCGAGAGGAAGGTTTCGGCGGCGCATACAAGCGCCATCTGCGTACATCGATCCACGCTCTCGCAGAGATCCTGCGGGAGTCCGTATACCGTCGGATCCCAGCCGGTTGGGAGTTGGCCACCGACGATCCTGTCGAAGATCCTTGCCTTGGGGATCATCAGGGTGGCGCCTTTCCTGAAACGCACGGAGAACTGATCGCTCTTGGATATCTGCTTGATCTCAACCTTGTCGCCCTGTTCTCGTACAAACTCCATGGCCGTGTCGAATGACGCGGTGAAGGGCTCTAGGTCGTGCTGGACAATGACTTCCTGAAGAAACTGCTTGCTATCCCGATTAGGGTGGTCTAGGGGGCTCGGCTCGATGAGGCGAAGTCCTGTATGCTCTAGAATCTGCTTCTCGTACTTCGCTTTTATCTCGTAGTCGTGCACAGGTGTATTGGTAGCTACATCGAGCCACGCGGCTGCTGCGCCGTCTGTCGGAGGAGCTGGCTTGGGGTTGTGCTTGATAAGTCCCGTCATCCAGGCCAGCTCGATACAGCCCTGGATTGACAGCTCCCCTTCAAGCTCCATCTCCCATCTTGTCCGTGAGTTTCCCCACGGTCCAATTTCGGCGAAGCCTACCACAACTACGACTGACTCTAGATCGACCATATTATCTAGCTTGGAGTTCAGGGGCTTCAACTTGGTCGTGTAGTCAGGCAGTGTTGGAAACCCCAGCTCAAGGTCAACTAGAGGTGGTTTGGGTAGCGTCGAATTTGATTGCGACGTCGCGGTGGGTTTACCTCGAGTAGCAACCTCGTCAAGGGCTTCTTCTTCAGCTAAGGCCCGCTTGATCTCCTCATTTTGGCGCATCGAATTCCTTATTCCGGCAATGAACGCTGCTAACTCGGGATCACTACCCATACCTCCGCTCAGGTCCGCCAAGAGACATTCCGTCTGGCAGATCGATACTACGGGGTCTGACATAAGTCCTATTATCAGTCTTCCCATCTCTTCCGTCGAGAAGGTGGTCACGCCGCGTTTACCAATCTCCTCCGCAATTGCATCGTTAGCTGCCATTAAGCCTGTGCCTCGAGTCCAGCCAATAATGACACCGCAAAGACATAGATAATCGCTCCAGCTCTCAGAGGACCATTTATTCAATAACGTCATTAGCCCGATCTTGGATTCGGAGTACAGGCCATCATTCCCGAATGTGCCATGGTTAGGAGAAAGGGGTAACAAGACCTGCGCCGGCCTTGTACGAGAGCCTTTCGACTCCTTTGCGAGCTTAACGGCACCCATGATCCTCAATACATTCGTCAGCATAGCTCTATGCGCAAGCTCCGACTTAGAATCGATATTGTCGATCTCACGGCCCTTTTCAGGCAGTGCCGCAAACGGGATAATGAAGTCGAGATCCCATCCAAGACCGTTGACGGGGTCATAGATGTGAGCGACTAGATTCTCTATATCTTGCTTACTTGCCTGGTTACATGGAAGAACAACGAGCTTGGATCCGTTGGCTCCGTAGCTCGCGAATATCTTCTGATAAATGGGGCCCGCCTCGGGCATGGCCCTGCTGGTTGTGACTAAAACCCTGGCTCCTCCCTGGAGAAGCGATTGGAGAAGGACTATGCCGATCGAATTTGGACCCGCGCCTGTCAGGAGGATGTCTTTTCCGGCAAACGATTTCGTCGCGATCTGGTCGTCTATGCTCATGAGGGTTGTTAATCGTTGGTCAGGAGTCCACTCAGCCCCTTTCCTCCTAAGTATATGAGGAGACTTTGTTTCTTTGGCTTTAGGTTCTGATTGCTGCTTCAGAGTTGAGTGTGGAACGCCGTGGTGGATCTCTTGCGGTTTGGCCTTTATAGGCTTCGTATATTTAGGATTGAGGTTGTTAAGCATCGTTTTGATTCCTTCGATCCCGCTGTCTTCTTTCGAAGATACCTTGCCGAGCAAGTACTGCCTGGCCCTCTCGAGTCTGCCGCTAGCCCTACTTCTAAGGCCAGCTATAGCCGATTCAAGGCCATCCCGGCTCTCACTACCTTCTAGGAGCTTATAGTATTCGTCAAGTAGATCGACGTGGCCCCAATTCCAGACAGAGTCATATGATCGCTGATGATCGGCTTTGAAGATGGGCTTGATACCGTTGCAGAAGTCTTCGCCTAATTCTTTTTCGTACATATCGATTTTATCCTGTGTCTCTGCAGAATCATCAACAGCTCCTGATGATGTCGCGGATTCGTCGTCGTCGTCGGAAAGAAGGGCGGCAATCTTCTTTCTCAACTGTGAGTGCTCATCGCGCAGCTGTTGTACTACTTTGGAATCGAGCATAGTCTGTTGCGGGCTAGTTGCGGTCGTGCTACTTTGTCTAGATAGGCCTGCATTGTCTAGGTGCCCTTGAGCGATAGTGTCGAAGAATGCCTCAGCATCCTCGTTCTTCTTTAATCTAGCTGCCGGCTGTTGCCCAAGCGCTAGTAAGAGAACTGAGTCTTGTCTCCCGGAGGCGAGACCCCATTTGTCATTTAGGTAGGACCTTGCAGAGATCAAATCAAATGAGCCAGGCATTTTCGATCCAACCATCTTCTCAACTCGAGTGCGTAAACACTTCTTCAACTTTCCGTCGTATGCGCCTTGAATTGTTGCAGCAAGTTCCTTAAGGGGTATGTTCTCAACGTCATCCGCTAACGGCCCAAATTCTTCCAACATATCCCCTATTATCTCGTTCTGTACAATTGACCTACCCCCAGAAATTGCTTTAATGCTTTCATCAAGCTTAATTTCTAAAGATAGCTTTTTTAAACTGCTTGCTATAAGCGCAGTAACTGACTCTAATGCAGTAATTGGGACATCGGGGATTGGGCTATCTGCTTTTGTAGGGATAGATGTGCTCGCAGGGGGCGCCTCGAGAGTAGGTATCTTGGCCCCCGGAGCTGATTCCGGATTACTCTGTGATACCGGCCTCTCTACGCTCTCCGGCTCTGGAGGTGGAGATATATCGTAGCGAAGGTCGTCGTAGTTGGCGCTAGTCGAGAGAAGAGACCGCTTAATCCCATTGACAGCGTCCGACTCAAGATTGAATTGGCCTAAAGTTTTCTTTGCCATATTTAATAGTGTAGGTGATGGACCAAACTCGACTAGTTTCTCAACATTGACTTTGTCAAAGAGTACACTTTGAGTTTCTGACCACCGGACAGGCATCGCAAATTGGTATCTGTTAGGTAGGTATCTCTCGTGTCAATATCCATCGTCCATACAAGTCGATTTGGTTAAGAGAAACTTACGCTAGTAACTCCGTTAGGAGCACATGAGCAAGCTCTCGCTCATGTTGTTGTTGTTGGTGTGCCATCTTGACGAGCTTCACTATTGAGCTTGTCGGCGGCGCTCTATAATGTTCGACTCGAGCGTAATTCTCATATGTGGAAGGGGATATTACTCGATTTCGCCCAACAATGAGAAACACGACAGAGAAAATATGTAATTGAAAATTTTACAATAAAAACAGCATGCTGCTTCGTGATAGCAGGTAGTTATGCTACTATTCAAGGTATTCAACTTTGAAGTTCTATTCACTCTAGGCCTACGGTAATGTCCCAGCATCCCCAATTCCCTGAATCCCCAAATCCTGCAATCCCTTATTCCGGTTACACTGGCGATAAACTCCCATGGAAATCATAGGGTTCCAGTGCTCTACTATCCTCCCATAATCCCGCATTCCAGTTATTAACAGGCCTAGCCTTTAGGCCTTTTTTTATTGTAGCTTGGCAGAATTGACATAGCCATTTCTAAGCCCTCGCCTTTTTCCTAATACACGAATAGTATAAACTTCTCTCGAGCAAGCTTGATCATTCGTATATTTACAGATCTCATGAATATTTTTCTTGTAAAATCCAAAAATTAATTCCTAGATTGAACGAGCGAATGCGAACTTGGATTTATTTGCTCTAGTTCACATACTCTGCACCCATCCGGCTTGGCGATTTATACGATATATTGTTAACATTTGGAGAAGTCCACGCCAACAAACAAACAGGAATTCCAATTCCAAACCACAGCCATGATAGACTTAGATGGATCGGACTCAAGTCCGGAGATCTTCACTCCAGAACCTGAGACGGGATCTCAATCTCAACCGCTCACTCTAATCAGCAATACCCTCGAACATACCTTCATAATACCCACCTTCTTATACGCCAACGCGATTCAATTACGAGATAGATTTCTCAAAACACTTATCAACCCAAGCAAACAGGATAATGAGGGTTATAACCCGTTATCTATTATTGAGCTTGTCTCGGAGTTCCTCTGCTTCATCGCCAAGGAAGTAGAAACACATATCGATCCTAGCTTCGATAAGGAGGTGCTTAATTTCGTCCTGCAGTCGTTCGAAAGGGAGCTACTGCACGGCGAGGAAGTTCATGCGTTTGTCGCAGGGCTTCCGGATGATATTGACAAACTTATGGTAATCCGGTCATATTATCTCGCCGTCGGGGCAGTAAGGCGACCTACGGGTGCGCCAGAGTCAGCACTCATGCGTGCAGCTTTAAAAGGCACCGCTCGTGTGTATGCTGTATTCGGCGGCCAGGGTAATACGAAAACTTATCTTGACGAACTACGGGATGTTCATGATGTCTATCCAACACTCACAAAACGATTCCTTGTCCCTGCGGCGCGTTTCCTTGAACGCCTCTCACGCGACGTCAGGGCTTCTCAAGCCTTTGCCCACGGCCTGGATATCATGCGCTGGCTGGAACAACCCGACTCCCAGCCGGATTACGATTATCTTGTTTCGGCGCCAGTGAGCTTTCCCCTCATTGGCTTGCTGCAAATTCTTCATTATATAGTCACAACTTCCGCCCTTGGAACGCATCCTGGCGGCATGAGAAATCGCCTTTCGGGTACGACAGGTCATTCTCAGGGCGTCATCCTCGCAGCCATAATCGCCGCATCCGCAGATTGGCAGAGTTTTGAGATACAGGGCAAAAAGGCGCTCACGATACTGTTTTGGATTGGCGTTCGCAGTCAGGAGGCATACCCACTCCCCTCTATCCCACCAAGTGCTCTGGAGGACTCGGTAACACATGGCGAGGGTGAGCCAACCGCTGCCCTCTCTATTAGGGGTGTGGCTCGAGAAGTCCTCGAAAAACACATTGCGAAAGTGAATGGGGTTCTTCAGGAAGACCGACATATCGTTATAGCCTTAGTAAATGGCACAAAGAACTTTGTGGTTGCTGGCCCGCCGATGGCATTGTACGGGCTCAATAAGCAACTTCGCCGGGTGAAAGCAAGCGAGAATGTGGATGAGTCTCGCATACCATTTAGCCAAAGGAAGTTGAACATCATGAACAGATTCCTTCCAATAACGGCCCCATTCCACAGCCCCTATCTACGATCGGCTATAGAAGCGCTTCAAGATGACCTAAGAGAGACGATCATATCTCCCAGCGAGCTCGCCATCCCGGTATACTCAACCTTCAGCGGGAAAGACATCAGGAATGAACTACAGGGGACAGACAACATTGTGCCCTCTCTTGTGAAGATGATTTGCCAAGATCCTGTACACTGGGATGAGTCCATCGCAATGCCTGATGCGACACATATACTGGACTTTGGTCCCGGGCGTAGTGCAGGTGTTGCTGGCCTCACAAGTCGCATTAAAGACGGCACCGGAGCCCGTGTCATCCTCGCAACCAACATCACTAACCCGACGCACCCCGAAATTGGCTGCAAGCATGAGATCTTTGCTCGAAAGAGGTCAGATCTTGCATACGGCACGAACTGGGCTAAGCAATATGGTCCGAAATTGATAAAGACTTCCACTGGCCGGACGTTCGTCGATACCAAGATGAGCAGGCTGCTTGGTCTTCCGCCAGTCATGATTGCCGGAATGACTCCTACAACGGTACACTGGGACTTTGTAGTCGCCGCAATGAAAGCAGGGTATGAAGTCGAGCTCGCATGCGGTGGCTATTACGACGCGAATAGCTTGACCGAGTCGATAACGAAGATTTCAAAGGAGATTCCTCCCGGCCGCGGCATAGTCCTCAACGTCATTTATGCCAGCCCTAAAGCTATTTCCTGGCAGATCCCACTTATACGCGATTTATGTGCGAAAGGGTTGCCGATAAAGGGGCTAACTATTGGCGCCGGCGTTCCATCTCTCGAGATCGCGAATGAATACATCCGAACGCTCGGAATTAGGCAAATCGGATTCAAACCCGGGTCCGTCCAAGCCATCCAGCAGGTGGTTAAAATTGCACAGGCTAATCCAGGGTTTCCGATAATAATGCAGTGGACTGGTGGCCGTGGTGGCGGGCACCACTCATGCGAAGATTTTCACGAACCGATCCTAGAGATGTACGGTAAAATACGGCGTTGTTCTAATATTGTGCTGGTGGCCGGTTCCGGGTTTGGTGGCCCAGATGATACTTACCCCTATTTAAGTGGCACTTGGGCTAAGAAATTCGGTCTCCCGCTTATGCCTTTTGACGGGGTGCTCCTTGGGAGTCGGTGTATGGTGGCCAGGGAGGCACATACATCTAAAGAGGCAAAGCAAGCTATCGTTGATGCGCACGGCCTTGACGACCGAGAATGGGAGAGAACATATCAGAAACCTGTCGGCGGAGGTGGGATCATCACCGTCCGATCGGAGATGGGAGAGCCTATCCACAAGCTCGCCACGCGCGGCGTCGTTTTCTGGGCTGAGATGGACCAGAAAATATTTAGCCTACCTAAGGATAAGCGCCTCCTCGAATTAAAGAAAAAAGATACTCGAGAGTATATTATTCGACGGCTTAATGCCGACTTCCAGAAACCATGGTTTGGCCTCACTGCTTCTGGCAAAGCCGTTGACCTCCGGGAGATGACTTATGTCGAGGTTATTTCCAGGATGATCGATCTTATGTTCATCAAACACCAGAAAAGGTGGATTGATAAGTCTCTTGCCAAGTTAACAGGGGACTTTATCAGCTACGTCGAGCAACGCCTTGCTACACACGCGAGTACAGCCAACAGCCAACTCATAAAGACGTACAAGGAACTTGACGACCCACTGCCCACCATCAGCAGACTGCTCGCAATATATCCCTCGGCGGCTACGCAGCTTATGAACTCTCAGGACTGCTTACATTTCTTAAGTCTTTGCAAGCGCCCTAACCAAAAGCCGGTACCATTCGTCCCATGTCTAGATGAAGACTTTGAAGTATGGTTCAAAAAGGACTCATTGTGGCAGTCCGAGGACCTCGACGCAGTGATCGACCAGGACGTAGGCAGAGTCTGCGTCCTCCACGGACCTGTTGCTGCCAAGCACTCAACTACTACCGAGGAACCCATTAAAGAAATTCTCGATCGCATTCACGGGGGCCATATAAGAATTCTCACACAAGACCTTTATAATGGTAGTGAGGAGAATATACCAACTGTTGAATATTTCGGAGACAAGATGGCAGACACTGCTCACGATACTCGCCTTATCCTCGAAGGAGTCGCTATTTCCGAGACCAGAAATGAGTTAAGACTATTTATCCCGGGAACAACAGTTCCAGACAAAGATGAGTGGATGCAACTACTTGCAGGCGATCAGACTATGTGGCGTCGCGCTCTATTTACTACGGATGTCTTCGTTCAGGGGTATCGCCTTGAAGCCAATCCACTACGCCGTCTTCTTGCCCCTACTCGCGGGATGGTCATACATATAGCACAACCAGACGACTCGGATAAGACGGTTATTACCGTCGAGGAAAACGTCAGTGGAAAACAGTTACCAACGATGAAAATAGGCCCCTTGTCTGGCAACGTCATTCCCTTATATCTCATCGAGCACCGAACCGCACTGGGTAGCCCAGCCATACTCCCGCTTTTATTTACTTATCATCCTGAAGCGGGCTATGCGCCTATCCATGAGGAAATGGCTTCTCGAGACGAGCGTATTAAAGATTTCTACTACAAGCTTTGGTTTGGTACCGATAGACCCGATATCCGCTTAGATGCAGCGATGTCTCATGTCAAACCCTGGGATGGTGGCGAAACTACCATCTCTAGCCCAGCCATACGTGAGTTCGCACGCGCAGTGGGTAACACTGCTGAGGCCTATATTCAACGGCCTGGCAGAGATCATCTCGCGCCTATGGACTTCGCTATCATTGTCGGCTGGAAGGCTCTCATGGAGCCCCTATTCCATGCTGTCGACGGAGATCTGTTGAAGCTTGTCCACCTCTCTAATCGCTTCCGCATGGTCCCCGGAGCGACTCCGTTCAAGAAGGGCGACACGCTAAGCGCAACTTCCGAAATCATCGCTATTATCAACCAAGACTCGGGTCAAATGGTTGAGGTCTGTGGCACAATCACGCGAGACGGCGGGAACCCCGTGATGGAGGTCACGTCGCAGTTCTTCTACCGCGGCATCTTCGCTGACTACAAGAAGACGTTCCAGCGTAAGGCTGAGCCTCAAGTCAGAGTAGCACTCAAGGGCCCCAAGGAAGTTGCCGTGCTAAAAGCCAAGAAGTGGCTCAAGTTAGAAGGAGACGCCGACGATCTTCTGTTAGGTCGTAGCGTCGTATTCAAGCTACACACCTCGACCCGATTCAGCGACAAGGTCGTATTTGCCTCCGTCGAAACCAGCGGTACGGTCGAGATCGAAATCGCAACTACCAAGGAGCTGGTCCGCGTGGGGACGGTGAATTACGTCTCCGATGGGCCTTCACGCGGGAACCCGGTCCTGGAATACCTTGCTCGGAACGGGTCTGAGCTGGACCAGCCCGTCTATTTCAAGCACCCGATCCCGATACAGAACAACTATAGTAAAGCTCCTCTAGAGATCGAAGCGCCTGTCTCCAACGAGAATTATGCCCGTGTGTCGGGAGATTTCAACCCAGTTCACGTTTCACGCGTCTTCTCCAAATACGTCAATTTACCAGGCACGATAACTCATGGCATGTACACCAGTGGTGCGGTCAGGAGCTTGGTCGAGACCTGGGCGACGGAGAACAATGCTCACAGGATGCGCGACTATAATGTCAAGTTTGTCGGGATGGTGCTCCCTGGAGATCGGCTCGAGGTTCAGCTGCACCACATAGGTATGGTGTCTGGCCGCATGATTATCCAAATTGAGGTGGTTAAGAGCGGCGAGACAAGAGAAAAGGTATTAGTCGGTGAAGCTATCATCGAGCAGCCCACATCTGCGTATATATTCACAGGCCAGGGTTCTCAAGAGAAGGGGATGGGAATGGAATTGTATGATAAGAGTGCGGTAGCTAGAGACGTCTGGGACCGTGCCGACAAACATTTCCTTGATACTTTCGGTTGGTTTCACCCCTAATTTACCTCAAGCAACTTGGAACAAAACACTAACTTAGCCATGTTGTAGGCTTCTCTATTCTTCACATCGTCCGCAACGATCCAAAGGAGCTCACGGTGTACTTCGGTGGCGCTCGAGGCAAAGCCATCCGACAAAACTACATGGCCATGACCTACCAAAGCCTCGAGCCGGCCGCAGACGGTAGTCCTAAACAGGAGAAGGTTTTTAAGACTATAACGGAGTATACAACGTCGTATACCTTCCGCTCGCCGACCGGATTGCTCTCGGCAACACAGTTCACACAACCAGCACTTACGCTGATGCAAATGGCAGTCTTTGAGGACCTACGAGCTCAAGGTGCCATTCAGAAGGACAGTATTTTCGCCGGGCATTCCCTAGGTGAATACAGTGCCCTCGCATCCATCGCCAAGGTGATGCCGGTTGAGACGCTCGTGTCAGTGGTGTTCTACCGCGGTTTGTGCATGCAAGTTGCTGTTGAAAGAGACGAAGCTGGCCGCTCAGACTACTCGATGTGCGCCGTTGATCCTTCACGGGCCAGTACACGGTTCGGCGAGCAGGCGCTCAAGCGCGTAGTCAAAGAAATCGGCGACGTCACAGGCTCATTCCTAGAGATCGTCAACTACAATATCCGCAACATGCAATATGTCTGTGCAGGCGACCTGCGTGGCCTGGACGTGCTAGGCTATGTTATGGACAGTATTAAGGCACATAATGTAGATGTGCGTCATCTCGAGTCAGAGGAAAATAACAATCTACTGGTCAGAGTGATCAAAGAGGCAGACCGGCACTCGAGAGCTAAGCCTATGCCGCTTGAGCTATTGCGAGGCCGAGCTACGGTACCGCTCCGGGGGATCGATGTCCCGTTTCATAGCTCGTACCTACGACCCGGAGTGCAATCGTTCCGCTCGTTCTTACTCAAGAACCTCGAGGAGAAGAGCATCGACCCGGAACAGCTTGTTGGGAAGTACGTGCCGAACCTGACGGCCAGGCCATTCGAACTTACAAGGGATTACTTTGAGTATGTACATAGCATGACCCAGTCTCCTCGCATCGGCAAGGTTCTAGAAGCCTGGGAGTAATTACAAGATGTCGTGATGTTAATAGTGATGGGTATATCAAACGTCGAAGGGGGTAGTGTATATATCGAGAATCAGCATTAAGAGAGATGTTTTATTTTTTATTGGAGTCCGCATTAGAAAGTGACCAATTAGGAAAATTCATTTCCGCTGTCAACGATATAATTAGAAGTTATATCCCAGTTATATCCCAGTTATATCCCGAACTTTTCTCTCTCCCTCCCGTACTTCTTTCTAAGCGACGTTACGACGAAAACCCCCCTCCCCTCCCCCCTTTTCGCATGGTTCTGCAGAATGCATGATGTGCCGCGTCACTTGACTCGGCGTTGGGTCCGAGGGGTTTTGTCGTGATGTCAGGACTACATGTGTGATATGCGTCTGGTTGGCCGCAGGGTGGCCCGCCCTGGCTCTACGAATACGGTTTATCAGCTCTCGCTGCATACCCCTTTGGGACTTGTATTTAAATTGCACTTGATCTTGATTTTAAATTAAACAACGTGTTCCCCACGATATTGTTAAATTGATCTTAACAAGGGCGTTTTTTGTATCTTTATGTATAACTCCAAGGTATAATCGACCTTGATAGAAACTCTTAGGTAGGTAGTTAATAGACAATATGCCGAGAATTTTAAAACTATTAGAGTATAAGGGTTTCTAAAAATATAGTAACCAAGATTTATCTAGGCTAGGTAGGTAACGTTCTTTCTAACCTGGATGTTATAGGCTGATTAATCCTTGTGTTCTAGTATTTCTAGTTAGGTTCTACGTTTTCTTCTCTAAAATCTTATGGTGTTTGTCTATCATACCTAGCGGCTCCTCATACGCTGGCACCGTATAACCGTTATAGAGCGCCACCGGGTCATACTACTTGATACGGAAAAAGTCGGTTGGTTTTAGTATTATGCTTATCTTGACTTTGCAGAATGTCAACCAGGAAAAAACACGTATGTAGGTGCTCAGAGTTTTACGGACCGGTCCGTTAACGTTTCAATAGTCCTGCACAGCTTGGTTGGCCAGCCCAGTCTATAACTGTGACAAGGTTGACTTTAACCGACGAGCCTGCATCAGTCACGTTACTAGACGGTACCAACGAAGAGCGTTGTACCGCAGCTAGACCGGGAAGCTTCAGACATCTGGATAGGATCATGGGCAAAGGATAATGGGTGCAAGATGCCCATCCTTTGTGGATCTACGCGGGCCTAGATTTGATGCGGGAGCAGAGTCTGACACTGCAGTGAGGCTGGTCTGGGGTCGTTGGAGACCCGCTACTCGTCGATGAAGCCCTTATCACATACAAGCACTGGCAAACTGGTAAACTGGTAATCATGGGGCTGCTATGAGCTATGCAAAAAAAGGACCGACCCCGACGTCTCAAGTACTACATATGTTCTAGACCGGCTCCCGAGTTCTCGAATTGCTGCAGAGACCTCGTGGTTCAGCTCTGCAATACTCTTCCCAGGGGACCACAAAGGTTCACTGAAACCTTTGTCAGACCAGAAAGACGTTCGATTCTGAGCTGTTCCTGATTTGTCAACTCGGTACCTAGGTAGTCCGCGATCTATTGATTGGGGGCTTGTATTATTGGTATTAGAATCCGATGAGCCAGACATATTGCCAGATTCCCATGATAAGATACATTGCCTTCGGCTAGTAATGGATTCCAGCCGGACAAATGGTTTAGGGTATTTAATATCTCAGAAGTATTTAATATCCGGCCAGGCGGGTGAGACGCCCATGAACTACGAAGGATCTCAAGTAAGCCTCTCCCGCTACCAAGATCCAATTATTACAAACTACCTAGCCACAGTAGCCTAGTAGAACCCTTTTCAACATTCTTTGCAGCTACCTCATGTCCACTGGTAGTTATAACTACTCCCTACCAATATCACAATGACGAGACAGAAGCATACACATGGCCTGAAGAGTAGGACATCACACAGCCACGCCGAGCATGTAGACTACTATGGCTCAACAACCACATCGTCGTCAGATTTTGCTGGCTTCGTGGATCCCATCTTAGATGGTTCAGCTATCTTCGACGAGCTGTCCCACAAAAGGTAGGCTGACGCCATAGACTACGCTTAAGAGTATATTTATCTAATTTGAATATAATAGTCTCTACTGGATCGACGACACTGATTCTTCACGGAATCGTATTAATGGAGACGAAGCACCAGTAACATCTATACAACACATATCAGGAAGCATGGCGTCGGTAGATCCTTATCCAAATGCTCTAGACAAGTTGAGCAGCGGGATGTCTGATTTTTTAAGCAATCAGAGTGCGGATGACCGGTCAATGGACCGGAATAGAAAACATCAATGTTGGGACCACGGATGCAACGGACGCGAGTTTTCATCCAAGAGTAACTTCGTGAGGCACGTAAAGGAAAGGTCAGGAGCCAGCACCAAGGGTGTCTGCCCCCTATGCGGGGCGATTTTCACTCGCAACTCTGCGAGAGATACGCACCTGGCCAAGCAGAGCTGCAACAGGATCCGTCGATATTCCAATGGTCGACCCCGTCCTAGCCGGCTTGCAGTCCTAGGTAATCCCCGCTTAGCAGCTGCAGCAGCGGCAGCCACCCAAGATATTCATTGGCAGGCGGTGGACTGGGGCGCGGGCGCTATGGGCGACTCAGAAGCGGCCGGATTCCCACCCCCGAATTGATGCCTACCGCAGGGCGCATATAGGGCGAGACAACTCGCAGGTACTGTATTGGTTGACTGTATTGGTAGTTAGATGAGAACGCCCAGGTACGAATAGGTTCAAGGCGAAGTTAGGAGACAAACTGGTTATACCCCCTGTCATTGAAGATCCGTCATCGAATTCAGGACAGATACATACGCGTATGAGAGTATGAGACTATGAGAATATGAGAATATGAGAGCGGCGCTACGTTGTCGGTTGCAGTAGCAGGCGCAGATCACGATCACATCAAGATAATAAGAATAATTCCATCGATCACTGTAACCACACAATTGTGAAATGTGGTAAAGATCGGTGCCCAATTCCTCAAGAGCCCTTAAGTTGGTTTCCTTAGGTGGGGGGTTATAATGCTACGTTGAAACCCTTGAAAGAATTCACTAATGAATAGATACATAGTGGTTTATTAAAAAAGGGGTAATAAAATCGAATTAGTGTATACACAAGTAATGTTGCCACTACCCCTAACTATTGCCTATATATTAGTTGAACCAATCAATACTTTGGTATTGATTCTTAACGCACCCTATGCCGTGAGTATAAAAGCGCGCTTACAAGTAGGGCACAAGCACGCGTCCGCGTCTCAATCACATAATCGAGTTTTCCTCACGCCCGATAGGTAAAGAAGTACCCGCGGTTCTAGCTATGCTCTTAGGTACTGTTGGGAATTCGAGCTATTAAAAACAACCCTAATTCCCCATCCCTAATCCCCACTTCCCGGAGTACCGACCCCGGAGCTTACCCAAGCTACGGAACCCACTTCCCCCATTAGGAAATTGAGGGTGCTTTTAATGGCTTCGATTTGAAGGTATCAAAGGTTTTTCTAGATGCAACTTCCAAGGTGTGTAAGAAAAAAATATGTCACAAAATTAATTTAAAACGTCATTGACGCGTATCCCAAATGAGATCGTATACGAGTAATGACGCGTGCATATACCACCCAAGTAATCTATTCGGTAGTATGGCTTGCTACCCCTTATAAACCCCAGATTCCGGATACCTAGTTAAGCCTTCAAATTTATAAACTATGACGGAGAAGGTTAGGAGGCCCTTTTGTAAAGCTAAAGAGAGTTTGGCAATATAAACAAATATAAACCCTTTAATAATAATGAAGTATGTAACCTACAAATAACTTATAAGTAATGAGCTTATATTGGCATTTCGGGAGTACTTGGAATAGCTTCAGTTGACTGATCTATGCATTAACAGATGGTTAATAAAGAGTTTATAATTTTGAAGCTGAGACTTTGCGAGACATTGCGACCTCAAAATACGGATCTACCTACCACCTACGTTATCTGCTAGGGAAAAAAAAAGGCACTTAGAGCCAATGGATACCTTGATGCCAAGAGAAGTCGGCAATTATTTCCGTATTCAGCTAACAATCCTCCAATACGATAGCTTCTTGAGGACAGAAACCATAAAGGATAAAAGAATAAACCAAAACAAAACTATGGTTGGCGCTGTTCTGTGCTTACTACTTACCACCTGCATGGAACTGAATGAATGAACAACTAGTCCGCGGTACGAGAGAAGCAATCGGAATCACGCGCCTAGCTCCCTGCAATAACACCTCAAGACCCTCCCACACAGATATTTATGATGAAACACAACTGCCGAAACACCTGCGAAGCTACCGAAGAACGGGCAAACCACGGTCCCGGAAAATTTCACAAAAGTACAGGTTGGGTCACCGTTAATCCAGTCCTTCCCATAGGTGCCCCGTCATCCCCGTCACGCAGTCTGGAGAGCCGGGGCGGCCCGAACCTACTACTTATGTAAGGTGGTATACCATCATCACTCGCCATTCTAATCGAAGTCGAGGTTATTTCGGCGTTCGGTTGACTACGGCACGAAGCGAAAAAAGCTTACCATTCTGGCTTACCTAGTCTTTGATGGCCGTTTCTGCCGGGCTTTCCGGGCGAGGAGGAGGAAAACTTGCGAGAAACTAGCTCACCGGTCAGGTCAGATCAGAGTTGCTTGCAGGTCAGCATGACCTGCGTTTTGCTGGCTGGCTGGCCCCCATCCCCCCCCTTCAAGCAATCCCACGGGTCACGGCTCGCGGACTTCGCTGGGGGACCCTCACGACCGAACAAATACGGAACCCCGTCTACCCGTCACCATGACCTAGTCATTTTGCCAAGACTTTAGACATCTGCATCTGGAAGCAAGTACATAGCAGTGTGTTGTCGGTGAAGTGGGTGTGTACTTAGCCCCAGTGGATGCGCACAAGACACAGCACGGCACGGCACTGGATACCCCATCTACGGGATGAAGAAGGTCAGGAGGGAAAGCTGAGAGCTGAAAGTTGCAGATGTGGAACTAATCAAGGGAAAAAAGTGAAATTATGGGTGCTCTCGGTCAATTACTCGTCATGATCCTTCGCGTTGTCAAGTGCCGGCGGAATTGGCAATATTCTAATGGTGGGCAGCTTATACCAGGCCGTGTTTTGCTCCGCATCAACCCCGTTCCCTCGTCCGTAGTTGGGTCCACGTCGAGAGCGTCGATCACTTGGAAACAAGGCGAAGACGATACCGGGGCAGGAGGATCGACATTACGGCCCCGTCTCGCCGTGCCGTTTAATATACGCTTCCGCTAGTAACTCCCCCCATGCGATCGCCACCAACTCCATCAGAAATCAGGTTTTTTTAGATCCCCAAGATTTCTTCAACTCGCTCGCTAATTTTATCCCTGAGCCCCCCCATTAAGACTTCTGCCTAAAGAAGCGCCAACATCCCTCCCTAAGCAATTCTTCTTCTTCCTCGCGGCTACTCCTAGTCTAGCTAGCACCTTATTTATATTTATATCTAGTATATTAACAGAGTATTGGAATTTGTATTAACTATTTTACTACTAATTGCCTTTATTTTTTTTTTGAAATGGCCGAGAGACACAAGCGCGCCTGATGTAGAAATGATGGACGGCCCTTCTCCTGCAAAGAATCAAGAAACCATCCCGTCATCCCGAGTCTCTCTCTCCCCTTTTGCCGATCGAGCGAACAATTAACTTAACTTTGTCGAGTTTAGTCGAAGACGACCCAGCAGCGAACCTCGATGGATCGGCGCGTCGGCGCATCCGCCGGGCTAGCATCGTCCCAGAAGGCGCCGTGCGGGCAGACCTTAGTCACGTCCGAGTCGAAGGAGGAGAAGACGAGAGCTTCGTCTAGGTCGAGCTTGCTTACGTAGTGGTACTTGTAACTGTTCATAACATCTTTAGCCCCGTTTCGCCACGTGCGAGTGAGTTTAGAGGGGTGGGATTTTGTATGTACTTACCCCGGGTCGTATTTCACGACGCTGTCGTGCTTCTTGTCGCCACGGATGGCTATCCTGGGGTCGTTGGTGGGGTACACGCGCGCCAGGTGCGTGTCGTAGCTCCAGCCGTTGACGCCACTGTGGTTTATGAAGCAGAGGGGCCACTTCTGGATGGGGTGGTCGATTGTGCGCCAGACGTTGACTTGGGCGTATCGCTTGCCCTGCTTGAGCAGCTCGTCCGCCTGCTCGCCAAGGATCTCTCGTACACCATCTTCTCCTGTCACCGCGTCTCGATCGACGTGGGCGACGGGAAGAGCAGCATGCGAAAGCTTGTTGGCGGCAAACTCGCCTGCCTTCATGCTGTTTTGGCGTATGCGGAATACGTAGGGGACCACAGTGTCGGAGCCAGTAATCTGCTTGACCAGCTCCGCGACCTCCTTGAAGTAGACATCCTGGATGTATTTCTTGCCTAAGACGGTAAGATTTTGTTAACAAGAACATCCCAGATTGGTTTAATAGCTAGTTTCGTGAGTAGAAAAACGTACCTTCAGGGTCGTTGCCGGCTAAGAACTGCTCGGGAGTCAAGGAAGACTTGTGCTTCACAATCCCGTATCCGTTGTTCTCGTAGTTTGGCTGGGGGTTCAGCGTTCGGATGTCCTCAACCTCGATCTTGACCTCCAGAGGGTCGTGCACATTAGTTGAGCCGCTGGCCCAGTCAATGTATCCTTCTTGCTTGCCATCTTTAGTGCCATTCCACATGCCCATAAGGCCAGTGGTAGATGCAACAGCAGCAGCAGCCATTTTTAATGTAAACGAGAAGTCTAGTTAGAGCGAGAAAGAGGACTTGATGATTAAAAGAGGAGATTGAGAACGAGTGCGATGCCGGGAAATGAGAGCTAACAGCGAGGTTAGAGCTGGAATGAATTATATAGCTATTTCGAAGTTCCTATCTAAACATTTAGAATAGTTACTCAACAACTCCATTGCATAACATAAGTTTCGCGGCGCGGATATCAGGCCACCGACGATGAGTATCAGGATTCGTGGATTTCAGGATCTGGGGATTCAGGGGAACAGGGGATTAATGGATTGCGGGATTCAGGGATCCCCAAAGTCTAGCCCTACGAAATGCTGAAAACCCATGGTACCGGACAAATGCCACAGAAAGCCATCATCTCAAATAGTTTGCGAAATAATCATTTCGAATAGTTTTTACTCTTGAGTTCTATCGTACGTTTGAAATAACTACCTACCTAACCTAACTCACTCTTATTCTCCTTCTTTCGCCTTATCCCGAACTACCTATTATTCAACAAATCGACTCAAAAATGCCGGGAATAACGGAGCATCACCTTGATGTCACAGACTCCCGCACGGGGAAGTCTTATACAATCCCAATACAAGGAGATTATATTCGTGCTGCTGATGTTGCCCGAATTGGTGCTCCGGATAGTAAAGAAGATCTAGCTACCTCTTTGAAGGCTCGTCCACTTCACATCATGGACAATGGCTTTCAATATACAGCTTGCATGGAGTCAAGCATTACTCATATGTGTGTCTCTCTCTATAATACTATCTTTTCTATTACTCACCATCTTTCCTCATTTACTTACCATTTTGACGAACAGTGATGGCGTGCGTGGCACTATTCGATACCGGGATTTTCCCATCGAGAGTTTATTCCACCAATACGTTTATGAAGACATCATGCACCTGATTATCTGGGGCAGCATTCCTACTCAACAACAAAAGGATCACGTTCGAGAGGTCATGAGCAATGCTATGAATCCGTCTCAAAGCGTCAAGGATGTTATCTCATCATTCCCGTACGGTTACCCCTTTCTTTTTTTACTGATAAAGCAAGGAACGTAGCATAGCATAACATAGCATAGCATAGTATCACTAACTCCAATTCCAGCCGCGACGCGGAGACGTTCCCTATGATAATCGCAGGAATGAGCGCTTTTGCAGCTAGCGACAGCATTATCTGCAAGACGCGTCACCAGCAGAGCGCCATGTTCCACGGACACCTCGATGTGGCCGATGAGGCCCTCGCACGAACTATTGCATATCTCGCAGCCACGATCTCGCTCGTATATTGCCATAAGAACGACAAGCAATGGAACGCTCCCGAGCCAAACCGGTCGTTGCTCCAGAACCTGCTCCTGATGATGGGTATCACAGATCCTCAGGTAGAGAAGTGCTTGGCCAAGCTATGGATCTTGTACGCGGACCACGAGATGACCAACTCGACCGCTGCCGTGCTACACGCCGGCTCGACGCTCATCGACCCGGTCTCAGCGGTGACGGCCGGCATCATATGCGGATACGGACCGTTACACGGCGGCGCGATCGATCTGGCGTACGAGGCGTTCAGGCAGATCGGCACAGCGGAGCGCGTTCCACCATTCATCGAGCGCATCAAGGCCAAGGGCGGGCGGCTGTTCGGCTACGGACACCGTGTGTACAAGACCCGGGACCCCCGCGTCGCGCTTATCGAGGAGCTGCTGGAGGAGCACCAGGATGCCGTCGATGCTAACCCCCTCCTGCGCGTGGCCATGGCCATCGACAAGTACGCCAACCAGGACGCCTACTTCATCGAGAGGGGCCTCAAGGCAAATGCCGACCTGATGGGTTGCTTCCTCTACACGGCCATGTAAGTGCGACTCTACCGTAGCATGACATCTCTCGGCGTGTAGCAACCGGGTCTTGTCTTCCATCTAACATAACGTATCCCATGCTGACCTGTGCTACCTACTTGGTTAGGGGTTTCGATACTGACATGATCATCGCTATCACCATCCTCTCGAGGACTCCCGGCGCGCTGGCTCACTGGCGCGAAAGCCTGAGTAAGTCACCCCCCCTTTCCCTTTCCCTTCCCCTCCCCTCCCCCACGCCTTGACGTACCCCACGTTTGAGATTCCGTACTGACAGGTTATTGCGCAGCACAACCGGTGAAGTTATGGCGGCCACAGCAGAAATACGTAGCACCACTCGCGAACTAAGTTAGGGGAAAGGCGGCACCGAAAATATGTACATATCTATCTTATGATGAGGCGTTGTTGATGATTACATACAAGACGATCCATGTTTACGGCGCATAGCTCAAAAAGCAAAGCTATAGTATAGTAAACTAAATAGTAATAATACTGGGTTCTTGGGTCTACATGAATTTCATTATAGCATTACTATTTTGCTTTTTGTATGCCTTACATTTAGATGTCTCAACTGTATCTGACAACTTGCTTTCAACTGCAAAGATCAGCTAATTAGGTTAGGTACTCAAGCATATTCTACAGACTATTAATTGGCAATTAATAAATGCCATCACCTCAATTAGGCTCTACCTTGTAGTCCAGACGCCACAAGTTAAAACCCCAAGCTGAACGCCGTAAGATCGGCGCGAGGCTGCGCTGATCATGACAGACCCGAGGGTAAAAATCCCATCCTCCTCCTCTTCCTCCCTCCCCACGTTCCCGTCCTCCATAAACCCCCGACCCGGTGATCCGGCCTTACTAGCCCATCATCCCTCATCAGCTCCTCGCTTCGCCACAAGGGTCTCATTGGGGTGCAATGCATGTCTGGCATACCTACGGTACCTAGCGCCGACGAGCTCAAAATTTTGGTTCGACAATTTACACTATTTACTCAGTACCTGATTTGGCGTACTTAGGTATCTCCAGGGGTCGCGGTATGTACGTTGGTATGTACGTATCGTACTGAAGTCTCACAAGGCGACCCAACCAAAGGGCATCGGTAATCTACGGTGTGAGCTGTCATTGGAAGCGAGCTACTGCCGATGCAACGGTCGTTTATTTATCCTAATTTAACGCCCTTATCGCACTGCAGTTGCGGGATTGCAGGATCGGTATGAATGTGACATCGTCCCGTTCAGCCGGAGTAGTGTCTACACCTAGGTGTGCCTTGTTATTTCGGTCCGCATATACTACGTATATAGGTAGTATTATACGGGTTTATATATGGGGGGAAAGGGGGGGAGGAGTGTGGCTATCAAGTACAATACGTTACATAGCTCTCTAACTGGATTAAGCCCCTGGGACTACCTAATGTAGAGCCGTTACTAGGATAGATCCGCATGCGGGCGAGATTCCGATTCGATATGATCAACCTTGAATCAACATCGTATTTCCCGGTGCCGTTAATCCCGGCCGAAATTATACACGTTGTGATGTAAGTACCTACATGCATACATCCACACTACCTATACATCGCACACGCGCCCCAACCCAACTACTACCAGATATGAGCGCCCAGCACCAGATATTATACGTATGTAATCTGACTATACACACATCTATGCATAATATTTCTGCAGCTTCTCTGACTCTTATCCTAAAGCGTACAATACCGTACACTATTTCCTCTTCTAGTCCCCTATTCCCGTATTCCTTCAATCCAGGGCTCCGCTACCCACGGTCTCGGTCGCCCGCGATCTGAATTCCATTCTAGTTCCTGGGTGTAATGCTCTCATCATCACATCTCGGTTACGCCTCAGATGGAAAAGTCTGCTAGAATCGAATCCTACCTTCCTTCCCGCCTGTATGTGTGTGATCATCGAGAATTACTTACATGCTTAGTCGAGAACTGCCCCAAGTTACGCCACTCTCGGTGTTATATGTATGTACTAGGGTTAAAGCTTGATCGGCGAGAGCTAGAACCTCAGTAGTAGAGCACAGCATAAGTTGGGTTTGGGGCGATATTGTGCAAAGAGATTCATGGGTGCTTATAAGCAAACGCTATAGGTACCACCAACATGTACTAGAGATAAGGTCAGTCGGCAAGCCATGTATCTTCTAAAGAGTATGTCCATGAGTATGTCCATGTAGGGCTGGGCTAGCTGGTACGTATTTGTAGTATGACACGTACACAGAGCTGGTGGGTCGATACCTACGCTTCACGAATACAGCATCGCTACCACACTACACAGATCCCGATCCCGAATCTCCCGTTGACGAGACTATTGCTGTGCCTGGTTGGCACCTTATACCCCTGCCATTGGCAGGAGCTAAGGCCTAGACAAGTCTACTCTTGTCACTCTTGTCAGCATATGTTCTAGCCGTGGGACTATGAGCTGTTAGCCCTCAGGCCCTTCAAGGTTCATAAGAGGCGCCAAGACTTCCAGAGGCGAGATGGACGGACGAAAAAAGCCCTCCCACACGAGCCACAACCTAGGCTTGACTGTCATCCGCCTGAAGGGCCGACAAGGAGTCAGCCCTCTGGGGGCGAGACTATGGCTCTACCACGAACTACCGAGCACCGTTGTTCGCCCATACAAGCTAATCTCGGTATTCCATGGCGCGACGTGACGTATCGGAAGAGTATCCTATACTCTTAAAAGAAGTTGAACAGCGCCCCGGAACGCTTTTGGCTGCGCTCTGCTGGCGAGCCCTCTCCAGCTTTGACCACCACGCAGCTTCCAACGTGAATTTCACGTGAGTTTCGGTTCGAACCACTATAAACCGGAGAACAACCAATCATGGAAGAGAAGCAGGAAACAACAACAGTAGTTATCGAGAAGGATGTTTCGGCGGCGGTGCCTCTTGACCTACCTGAGGCCCCTAAGAGGCCCAGTGAGATAAGCGGCGACACTATCATTATCGTTACCGACGCCGATGCTGTGCCCAAGGAGTTGGCGGATGCTCCGGCGGTCGAGGAGATCCCGCCCCGGTTCACGGTATACGAGCCGTGGCAGAAGCGGCTGATCGTGCTAAGCGCCGCCTTCAGCGCTCTATTCGCTTCCTGGACGGCCCAGATTTATTTACCTGCGCTGAATATCGCAGCTGATGACCTGCACGTTTCTACCACACGAATCAATCTCACAGTCACCAGCTACATGATTCTGCAGGGCGTTACGCCCATCTTTATCGGCGGGTTCGCCGACTCAGCGGGCC